TGGTCACTAGACTCATCGCGAACCGTAGCTCACGGCCGGTATCGGGAAGGCTTGTTGCCACACATTCGACCTGCAACCTGGTACATGGGCATCTTCATACACCCAGCTCTACGTCGGCTTCGCCGTCTCCGGCCTCCTTCATTGCGGTGGGGACCTAATGGTAGACCCATCCCTCTTCGGCGCGTCGTTCCCGTTCTTCTTTTCACAGGCCATCGCAATCACCTTCGAGGACGCCGTCATTGGCATCGTTGGGAGGAGCGGCGTCAAATTCCCTCGACCGCTCGCCCATATGATCGGATACGCTTGGGCGATCTTGTGGTTGTGTATCTCTGCGCCGTGGCTGATCAATTGGACGCTCAGGGCCGGGATCATCGACACTAATCGCATACCTGTCTCGCTCATCGACCGCGTAGCCCCCAGTCTAGTTACTAGTGCTGCTAGGTTTGCCGCTGCTACCCCAATGTATCCGAAGGCAGAGGCTTGATGAGACGCGCCGATCTCTGTTCGTGAAACACGCCACTGTACGAATGCTGTTGTTTGCTGTCAATATTGTGTATGACATGGGGCGGATGTCCGGTGTCAATCTAGTTAGCTCGTGTATATTGCATATATTGATACTCCGCTGCCGTCGTCCTTGCAGTCCGGCCTCATATCATAGGCAGTATGTCATCCGCATGCCTAAACATCGAATGCATCATTGTCACTGTGTGACTTACCCTTGGCTTGCTCAGGCTCAGAGGCCGCTACCCAGGAAAATTGAAGACGACATGTGAGACTGTTAATTCATACAGTCTATCTGACCGTGTGTTGTCCAGTGCTAGGTAGACTCACCATATGAAACGAACTCGGGAGCTTTGAACACAGAGCCCGAGCCGTGAGCTTGTGTCAACGAGACTCGCGACATAAAGAGCACAGCGCCCATCCAAAACCCGGATGCTGTGGGCTTCTAGTTGAACGTTGAACAAATGCGTCACGGTAGCACGAGGTATGTCAGCCGAGCTACAGTAACCTGATATGGAGAACGGAGGCAAGATGGCAGTCTTGGATCAGTACTAGTACTTATCACTGATGTTTACCAGCCAATGACTCGGATCCATTGAGTGAAGGCCTATCAACGTATTGCCACATGATGGTACACTGGGGATGCGCGCGCGAGGACATCGCCGCTCATGTCGAGGGGCGTGTACTGAGACATGTCGCATCATAGGTGCAATGCCTAGTCATTTGTGGGTCAGCGACTGACCTTCTCGCTAGTCTGAACAGAGCGCACCTCTTCACACGAGTTGTCCAACAAAGTTGTAACATGAGACCCCTGGTCTTTTGTCGGGGGCTGCTGCATAACATGTACCTAGACTTCGTGTGACGGTAGGTGAGTAAATCTGAAAGCATTCCTGGTGGTCAGATATCGAAGTTCAATCACCCTCTTGTCACTGTCAGTGTCAACTTTAATGTTCACGTAGAGAACTCGGGCGCTTAGTGACGCCACATCAGGGCGGATTAGTAATCTGCTCTTTTTGGAAGGCTCTGTGTTCGCCACCCGTCGGTACGCTTGCCGGTCGACCTGCCGACAATATCTACCCTTGCGTTCAACAGATATTCTCCCTGCTACCGCAAGAAACTCGCGCGCGTTATTAAGTCAGTGTTTATAGCGTGGCTGAATGAGAAGCTTGAGCCTGAGCTTGTTGAGCGGTTCGATAAGTCCCGTATGTCATTATTCACAATACCTTCACGTAGCCTACTGACTACTGTGCTTAGGATTAGATCCCATTGGCACTGGTGCATATCCCGGTATGCCTGAACGGGGTCAAAGCCGAGACATGAAGGGTTGCCGGTGGGTGCCAGTGAGCAGTACTTATTGGGCACCCGGCTGGTATGCCCCCGACTTTGTATGCCACCGTCTCCGCAGTGCACCATGACTATTGCCGGTCGTCCCGCTTTGCCTGTCCTGCCATTCTTTCTGGTATCGCAGCTTGGTCATGCGTGTCTAATCGCAGTGTCTCCGCGATGGCCTGGACGCCTCGTAGGCACGGTCGCTCTGTACACGTTCATCGCGTCAGCCTACAAATTCACTACGGGAGACGCTCAGCGTGATTATTCTATAGGCAACACCATTGCGATCCAAACCTTCTCCATACTCCTGCTCAATTGGCTTACCAATCCAATACACGACTTCCGCCATGAGCGCGACGACTCCGCACCTGCGGACCTTTCCTTCTTCCGCCGAGTCTGGTGGGCTCTATGCGTAATCAACAGTCCGCGAGGAGTCGGATGGTCTTACGAGGTACGCACTCATCTACAGGTCTGCATGACTACTTGTAACTTATCCATGAATCGTACAGGTTGCCAACACTCCGCCGCGCCCAAGTGAACCACGATGGCTCTTTGTACGCAAGATATGCCTCAGCGCGTTCCGGTGGTTTCTATTTGTCGACCTCGCCCAATCATACCAGCGCTCCAATCAGCTGTTCTCGAGGCGAGACATGGACCTCTCGTCGCAAGGCTATCTCATGCTCCCTATTAACATCGTCGCGCGGTTCGGCAGTCTTGTTGGGATGATCGCCATGCAGTACTCGCTGTTGGCTGCTATCTGCGTTGCCCTTGGCATCTCATTGCCAAGAGACTGGCCAGGGGTTTACGGTCGGTGGTCTGACTCATACACCGTCCGCAGGTTTTGGGGGTGAGTCAATCGCTCGCTCCTTGCTTTCGTATTCATTGACTGACCACATGGTAGACGGACGTATCACCAGCTACTGCGTCGAGTATGTCCTCATTCACCACTATGCTCCATGAGCTCGTAGCACTCATTTCGTCACAGCTCACAGCTGGTATCGGCAAGGCTTGTTGCCGGGCATTAGGTCTGCAACCCGGCACACGGGCATCATCATACACCCAATTGTATGTTGGCTTCGCCGTCTCCGGGCTCTTGCACTGCTGCGGAGATTTGATGGTGAATCCATCCCTCTTCGGCGCGTCGTTCCCTTTCTTCTTCTTGCAAGCCGTCGCAATCACCTTCGAGGACGCCGTCGTTGGCATCGTGCGGAGAAGCGGTGTGAAATTCCCTCTACCGCTCGCCCATATCATCGGATACGCATGGGCTATCTCGTGGTTGTGCATCTCTGCACCGTGGCAGATCAACTGGACGCTGAAGGCCGGGATCATCGACACCAACCGCGTACCGCTCTCGCTCATTGACCGCGTGGCCCCAAATCTGGTTCCGAGTGTTGCTAAGTTAGCCGCTACTATCCCAATGTATATGAAGGTAGAGGCTTGATCAAACGCGACGGTGCTTACTGGTAGATTGTCCCCCTGTGTTGATATCGTCATTGTACATGACTTTGCTTGTTAAAGAGTCTAGTATAGGCTGAGGTTCAGTAATTACGATTCATGTATGTAGCACGTTGTCGTAGCTTGCAGCCATCGTACTTGTGCTTACAACATATCGTCGATACGACTCAACGTGCTGAGAGGCTATTGCTCGATGAGAAGCACCTATCTGATGATCATGGTATCGTGGATTCCATTCGTCTCATGCAGCTGGAATAGACGCAGAATGTGCATTGACATCGCTTCAATGGCACAAACGCAGGAAAGCCATCGGGAAAAGGTGGAGGCAATGCAAAAAGACGGTGGATTCAACATGAGTATGACACCTCTATGTTATCTGACGGATGGCCATGGAAGCTGAACTTACTGCCACTGGCGGGCCGCCGTGCATCCTGAGCTTGTGAGTGAAGGTTCATAAGTAGGATCACTTGCGACAGGGGGACGCACACACTGGTGCGATGGAAAGACCTACTCCTGGGGCTCGGAGCGTGAGTCTACTCGCGGCAGCGCACTGGTAAGTTAGCACTATGAAGACTCCCGGGAGCGGTGGCCAGCGTCCGCGTCAGGTCCGACAGTACTTAGTCTTCGCATTGAACATAGCACTTTTGGTCAAGCTTCATGGCAAGGGCCGAAGTCATGCTGAAGTAAATATGTAAGCTAGACGCGGCGTGCTCTATACGCCTCAGTCATGGAGTACCCACATATGTATAGCGCGAGATTGAGCTCAGCTTATGCAGCAGCTGTTGCTTCCACTCGCCGGCGGAGCATGTCCGAGTCTCGGTCACGGTGAGACGCGAGCGCTTTACATACCTAGACCGTGACAGCGCCACCGCTCCTCCGCTCCTCCGACTCGTCTCAGCCACCATGCATCTGTACATCATGACTCTGCACATCTCTCGCTCAACAGCCTGCACCATTTTCGTTGAAGTAGCCTTGTCAGTGGACTCGGTGCAAGGACAATTATGACAAGAGTAACTGAACTTGGTCAGTTGAGTGGCGCGCAGCGAATTTGAAATACAAGGGGCACGGTGCACCGCCGTGTCCGAGTCGACGCGCTGGATTGCGAACTCTGAGCTAGAGCTTGTTTAGCAGCTAGTCCCATGGTATGACATTCGTTTATGGTGATTCACCAGTCCCGTGTTCCATTCAAATTTGCGGCTTGCGTTGCTGACTGTACTTATCATTGAATTGCAGCCCGTCGCATGTTCACATCCGACAGCCATTCAAGTTGACACCGCGACCGCATCTACTCATGGTATGAATGGGTGCCTGGACATATGTGACTGCCCACGTCCGCCGAAATGTGAGCAGTACTTATTGAATAGCTATGATACGCTCCAGGACATTGCACGACGCCAGTCCCGCAGGGTACCATGTCGATCGACTACCGGTCCCATCTGCGTACGTTGCCCATATTTCTGGTCTCTCAGCCTGGACATGCATGTCTTATTGCGCTGTCTCCACGATGGCCTGGACGTCTTGGGGGCACAATTGCTCTCTGCATTTTTATTCAAGTGACATCCGCATCAGCATATAAAGACACCTCCGAGGACGCTCGAAGGCTCGCATACTATTCCCTCGGCCACTACGTCATGTGCCAGGCCTTTCCGTTTTCTGTTCAACTGGCTTACGGACCGATGCATGATTTCCGCCATGAACACGACCACACTCCACCCGCAGAGCTCTCGTTCCTGCGCAGGGTTTGGTGGGCGCTATGTATCATCAATACCCCGCGCGGAGTGGGGTGGTCTTACGAGGTATGCATTGGTCTACACATCTGGATGTCCATTTGTATTCACGGACTCGGACAATCTAGGTCGCTAACATCCCACCGCGCCCTACTGAGCCGCGATGGCGGTTCGTCCGCCAGAAACTCCTGAGCGCGTTCCGCTGCTTCCTGTTCATCGACCTCGCCCAAGTATACCAGCGCTCTAATCCACTGTTCTCGAGGCAAGACATGGACCTCAGGTCGCAAGGCCTTTTCATGCTTCCTCTCAACATTGTCGCGCGCTTCGGGAGCGTTGTCGCCATGATTGCCATGGAATACTCGCTCTTAGCTGCAACCTGTGTCGCCCTTGGCGTCTCCTCACCAAGAGACTGGCCAGACATCTACGGCAAGTGGTCTGACTCGTACACCGTTCGTAGATTCTGGGGGTGAGTGATTCGCCCCTTGGACTGCTACACATAGGCTAACCACATGGCAGACGAACGTACCATCAGTTACTGCGTCGCGTATGTCCTCATTCACCGCTATGATACCGCGCTTCTCAGGCTCAATTCATTTGCAGCTCACAGCCGGTATCGGAAAGGCTTGTTGCCGGGCATTAGGTCTGCAACCCGGGACATGGGTGTCTTCCTACATCCAACTCTATGTCGGCTTCGCCGTCTCCGGATTCTTGCACTGCGGTGGGGATTTGATGGTAGATCCATCCCTCTTCGGCGCATCGTTCCCTTTCTATATCTCACAAGCCGTCGCGATCACCTTCGAGGACGCCGTCATTGGCATCGTTCGGAGAACCGGAGTAAAGTTCCCTCAACCGCTGGCCCGTGTCGTGGGATACGCCTGGGCTATACTGTGGTTGTGTATATCCGCGCCATGGCACATCAACTGGATGCTGAAGGCTGGGGTCGTTGACACAGTTCGCGTGCCAGTCTCACTCATTGACCTCATAGCCCCAAATCTTGGTGCGTTTGCCACTAGTTTACCCCTAGCATTGCTATGAGTTTCAGGTCGGAGGATTGACTTGACACGGACGACTACCAATCGATTAATGTTTCAACTGTACGAGAACTGTCAGTGTGTCTCACGTTGTGTACGGGATGTAGTGTCAAATTTGGGCGGGCTTTCATTCATTTTCGAGAACATGTGTATGAGGGTGTTCCGAGTCGTAGCTCGCCGCGCTTGTATATGTACTTGACACTTGATCAGGAGACTACGATTCGTGCGCTTGTCCGGGCAGAGGTCAATGTCGAATTGTACAACTGTGTCCTTGGTGAGTGAATGCGTCTTCACCCCAAAACGAGCAAGTTATCGTTCCTCTCATAAGCCGATAAGCGAAGAACGAGCATTGACATCGCCAGATTTGTACAAAAGTGGCGCCAGTCATCGAGTCTGAACGAGGTGGCTGAGTCTTCAGCATCCGGCGGCATGCTGTCTAGATCTGGTCTTCCTCGAGATGGCCCCGAGGCCATGGTGAGCAAAAAATGATTGAATAGGGACTTTAAGTTGGGACCGCGGACTCCGTTGCCCGTCCGTGTGTAGCTTATAATAGACTCTCGGGCCACACTCATCGGAGCCATCGCACGGGCTGCCAGTGCATCCGGGCTGCATGCAGCAGAGCGACGAGCCGAAATGCCGCTACATACTGAGTTAAGGTATAGTTAATGCGACGAGTCATCGATGCGAATAAAGCTACATAGGCTCGGCATCATGTGTCTAGCCTTCTTTCACGACGAAAATACAAGGCCTGAACAAGGGAACTTCCAAATCGGGAGGACAATGGTTGTGGGGCCTGCGAATAATCGCCCAGAAAGGCAGTTGAACGAACACGTGCATCGCACGCCTGTGGCTAGCGAGCGCTCAGTGTGGCTTCACCTCCTCCCCTCACCCAGACGACGCGAAAGGCAGCCACTGCGCGTCCCTCGTGTAATTTGATAAGTTCTGTTACACGAGAGCACAATTAACACGAAAATACACTGCTTTTGGCAGAATAAGCCGTGAGTTATACCGGCCAGGGCCGTATTCTGAGATACTGACGATCCGAACCTCCGTGGACCGCGTCCTGATTTGGCAGTTGGCCATCAACTCCGAATCAAACATGCCTCGCGGACGCGTAAACATGCCCACCTCGCACTCTGCTCCTTCCTCCCCCCACTCTCATCCCGACTACATTGACATCGACGTCGACATCGACATTTCCGAACATCCCCAACACGACACTCCGATGTCTGACAAAGTAACCCCCGCTCGTGGCCAAGGCCGCATGCAATACGTAGGCGATGCTGCCGACGCGAAGCGAGACAACAAGGAGAACATGGCGTCCTGGCAGCGAGAGATCACGACAGGATCAAGGAGTACCCGGACAACATCAACAGGTACCTCTCTGCGATGGTTCCGTCGGATACACCTGTACCACCCTGCCCTAATATGGGCAGGTCGCTCCAGCTGATCCAAGTGGGAAACTTGAGAACGCGATGTATGGGCCACTGGTCAGTGTGCGATGGACGGTACCGTATCACGCGATAGCTGATGTGACGGTTGTGTTCAGATGAAAGCACTGGAGCGAATGGTAAGGCCGTTCCCGCACGGAAAGCGGCCCAAGTTCCACAACTACGAGCACAAGGTCATGAAGTTTCCGTTCGAGCCGTACGAACACGACCAACACCCCACGAAGCCCGACGTCATTGCGACGTTCCCGACACTACCTTTCATCTCTCCGCTGCATCGCTGGAGACATGTCGCTCTCGTCTTCGAACTCAAGTCGCTGGCGTCGGCCGACCCGATGATGATGAACATGCAGACGCACTGGGAGACGCTCGTGCAGCTTGCAAAGAGCGCGCGGAACATCATGCTCTCGCAGGGGAGACTGTTCGCGTTTGTCGTCGGTATATATGGCGATCAGGCTCGTATCTTTCGCTTTGACCGCGCCGGTGCGATATGCTCGCCCAAGTTTGCGTACAAGAATCATCCGGAGATCTTGCACGCGTTCATGTGGCGCTTGTTCCACCCGCGAGACAGGCGTTGCGCGATCGTCGGGGAGGATCCGACGATGAAGCTGGGAACGAGTATGGACCGGGAGCTGGCAGACAAGCTCGCATCGAAGTACGACGATGAATGGAAAAGGACCGCGGAGACGCGGAAGGCAGTGCGACGGATTACCATGCAGGACGAGAAGGGAAAGCCGACGACGTACCTCGCATACAAGCTGATCTTCGTGAACTCTGGCTGTTTTCCCGCGCAACACTGATCTGGGAAGCGTTCATCGTCGACAAGAGGAACCGAAGCACAGGCGAACGATACATTCTGAAGGAGACGTGGCGGCAGCTTGGTCGCCTCGATGAGGTCGGCTTCTACGAGAGGCTACAGTACGCGAAGCTCGAAGAACACAAGGAGAATCAGACGAAGGATCGTGGCGTGGTCGAGGCAGAGACCAACGACGACGTCGAGGTCGAAGGGAAACTTGCGGCGGAGGTACAGGCCCTAGGCGAGGCCAGATTCACGTACGGTGTCGCGAGGTACATATACGGCGAGGACTACGGCGAGAGGGATGAAGCACATCGGAAGCTTGTGGAGCAGGCAGAGACCTCTGGAGCTCCTGTGCCCGAGGACACGAAGGCGGGTCACCGGACGATCTCTGGGGTGCATAATGCGCCTGAGAAGGTGCGGATGAATGAACGAAGTCACATGCGGATGGTTCTCCAGACAGTTGGGACGCCGCTGGCGATTCAGGTGCACGCGGGAGGTCGTATTGCGCTGCGCGATGCTGTGGAAGGTACGTCGCAATGCAGGTGATATATTCACTTCTAGTAGACTGCGGTTCTTTGTTGCAGGACACAGAAGGGCGTACGAAGCTGGGATTATACACCGCGACGTCAGCGAAGGGAACGTGATGATCTCGCGCCTTCGTGCTGCGTTCGCTGGCTTCATTCAAGACTTTGACTTCAGCTTCAGCTGGCGACGGTTCTTGCAAAAGCGTGGCTGGGATGTGAATCTGGCCACATGGGAGAAGTACTGCGTCGAACACGGCACGAACCGCCCGGGACGACGAGAAGACTGACCCCGCGAACGACTGCAAGGAGCGCACAGTGAGTAAATGGTCTCTCGAGTCTATACGTTCTCTCATCTATCTGTCAGGGCACGATCCTCTTCATGGCAGTTCAGGTCTTGAAGGGCAAGATCACTCATGAAGCACGTCATGACTTGGAGTCGTTCTATTGGCTCCTGATATTCATAGTCCTTCGGCACACTGATCATGACCATGATTCCGGAAAATGCGCTTTTGGAGATCTCTTCTGTCTCGACTCTATTGAGCAATGTATGAGACAGAAACGAGACTGGCTACAGGACGAAACAACCCCTGTGAGGGTTCGTGGTAACGAACCTCTGTCGACTCTACTGGAACAATTGCGAACACTCTTCGACGGCAATTTCGCTCGCAAAGGGTACCGATCAGACGTGTTACACACACAGAAGTCCTTCAGCTTTTCGACGCAGCACTGGCCAAAGAGTGGCCCGTCGATGATGCGGCCATTACGTGGGTTCCTCCAGCAAACCGGGGACATACCAACCCGATGATGGAGTCGAGGGCAAGCCCGTGACGATGGGTACGAAGGATCACACCACTGCTGGCGATTTTCCGTTCCCCACCCACGAAATCCCCCCGCCGCGGACCGCGCCTGAGTATGAGCAATCGGACAACGAGCAAGACGGCTCGAAGACTCCCGACCATAGCGACGACGAGGATGCCAGTGTGATGCTAGCCCAAGAGCCAAGCGACAGGAGGTGGTCACAGATATTGACGAGCGTCCGAATGCTCCGGATGCCCCTCATGGACTTGCTCTTTTGGACGAGGAACCGCAACAACCAGAGGCCAATGCGTCCGAGTCGCCGGAGCAAACGGAACCGCAAGTGCGCGCGAGCAGTCGCCGCCGCGCTCAATTGCCTCCCAAGGCCAAGCCTCCGGTCACTAGGAACGCGGGCTCCCGTCGCAATGTCGCTGAGACGTGGCCAGCGAGCAACGTTGACGCAGCCGGCGCGAGGCCGGGCCACCGCTACAACCTTCGCTCGTCGGGCCGTCGTGACTTCGGTGCGCCGGGCACCTCTGACGCAGCGGACTGTGCCCCAGTTGCTCCGCGGAGGTCGACTCGTGTTCGCGCGAAGGCAGCGTCGAAGGCGCGGGATACTGGATCGAGGGACAGTAGCATTGGGAAGCGGAGTCGTGAGGGATCAGACCAGAGCGAGGTGGAGGAAAGCCTGGACGCGCAGTCGTCGAAGCGGCCAGGACCGTCAGTCAGCCCGGGGCAGGAAGGCGTCGAAGAAGTCGGAGAGAAGAAGTATAGTTTGCGTAGGCAATCCTGAGCAGACAGGGCTTTAGAATGTATGTATCGGCCGGTTTCCTTCATCCATCTATCTCGTTCACTGTGCGTCGAAACGTTGACCGTTCATGTCGTCTGCCACACCTGCCAGTAACTTGCAATGTCAACTGGCAATACGTTTGCGAACCAAAAATTCTGCTATGTCGTACGTTGGTCGACGCTAAGCGCTAAGCACCGAAGCATGCGCGATGTATCGTAGTAGTCGCGAGGGTACTAGCATCGCCTTCAATAGTGATGTACGTTGTGTGATCTAGATCGGTCAGTGGTCGACATGGATGGTACTACATACGAGTGTCTTTGCTTTCTGGAGCTGCATCTGCTACTCCCTATAACTGAGATGAAGATAGTTTTGCCTCGATTCAAGTTCAACCTCTATCCATCTGTCGGTGCCGGCCTGAAAATGAGGTGAACTCTTTCGCATTTGGCGTCGCGCGGCCGGCCCGTGTAGTATACAACATACTAGTACCTCTCATGACGCATCGCGAAACGTCTGAAAAATGAACGTGTTGTATTGATCGAACATGTTCGTCGTGCCTCTCAGCTATATGTGTCATCAGGTATTCATTGACTGACCACATGGTAGACGGACGTATCACCAACTACTGCGTCGAGTATGTCCTCATTCACCACTATGCTCCATGAGCTCGTAGCACTCATTTCGTCACAGCTCACAGCTGGTATCGGCAAGGCTTGTTGCCGGGCATTAGGTCTGCGGCCGGAACACGGGCATCATCATACACCCAACTGTATGTTGGCTTTGCCGTCTCCGGGCTCTTGCACTGCTGCGGGGATTTGATGGTGAATCCGTCCCTCTTCGGCGCGTCGTTCCCTTTCTTCTTCTTGCAAGCCGTCGCTATCACCTTCGAGGACGCCGTCGTTGGCATCGTGCGGAGAAGCGGCGTGAAGTTCCCTCTACCGCTCGCCCATATCATCGGTACGCGTGGGCTATCTCGTGGTTGTGCATCTCCGCACCGTGGCAGATCAACTGGACGCTGAAGGCCGGGATCATCGACACCAACCGCGTACCGCTGTCACTCATTGACCGCGTGGCCCCAATCTGGGTCCGAGTGTTGCTAAGTTGGTCACTGCTAACCCAATGTATTTGAAGGTAGAGGCTTGATCAAACGCGACGGTGCTTACCGAAAATTGTCCCCCTGTATTGATATCGTCATTGTACGCGACCTTGCCTGTTAGCTAATCAAGTACTTTCAGCCCAGTTGCGAATGTTGTCACTAGATATCATTAAGATAGATTCATCGGGCACCGAAACCTGAGACCCAGTACTAGAAGAGCAGTGAATAGCCGAGAATTGAACCAAGTCTAGAATGGCGCGAACGCGTTGCGAAAATACCACGTGGAAACGCGTCGGTGGCGCGAACACATGGGCGCTTGAAACGCGTCCTTCGTCCTTCGTCCTCTCGAACGAGCGCATCTGAACACCGCCTGTTGCTACGGGAGATCAGTCTCATGTATTCTCCAGCCTCAAGCTGAAGATGTCGTGGGCTGCGCTCTCAGGCTCTTACTATCTGATCTCCTCGACCAGCACCCCAGGGCCACCAGTGGGTCCGATCGAGCGCCGGTGACTTGCCGACTGAGTCCATTCATTTGAGTTGCCCCTCCTGTAATCGCCTGGAGCGTAATTCCAACCAGCTTATAGCTTCATGCATTCTTCCGGGAATGACGGTACGCAGATTATTGCGAACTTGAAGTAGGCTGCCGGATGTCATAAGCCCGAGTCCAAATGCAATACCGACTCCACAGCCTCCTACGGCCTACTGAGGTGCCACCTCGAGCTCTTCCACTGACCATGTAGCTATCACGAAGATTGCTACAGTGCTACTCGTACCACTAGTCTGATAGCCCAAGGCACGGATCGCGAGGCTGAGCTTGTGTATCATACCCTGAAAGGTTATTCAAAACTTCAAGGTACCGTCGATAGTACATAGATGGTACATCCCCGGAGATACCAGTCAATGATGTGGCAGACATTCTGTTCACAGCGACCGACGTCGAAGCCTAGCGCACCAGCTTGAAGGCTCTATATGTAGTAGACTCCTAGTGCCTCTCCACGTGTGATATATAATCACTGGACTACTTGGGCCACTGTGGCGGAGATGGGTACTCATTCCTGGAAGAGAACTCCGCTACTACAGCCTACCAATTACTATGAAATGGGGTTTCCGCGGTCGAGCGTGCCATTCGTGTCATTGGTGGCGTGCATCCGGCAGTACCTCCGATCATCACCGAGGGTAACGCCGCCTTCAACAGCGGTGAACTTGAGTTTCAAGGCGATAGTATTAGTGCCTGCAGTACTCTGCTCTACTCTGCTATCTAGGAGATCATACCACACAGGCTTGGCGCCGCCATGTGCTCGAGTCTTCTTTTCGCGACGAAAATACAAGGCCCGAACAAGGGACCTTCCAAATCGGGAGGACAATGGTTGTGGGGCCTGCGAATAATCGCCCAGAAAGGCAGTTGAACGAGCACGTGCATCGCACGCCTGTGGCCAGCGAGCGCCTAGTGTGGCTTTACCTCCTCCCCTCACCCAGACGACGCGAAAGGCAGCCACTGCGTGTTCCTCGTGCAATCTGATAAGTTCCGTTACACGAGAACACAATTTATACGAAAATATCCCGCTTTTGGGCAGAATAAGCCGTGAGTTTCACCGGCCTAGGCCGAATTCTGCAGCGAACATGAGATACTGACGATTCGAAACTCCGTGGACTGCGTCCTTTTTTGGCAGTTGGCCATCAATCCCAAATCAAACATGCCTCGCGGACGCGTAAACATGCCGCCCTCGCACTTTCCCTCGCTCCTCCCACCCTCATCCCGACTACTTCGACTTCGACTTCGACGTCGACATTGACTTCTCCGAGCAGCCCCAGCACGACACTCCATGTCTGACAAAGCTACACCCCGCCAGAAACGGCCACAGCAGTACCACAGCGATATCGACCAAACCAAACGGACCAACGCAGAGGAGATGGCTGCCTGGGCGGGAGAGATTCACGACCGGATCAGGGAGTACCCCGAATCCATCAACGAGTACTTGTCTAGCATGGTGCCATCGGATACGCCTGTCCCTGCATTTCCACGGATGGGTAGACTGTTCAAGGTGATCCCGATTGACACAGTCGAAAAGGACATGTATGAGCCATTGGTCAGTGCACGCAATGTTGCCATCGCTAAACAGGTTTGCTGACTTTGTCCGTAGGTGACGGCACTGAGTCGGCTGGTCAGCTCATTTCCGCCCGACGTGCGGCCTCACTTCCACAACTACGGCCACAAGCCCTTGTATTTTCCCTATAAACCATACGAATCTGAGCAGCACTCGACCAAGCCGGACGTGATCGCGACTATACCGGCCCTGCCCTTCGTGGGACCACATGACCAGTGGAGACATGTCGCATTGGTGTTCGAACTCAAGTCGGGGTCAGGTCATGACCCGATGGTGACGCACGAGAAGACACACTGGGAAACGTTGGTGCAGCTTGCGAAGAGCGCGCGCAACATCTTATTCTCGCAGGGGAGGCTGTTCGCATTCGTCGTCGGCATATACGGGGACCAGGCTCGAATCTACCGCTTCGACCGCGCGGGAGCAATATGTTCACCCCGATTCGAATACAAGGAGCGTCCAGAGATATTCCACGAGTTCCTGTGGCGACTGCTCCATCCCAGGCTATCCGAGTGCAGGCTCGTCGGAGAAGACCCTACGATGACGCCAGGTACTAGGGCGGACCTAGATGAAGTGCACTCTCTGACGAAAGCCCACGATCCCAAATGGGCCCACACGGAAAAGACGCAGAAGACGGTGCGGCGGATCATCGTGACGGACAAGCAGGAGAACGAGACGACGTATTTGGCGCACAAGCTGCTCTTCGTGAATCCGCGGCTGTTCTCACGAGCGACGCTCGTATGGGAGGCGTACAAAGTCGGCGAAGAGGAGGTGAATAGGGGCAGGAGGTACGTCGTGAAGGAGTCGTGGCGGCAGTTGGGTCGTTTCCGCGAAAGCGACTTCTATGAGGCGCTACGAGATGCCACGGGGGGCGAACCGATCTTCGGTATGGCTTCTTTCATTCATGCCGAGGATCTCGGTGATCACGATGAGGACGAGCGGAAACGAGAGGTGGAAGCGCGGCGCCTGAGATCGCAGAGCCGTGCGCCTCCGGGCATGAAGTTAGTCGGTCACCGGACTATCGCAGGGGCGCACAACGCACCGGGAATGGGGCGGCTGAACGAACGGAGCCTTACACGGGTCGTCTTGGAGACGGTCGGTACGCCGCTCGCGAAATTCAAGCGTACGAAGCAGTTGGCCATGGCGCTGCGAGACGCCATAGAGGGTAAGCTACGACTGCTGCTCAGGATGTCGCTGACGAGCGACTACGACAGGACACCGGCGGGCGTACGAGGCCGGAGTAATCCACCGCGATATCAGTGAAGGGAACGTGATGATCGCTCCAGAGGGTGCCGCCTTCTCAGGCTTCATCCAGGACCTCGACTACAGTTTCAACTGGAAATGGTTCCTATATAGGCGCGAAATGCAAGTGGATCTCGCCAAGTGGGAGGAGTACTGTGTTCAACACGGTCACGAGCCGCGCAGCCAGAAGGATGCTAACAACGACTCTAAGGAGCGCACTGTAAGTAAGTACCGTCCCGGTTTGATACTTTGACTGAGACGTTCGCCAGGGCACGGTCTTCTTTATGGCCATCGAAATTCTGCAGGCTGAGATCACCCATGAAGCACGACATGACCTGGAGTCGTTCTATTGGCTCCTTGTCTTCATCGTGCTCCGGCACACTGCTCATGATCATAAAGACAAGGATGGGGCATTCGGGACCGTGTTCTGCCACTCTGGTTGGGAAGAATGTGCCCTTATCAAGGAAGGTTGGCTACAGAAGCGGAAGCCTCCTTTAACGGTCCCTGGGAACGAACCGTTGACCTCGTTGCTGGAAGAATTTCGTGTGGCGTGCCGCTCCAACCTCGGCGATTCAGACTCACATCGCATCACGCATAGTGAAATCCTCGATATCTTCGACAAGGTGCTAGCTGCAGACAATGTCTGGCCAGACAGTGACGCTGCCCTGCCGTGGAAACTTCACAAGAACGGAGCATACACGGAAACGATGCAGAAGTCCCTTGGTCAGTCGGTGCAGCCGGGCTCTGTGGATCCAATGACGGGTGCCAAAACCGAATTTCCCCGCCCGCCGCCTGTCACCCAGCCCCGAGGTGCATCCAATCATCCACAGCCAGATGAGGACGATCAGCAAGGCGAAACCGCAGGCGTCTCAGGCGAGGATGGACCTGGTGGGCTGGACCAACAAGGGGCAGACGCCGCGGCCATACGCGTAGCTGTCGACGAGCCGGCAGATGAAGAGATTGCGTTCTGGCAGGGTAGACCGGCTTCCGTTCAGCCGGCGGTGCAACCCAAGCCCAGTACCTCTCAACCGCGAGCACGGAAGGAGACTCGACCACAGGTCGGCAGCAGGGCAAAGAGCGGTCGTCGTGCCGAGTCGCCGCCAGCGGCGAAGCGTCCAGCAACCCGCAAGAGAGCAGCACCGAGTCACAGCATTGCCGAGACGTGGCCGGCCAGCCATGTTGACGCGGAGGGTGCAAGCTCAGGTCATCGCTACAATCTCCGTTCGTCTAGCCGCCGTAATTGGCTGTGCCGAGCCATCTGACGCAGTCGACCTTGCGCCGATTGCTGGGCGGCGGACGACCCGTTCGCGTGCGCAGACGACGTCCAAGCAGCGGGACACGGGCTCGAGGGACAGCAGTGTGGGGAAGCGCGGCCGTGCTAAAGAGGAGCCTGATGGGATCGAAGAAGACCCAGAATCGCAGTCGTCGAAACGGCAGAGGACTCTCAGTCAGCCCCGAGGCAGGAAGACGGCGAAGAAGCAGGGAAGGAAACCGTGATTGGCTTGAGTTCGCATCTAACCCGCAAGTCGGTGGCTGGGTCCACCGAAGATGAAGACTCGGATTTGACAGTGTGTAATAGAGTATCGGTTTCTTTAATCATTTCGTTGGTGCTGTGCTCTGGCCAAGTACGGTATTGTCGATGCAAACAACTGTAGTTATGGCTGACAGCTGAATCCGCAAGCGTACATAAGTATAGAGGACCAGTTCGTCACTCGGAAGCAACGGGTCGGCTTTGTTTGAGCCTTCTCAATCGTCATTGGTCGTGAAGTTGAGTGACGCCAAATAGTGGTCGCCGTGGTTCGTTATTCAAGTGATCCGGAACAACTCTTGGGTACTGAGAACCCTCAGCTTACATCTAGACCTTATTCTCTGTCATTCGCTTCTACGAGTGTCATACATGTGGTTGGTACTTCGAAACCGTTCGCAGTCTTACTCGGAAAAGATATGGCTTGGAGATGTTTCAAAATCGAGCCGCAATATGTCCGACCGTATCGCATATAGTAACCCTTCCGGGACTCTGCTTGTACAATCTAATCGCGGTGTCTCGCCCAAGACCCTGCCTCTGACTGCACGAGCACCTTGAGGCGGTCTATAGTCGGAGAACGGCAGAGCCGAATCTGTCTGTAGTGCCCGCCCGACTACGTACGATCTATGAAACACATCATTTGTCTCCTGGAGTCCCTTGCTGACACCAGTGGCCAGGATGATTTACATCACTGTACTCTATGGAAGACGGTGAACAAAGCCTGTCACAAGTCGCGAAGCGTCCGAGAAAGGACTCAAGTTCAGACCAATCTCGCAGCCCTCGCCGTGATTCGTCGCCGCGGCGAAAGGGAGGGGAAAATGAAGGTAAAGTCGACTCGGAGGCGTGATAGAAAAAATGCTTTTTGAGTATCCAGCGATGGTAACGAGTCGTCTAGTGGTGTTACATGCACAACTACAATGTTAACACTGCACCTGAAAATAGTCCTGACTGAGACCCTGGTCTAAGTGCATGTACTAACAATGGGGCAACCATCTGCGTTGAATAGTAGTAAACCAGCATCACAGCCGACCAATCTATGAAACTTCACCGCCAGTGACCTCGCGATTTGGACTGTAGTTACTAGTACATCACGAGTGCTACGGTAATCCTCAGCTACCTAACGTCTTCAGACTCAGCGAGAGATCGAGATGTATCACACAATCGCAGTCAATGATACAGTGATAGCAAACGATCCATCCTAGTTTACCAGTCCATGCAATAGCAAAGCACAACGTCTACCTCCACATCTACCGCGAGCGGATATTTGAGTGACGGATACTGAGCAATCGTGAAAAACGGCCCGTGGACCAGCGCAATCAAACGTACGCATGAAGGGTCATGCATCGTCGCCGAGACAACCAGTGTCCCTTCATCGCCGCGTGGAACGTCTCCTTCTGGCCGGAGCAGAACGGCCTTGGACGTGGTCGCTGGCTGTCCTCGTCCGCTTCGATCGATCGGGCTCGACTTCGGACGTGTCGCGACGTTCGAAAGATCGCTTGCCAGCGCGACTGCCGCTCGCTGCGCGCGCTCCACTTCCGCCTGCTTGCGCCGCCGCTTGTTGTCGCGTCCGTGAACCTGCCTGGTGAGATTGGCCACTAGGCCCGGCTTGAGGAGGAGGCACCGATTGCCCACTCCGCTGACCCGATGACTGAATCCTGCTGCTATTGACATCGCTCTTCAGACGCTCCGAGCCCTCGGGACGCGGAACTTTATCGTCGTCGTTGGGTAGGACGAACGGTCTCGCCCTATCGTCCGATGGCCATTCCTTCTTGAGCGCGTCGTTGAAGATATCCAGAACCTTCTCGTACGTCAGCGGCTCCGTCTCGATGAAAGGGCTCATAGTGCGAAGGCACAGCACGCGGAAGTCCTCGAGAAGGGTGGTCAGCGGCATGTTACCGATGACAACAAGCCGCGGACCGATGTGTGGGTCGAGCGAATTGAGCCATGAGTTCTTCTTACTGATGCAGGTGTCGTCATCATCCCCGTCAAAGACTGCTTCACACGCCCTGGCACCTTTAGGGTGATTGTGCCTGGTATGCCGCAGGACGATCCAAAGGAGAAGCCAGTAGAACGACTCCAGGTCGTGACGAGCTTCGTGAACGATTCCGCCTCGGATGATCCTCAGGGCCATGAAAAACAAGGTACCCTGCGTGAACAGAATAAACATATCATACTCTGCTATTCAGACTAGAGTACGCACCGTTCGTTGTTTACACCGCAATTTCAACTCTTCCGTGCTCAGAGACGTACCAGGCTCTTGCCGTGGCACACTGTTGTGCTTGGTCAAATCCACACCCCTAGGGACGTCCTCTTCTTCATCATCTCCAAACCATCACCTACAACTCCGTCGTCAGTTCTTCGACTGATCCTTCTCTGACGTCGCTGGTAGTCGACTCTTCTCCAACCTCCTGAGATTCGTCGTCATAGCCTTCCTCTTCTACAAGTTCGCCATCGTAGTATTCCTCGTCCTCCTCAGCAGGTGCAAACTCGCCCTCGTAATCCCCTTCCTCTTCCTCTTCCTCTTCCTCTTCATACAGATACCATTCTGGATCCAGACCCGGCTGCACCTCCATAGCGGCCTTATTGGCGTCTTTGAGCGCCTCTAATATCTTCGCACTTTCGGTTTGCACGAAAGCATCCCAGTCCTCGAGCTTCGTGCCATGCTGAGAAAATCAAGGAGCTTCTTCCAGTTCAGACCGTAGTCGAAATCTTGAATGTACCCCTTGAACGTATCGTTGGGGTTGCGCGATATCATGACGTTGCCTTCGCTAACGTCACGATGCATGATGCCGGCCTCGTAAGCTGCACGGTGTCCTGGTAACAGAGAATAAGTCAGGCGTATCAGAGCACTCGGTACGGATTCCATACCGATAATTGCGTCGCGCAAAGCTTCCACCAGCTCCTTCGTCGAGTTGAAGCGAGACAGAGGTATACCAACCGTCCCCAGCACCAAGCGCACATGACTTCGTTCATTGTGGGCATGCGCCGTACCTTTGACGGAGTGTCGTGCAGTGACTGTGAGATGGCCGACGTCCCGGCCGCCAGGCTCGCCGCGTTGCAAAGACAGGATCTCCTTCGTACCGAGATCTTCGCCAGACACGAATACCGCAATGCCAGGGACATCTGCGCCGCCGCGGAAAATCTCCCTGTAGTTGTCTGTCTCGAGTGGTCGGACCATCTGCCGCCACGAGTCCTTGATGACGACGGGCGTCTTCACAGGCTTGTTGTCTCCGTCGACTTCGATAGCCTCCCACACCGTCGTCGCCCGCGAGAACAGATGCGGATTGATGAAGAGCAGGTCGTAACAAGATACCTCGTCCCTTCCGCTTCCCCTCCGAGCTCCCGACAGTGATATAGCGATATATCTTCGACGCCTCGGGTGTGTTCTTCGCCTTCACCCCTGCGTCACGCAGCTTCTTGACGACCTCCGCACGCTGTCCCGCATGGACGAGCTGCACAGTAGGGTCATCGCCCACGACGCGACAGCCAGAGTGTGGCGTGGATGGGTGAATCGCCACAGAAATTCGTGGAGGAGTCGGCTGCCGTCAAGGGTCGTGTAGTCAAATGCGTCCGAGCAGACGGCGCCGGCGTGGTCGAAGCGAAAGATCCGAGCGAGCGGTCCATAGACACCGATAACGAAGACGAACAGTCGGCTCTGCGACACGAGCAGGTTACGCGCACTCTTCGACAGCTGGACCAGTGTAGCTTCGTGGGCATCTGAGTACGACTTCATCGGATCATCGCTCACGGCGAGCTTCACCTCCACGACGAACGAGATGTTCCTCCAGTAATCGGCATGTCGGCCAATCGACTCCTCGCCGGGAAACGAGGCGATCACATCCGGCCGAGTGACGTGGTGCTCCGATGCGCACAGCTTGTAGGGGAATACGATGCGGTCGTGGTTGTGGTTGACGAATACAGGTTTCTTGGTGCGATCGAAGCGCCTCACTAATGAAGTGAATCCGTCACACTGGAGCAGGGTGAGCAACGCGGAATTGACCCGGAGTGGCGTGCTCACCAAGGGACCGTACATCTCGCTCTCTAACCTGGCATTCTTCGGCATCTGGAAGGCCGCTTTGGTCACAGACTTAAGAGGCTTTTCTCCGGGCACAAAGTGCTCGAGGAACTCTGCTACAGGATTCGTGATGAGCACGATTTTGCCTGCGATTTCGCTCTTCCATGCAAGCTGATTCTTGCGACTGCCTTGCTGGGTATCGTGCTTGGTGACAGGTCGATGGTTCCGTACACCCGCCTTGCGGGGGGAGACGTAGTGCGCCATGTCGGAGGAAGAGGACGAGGGCTGCGGATGATGCCAGCGGAGGTTGATATGATCGCTACAGCGGGAGCCACACGAGGGCCGTGCGAGCGCGACATCCGCGACCGTTTAGACTGGTAAGGCATGTCGGAGATCCAAGCCAATGGCCGTGGTCGTGATCCAGAAAGGAAATTTTGCGGAAGTACCCTAGAAGTATATCTGATGGGCCGCTCGTGAGTCAGTCTGTGGTTCTCGCCCAAATGGGAGTTGATATGGCTTACCGTCCGAAAACGAACACTGCTCTGACTCGATTCTTTGTTTGAAGAGCTACTGGGCACCCGCAGTGTATGGGCAGCAACTATCTACGGTGACTACGCGTGAATCGCGTCGTAGGACACGCTATGGGCACACAACGACGACGAGGAGAGGACGACGGGACCGCGCCACAACCGCGCTCGTGGATCAGGCGGAGTTCGAACTGCCAAATCGGGCGGCTGATGCCGATCCATCACATCCATTGTTCGTCTCTTTTGGACAGGCCTTGCTTTCACAGCCGAGCCGTCTCGTTGCCCAGATATTTGGCAAATTTACCGTGTGGCGAATTCCTGCAGCGAGTTACGAATATTTATTGGAATGTAGCCTTGCGACCTGCCTGGGCTCGTTAGGGTCGATTAACTATTGCGGCGTTGCATAGCGCTCTGCCTGCTGTCCGCATTGGGCATCCCCTTTCATCTGTGTTCTGCGGAATAGAGACAGCTCGGGTCTGTGCGGACGTCGCACTGGCCCATATCGAGCAGAAGATCTATTGCGTATCGATTGACCACGCGCGGCGATGCACGCTCCGTGGACTACTGTGGCTTTGTTACCCACGCACCCGTTTGGTACAGGGTGTGATCGCCCCCGCGCTTTCGCGCCACTGCATCTCACTCGCTGTTTTGTCCTGCATATCCCGTCTCACTAGCATCTACGCCTCTGGATACAGTATCATGTCGAGATGCACAACTCGCAGAAGATCGCCATGAACAGTCCCAGGTTTCTTGAGATATGGCCGAGCCAGTTCTGTGGCAAGTTCGCCGTGGTCGGTGCCGACGCAGAGAGCTTTCTCGACCATTGTGTCCCCAGAGCAAAGCGTCCGACGCCTGCGTGTCCGCGCCCAAGGGGAGGTGTCTTCAGAGTCCCGGACCAGAACTGCGACAGATATCTGCATGCATTGACAAACGCAATAGTAAGTGAGATGTCGTGCAAAATGCGACGCGCAGCTGACCGGGATAAAGACCAACGGATTAGACACTCTCGTCTGCTCTTTTCCGCGCGAGCAGCGCATCGTCTTCAACAGCAACCGCCGTCAGGCCATGCCCCTGGACCTAGGGGCGTGCAGTCCGACTGACAAATGCATCGGCGAACCGAGCATCATCGCGTGCCTTCCGTGCTATCCCATTCTCCCCGTCACCACAGGAGCCACCTGGTGGGATATTTCCATCGTCGTCGACGTCGACGCCGCGGCCACAGACGACCCAATCACCGAGTTCCGCGGAAGCCACATCCCCACGCTCACCCGCATCGAGCGCAGCGTGAACTGCATCATGGTCGCTCAGGGCCGCCTGTTCGCCTTCGCGGTGGGCGTATACGGCCACACCGCCCGCATCTACAGGTTCGACCGCGCTGGCATCATGGTGTCTCCGGCCTTCGAGTACGCGAAGCAGCCCGACATCCTCCACGAGTTCCTCTGGCGATTCCTCAATCCGACCCAAGGCGGCAGCAGCGTCATTGGCAGCGACCCCACCATACGGGCGCCCACCGACGCCGAGTACAAATGGGCCACACTGCTGGCACGCCAACACGAGGACGACGCACAACAAGGGCGCCAGATCATCGAGCAGCAGCACGCATGCAGGCTGTTCTCCGTCACCGGCCGACAGGGCCACGCGTCGCAGTACCTGGGATACAGGGTGGTCTCCACATTCATCGGCCACGCGTTCTCGCGGGGGTCACAGTGTGGAAGGCCCTCGACATGAGCACGGGCGACCGCGTCGTCGTCAAGGACCTGTGGCGCCCGATGTCGCGACCGTCGGAGATACGCTTCTACGAAGACATCCAAGCGTACTCCGAGTGGTGCTGGAAGAGAAGAGGCGTGCGACGACGCCGACGTCCAGCCCAACCCGGACTGGCCCAATTCCACTGCGGAGAGGACTTGGGCGGCGTCGAGCAGCGCAACCGACTGCCCGGGGCCAGAGCGACGCAGACAGGTATCGCGGTCTTGTCGTCGCTCCATCACCAGTCGCTGGGACCTGCCACCGGCCACCAGACTGTCTCTGCTCGACTGCTGGGGAAGGACGACTGGCGGGAGCACGAGAAGAGCCACGAACGATTCGTTGTCGAGTCGGTCGGGACACCCTTGGCCAAGTTTGGGCCAACCAAAGAGCTCGTCGAGGCCATCCGCGACGCCTTGCTTGGTACGTGTCTTCGTCCGATCTCGCCCGCACCGCCTGCTAACTCCACCGGCCATCCCAGGCCACAAGCGTGCATTCGATGCCGGCGTGCTCCATTGCGACGTGAGCGAGGGAAACGTTCTCCTCTGCCGACACCCGTCTGCTGGCTTCAAGGGATTCCTACACGACCTCGACATAGGCTTCGAGTGGAAACAGTTCCTGGGGTCCCACGGGTGGACAGCCGACGTGGAGAGCTATGAACAATTCGTGGCGTCGGGCGAAGGTATAGCGCAACCAAAAACGTCCCGCGCAGGCAACCCTCCGACGGGAAAGCAGCAGCCGCATTGCGCGCGCCGAATGGTCAGTCCGTTGACGAGGTGACTCACGGTCTAGACCAACTCATTCTTGCCCACAGGGAACATTCGTATTCTGCTCCGTGAATCGCCTCCGCGAGAAGGCGCTGGGAGCCCCACCGCGACCGGCGCCAGAGCTGTCGGACGACCTCGAATCCTTCTACTGGCTCCTGGTCTGGATGATCCTCCGCAGAGGGGGCTACATCCTCAGGAAGGACATCGGGCCCTTCCAGTTGTCGACCCTCTTTCCCGCACACCCCAGGTACACTGCCGCGTTGAACGCCAAAATGGCGTGGCTACAGAAGAACAGCATCAGGGTGCCGAACGACCGCCCTTTGAGCACGCTGCTGAACGAGTTCCGGATCCTGTGCATCCGCAACGTCGTCAGCTGGAGTTCCGATGACCATCCAAGAGTGCCGCTGACCCACGAAGCTGTGTTGGCATCTTCAATAAAGCGCTCGATGCAAAGAATTGGCCTGAGGCCCCCCTGGGCTTTGGTGGGCGAGGGGCTGGGAACGGGGCAGGAGACGTCGGAGCGGCGCCACAAAATGAGGACGGCTCTGGACCGGTGGCAAAAGAGGAACCACAAGGGCCATCCGTGTAGAGTAGCAGCTCGGGACGTGTCTGCGGTGCGATTCAAAATAAGCTTACTGGACTTCGAACGCGCCTTCGGCCTCAAATTCACCCCGCCATTGGCTTTGACAATGTAACCGTACTGTGTAATGATTCTTCATGTACCCGAGGCGTAACCTACCTATACCAGCCGGGATGGAGACTAATCGCGGTGGGTGTGTCGCAGACAGGCTGCGGCATAGAGCGGTCAACCAACTTGTGCGACTCGACTGCGGTAGACAACGGTACGCACGGGACGTAGACATATCCACTTACACCTCAAGTTGGAGTGCATACGGAACAGTGGAGGCCGTACAACGGCTCGTCCAGGACCATAGCTTCAGACCAATTACCGTAGAACCTCAGGAGGCAGCCCATTTACGAATCTGCCGGTCTTCCTACCCCACTCCGCTCGCGCAGATAGGCTGACCCGCGCCCAGCGACAGCGGTGCTCATGGGCGCCTCTTCACGGGAGACACCATCCGAGTGAACGGTTGGCTCCTCCTCGGCTTTCTTCGACTCTGGAGCAACAATCCGCGGGGATCGCACTTGTGTGCGCGGTCGCTGAGACGACCTCGAGTCCCATATGAGGTAGAGAACGGCTTCGGATGCCGCCACCACCAGGGCAACCGCCAACGACAGGAGCACCTTCTACTCCTCACGTTGGTCTCAGTGTGTACAGCGCGGTTAAACATGCAGTAAGTACGTACCCACTCGTCTTTCCAGGCCAGTCTCCCAGCGGCCCACCACGTCGCTGCGCCCGAGCCTCCGATACTGAGCAGAGCGTTGAACACGTTCGTCACCGCCCGGCGGTCACTGTACGCTTTCCGCCCCTCCGCATCATCGCCACGAGCTACGTGCGCGGGGAATCTGCGTTCGGGGGAGGTCCGCGTTCCAGCGAGCAGAGCGATCATCGAGTAGTTTGCAGGCCGCAGAGGCGGGTCGTGAGCAGCAAGCGATTCCTCTCCGTTTGGTGATCGTGCCCAAGCAGATATGGTGCCCAGTAGTGAATAAGATATTGTGTTTGGCGGAGGACCTTCGGAGGGAAAGACCACGGGTGTCAACTGTGAGGCTAGCTCGGGAGGCAGGATGAGGAGCAGAGGCCGCAGAGTCTCACAAGATGTGGTTCCAGTGAGATATTGAGATCCCTGTCCGTGGGGATGTGGTCGTTACAGACATGTTGATCTGCAGGCGCGAGATCTGAAGGATTGCCAATTTCCGAATTCCAAGGGTGAACGACACACTGCCGGTTGCCAGCACCGTGATGGTGGCGGTGGCACAAGATCGCAATCTCGATCGAGATACATGGCCCGATCACTGCCGTTACGGATGTTGACCTTGCTTATTTCCCTCACTTCCTCAGCACTACACACAGCGTCCAGAACAATGCTGCATCGAACAGTGAGCACGGTCATCCTTTTCTATAACGGTCCTCCGACCCGGTTATTACACCAGCAGAATAATGCAGCGCAGGACTTAGGGCTGTCACCTGTTAAAGACGCCCTGAGTTTTTACCAGGCAGGAACAATCCACTCGCCAGATGCCTTGATTCAAGAGCTCGACATAAGATCATCACAGCTCGCTAAGAACGAATTCTATCGGTGTGAATCATGTATAGATGCCTGTGCTCGGTCTGACATCGCTCCACTGGCAGGCATGACATTGGATTGGAGAATGATCTTTGGATGCTCCTCCAAAGTCTATGGAATCTTATGGCCTTTGAGCACATACACCCGAACGAAGGCGATCCTGCAGATACGGCCCTTCGTCTCAGCGTGGCAAGATTTACGCGAAACATTGTCGCAGGCGTACCCAACAACCAAGACCGTGTATTGTATGGTTTGACAACCGAGCCTTGATTAACACGCCTGACGTACGTCTACAGTGAGAACGAGAGCCTGATTCGCTCGCTGCTCTATCGTTACACATCGTACTCCGCCGTTCAAGACCCTGCAAGTCCGCCTGTTTATCCTCGATTGTTACGATTTGTATTGATGCGCGTTGTCACTTCCAGCCTATCCGACTACAAGGATGCTCGTGCAGACTTTGTCAAACCTCGTGACAGGGAACGATCCATTGATAGCGAAGCTATGGAAACTATACCTGACACTGCCTGAAGAGCAGCTTGTCCTGCTGTACGTCGTAATCGACGGCGATACCGTTGTCGTCTGATGCGTTATCTCGACAGACGGCTACTGACTTCCCCAGACGCGAAGACGTATCCTCGACACTTGTCCTCATACTCAATTGTGTTCACTCACACAATGAGCGAATGTGAGTGATACATCTACCCATGCACCGCTCATGATCTGGCTGATACTCTTGCTTGAGGGAAATGCTGGTCATCGCGCCGCGCGGTCCTCGCATCACTATCATATGCTGGATCGACTGAGTCGCTGGTTGACTCGGAGGAGAGCGACGAAAGTCAAGCCTTCAACATAGGGTAACTGAAACCGCATCACCACCGACGCACGGACTGAGGGCGATGCCATCGTTCACAGATTTGAACTGTTCACTCAGATCATCGAAGCCGGGCTCGTTCCAGCATTATACAAGGCTATCTCCATGTAGGCACGCCCTCATTCGTACCATGTCCACTCGTTCACGCATGTCATAGGTCTGGAGAACCCATCACTCCCCCACAAACACGCTCCTAAAGCTCCTTGATTCGTACCTACACAAGTCATCTCAAGGATTGCCAGCGAAGGCGCGCAACGACGCACTGGTCCACATGCTGATCATACCTTCTTCGATCTCGCTGGATATGCCCAAACGCTACAAGGCGCGCTCTGGGCAGCGCTGATGGCTCACAAATGGCATCTAATGACAGCGAACAACTGAACGTAGTGAGCCCGAGAATGGCGTTGGCGTTGAGAGCACGCCCTCGCCGCTGAAAGAGCTCGATCTGCTCCTGCCGAAAGTCTCGGAAGCTCTCGTCCTCGTGTCGCAGTGCCTGACGACGCTCGCTCTCGCGTCTTCAACCGCACAGTCACAATCATCTAGCCATCCGGGAAGGTGAAGACGACGCTCGCGGGGGCGCGCTCGGCAGGTGGTGAAGGGCTTGTTGAAAGCCTCATCGGTAAGTCCACACTGTCATGTGCAATCGCGGAGGTACTGGAAGTCTCATCTCGCTCACAGAGACCCTGCGCCTCCTGGACCTCTTTCTGCCCCGCATCACGTTCGGAAAGGTTGTTGAGAGGCCTTCGCCACCGGGCATGCGTCCACCGCCCGCGGACACAGTCTCGAGCACTCAGTCAGGTGTGGAAGGCTTCAGCTACGTGAAGCGCGACCTGGTACGGCTACTCGGTATCATCGCTCTTGACGACAACCCAGTGCAGGACAGGGTCCGCGAGTGTGGCGGTATCCCTGTAGTAATGAATCTTTGTGTGATCGACGACCGGAATCCTTGTGAGTCTTTCAGTGAGAGCTTTCCGCACGTTGCTGAGCTCAGGACGCGCAGACATAAAGAGCACGCCATATTGGCCTTGCGCAACCTCCTTCATGGGAACAAAGCTAATCAGGATGCTGTGAGGGAGATCCAGCCTGTAGCGCGGTGGGACGAGAGGGGCGTGCTGCAAAGCCTGTCTAGGTACACGAAGTAGATGTGGCACCACACAGAAAGCGTATGTAGCGATAGCATCAGTAACTCTGTACAACGATCATTCCTCCTCCTCTTCCTCCATCTCAATCACTCTCTTTTTCCTCGATCCGCCTGCCGTCCGTTTGCGGACTGCACCGCCTTCGTCTTCCTCCTCACTCTCCACATCCATGCTGTCCTCCTTGCCCGGGTCAGCCCTATCGCATCACCTTCCCGTTTGCGCCTACGCGCTTCGTCTTCAATCTGCTTCTCAATCCTCTCCAATGCGTCCTCTTCGTTGTCCCCCGTTCCTTTTGTTTGCGCTTGGTACGTTTCTTGGGGGCGCTAGGATCGTCTGAGCCGTACGCGTCCGCATCTTCGTCCGAGTCGGCGACGAGAAGTCGTCCGTCAGGTACTCCCCAGGGCCCTTCTTCGCATCCTCCTTCTCGCCCTTCCGGCGTTTCCGCGCGCTGGACGGCTCCTCGCCATACTCGTCCTCGCTCCCGCCTCCATACGCCGCCTCCTCTTCCTCCTCCTCGTCGCTCCACATCTCGTCGCCCGTCTTCCGTCGCGTGTACCCGCTCCGCCGCTTCCGCCCGCCGAAGCCCTCGTCGCCCTCGCCGCGCGGCCGGCGCGGCTTGCGCGATGCAGCCTTCATCAACTCCATCTTCTCGCGCTCCGGGTCCATGACCGGGTCGGGCGCCATGCGCAGCCGCGCGACCTTCGTGTGCTTCTGTCCGACGGCGCGCACGAGCATGCGGTGCGTGCTGCTCTGCATGCCCGTCGGCCTAAGAGACATGTAACCCGTGACGAGCGCCTCGGACTGCAGGATCTCGGCGCGCTTGTGCTGCGCGACGAGGTAGGTGAGACCTTGGGACCTGGAGGGGCCGGGCGTGCCTTGGGATTGTGACTGAGAAAGAGGCTGGCTCTGCGTGCCGCTCCCGAAGGCATTCCGATGCATGGCCCCGGATGTGTCGACATTTTGAGTGATGTCGAAGAGCTCCTTGCCTAGGAGCAACGAGAGCGTGCCGTCTGACCAACGCACAATCCGAGCATTAGATTGTCGCCGCTATATAAGAGTGAGGTTCAGCGAAACGTAGAAGGTCTGATGGTACTTACGTCCTGTCCGTTCTCGTCCTTCACCCACCGCCACCGGACGGTGTTCTCGACCTTGAGCTTGATGGTCATACTCTTCTCTCGAGCACTCTCTGCTGCTTGCGCGTCTTCGTCTTCGCCTTCCGGGCCAATGTACGTGTCCGGGTGGAATGGCTTCGAGTCGACCTTGACGAAGTTTGGCATTCGGATGACCCAGTACTAGAGATAGGGATTGTTTAAGGATCTCTCGAGGCAACTCACTGAAACGTACATTGCCGTCTGAGCTACGTGGTACTGGGATGTTGGGTATGGCCGCCGTAGCTTCGAGGAGAATCTGCTCCGGTGGCTGCTCTTCCTCCTCCTCCTCAGCATACTCCATTGCCTCTCTATGCCGCCGCTCCGGCGAGGATATGCCATCCATATTCTCAGCATGCTCGGACGACGCCGGCGTTGCCGCTGCAGTTCTTGATCAACGTAAGTCAGACTGCGCGAAGCGGGCTTGACAGACACGCACTCGGAATGCTTCACCTCCTCGACATTCTCGTCCGCCTCTCCAAAAAGATCCTGCATCTCTTCATCTTGTACCTTGGGTCTGCGGAACCTGCACTGTCATCCACCACTATGCCTTGCCCAATCATGTCAATGTCATCGAGCACAGGCTCGTCCTTGAGTTCTTGTTGAACCGGGTCAAGCGCGCCAGCTAAGGAGGACATTGCACTGGTACCCAAAGGCGATGTTCAGACAAAAGCAGGAGGCGAAATGCCGCAACAGCCTTTGGGTAGTGGAACGAGGGAGAGTTGAGAGAAGTCAGAATATCATCGTCGCAGTAGATGAAGTTGGTGCTTGTTATGTGCGATCACCAATTTACTTATCTCGGTAACCATTTCTTATTAACGTCTACTAACGCGTGTTAATGTTACGATTTGATGCGCCACCGTGACAACGCCGTGCGCACGCTGCCAGTGAGCACATAAGTACTACGTGCTGTAGAACTCGTGGCAGCTATTATCTATCGACTTCTACAAGCTCTTGCAACCTATTCGAAGTTCTCGTCTACAGTTTGACGGACTGATATGTCTATAAGACCACAGACAGGGATCTGAACATCTCACTGGAACCACATCTCGCGACACTCTGCGGCCTCTGCTCCTCATCCTGCCTCCCGAGCTAGCCTCACAGTTGACACCTGTGGTCCTTCCATCCGAGATCCACTGCCAAACACAATATCTTATTCACTACTGGGCGCCATATCTGCCTGGGCCGCTCACCAAATGGCGAGGAATCACTTGCTGCTCACGACCCGCCTCTGCGACCTGCAGACTACTCGATGATCGCTCTGCTCGCTGGAACGCGGACCTCCCCCGAACGCAGATTCCCCGCGCACGTAGCTCGTGGCGATGATGCGGAGGGCGGAAAGCGTACAGTGACCGCCGGGCGGTGACGAACGTGTTCAACGCTCTGCTCAGTATCGGAGGCTCGGGCGCAGCGACGTGGTGGGCTGCTGGGAGACTGGCCTGGAAAGACGAGTGGGTACGTACTTACTGCAGTTTAACCGCGCTGTACACACTGAGACCAACGTGAGGAGTAGAAGGTGCTCCTGTCGTTGGCGGTTGCCCTGGTGGTGGCGGCATCTGAAGCCGTTCTCTACCTCATATGGGACTCGAGGTCGTCCCAGCGACCGCGCACACAAGTGCGTTCCCGCGGATTTTGCTCCAGAGTCGAAGAAAGCCGCGGAGGAGCCGCCGTTCACTCGGATGGTGTCTCGCGTGAAGAGGCGCCCATGAGCACCGCTGTCGCTGGGCGCGGGTCAGCCTATCTGCGCGAGCGGAGTGGGGCAGGAAGACCGGCAGATTCGTAAATGGGCTGCCTCTTGAGGTTCTGCGGTAATTGGTCTGGTCCTGAACAAGCCGTTGCACGACCTCCCCTGTTCCGTGTACACCAACTTGAGCTGTAAGTGGACACGCCTACGTCCCGTGCGTACCGTTGTCTACCGCAACCGATTCGCACAATCTGATGGACCCCATTATGCCGCAGCTTGTCTGTGACACAGCCACCGCGATGAGACTCAATCCCAGCTGGTCTAGGTAGGTTACGCCTTGAATACACGAAGAATCATTACACAGTACGGGGTACATTGTCACAGTAAATGGCAGAGGCGAATCTTGAGGCCGAAAGCACGTTCCGAAGTCACAGTAAGCTTTATTTTTGACTCGCACCGCTCCCGAGCTGCTACATCCTACACGGATGGCCCTTGTGGTTCTTCTTTCGCCACCGGTCCAGAGCCGTCCTCATTCTGTGGCGCCGCTCCGACGTCTCCTGCCCCGTTCCCAGCCCCTCGCCCACCAAAGCCCAGGGGCCCTCAGGCCATTCTTTGCAGCAAGTGCTTTATTGAAGATCGCCAACACAGCTCGTGGGTCAGCGGCACTCTTGGATGGTCATCGGAACTCCAGCTGACGACGTTGCGGATGCACAGGATCCGGAACTCGTTCAGCACGTGCTCAAAGGGCGGTCGTTCGGCACCCTGATGCTGTTCTTCTGAGCCACGCCATTTTGCGTTCAACGCGGCAGTGTACCTGGGGTGTGCGGGAAAGAGGGTCGACAACTGGAAGGGCCCGATGTCCTTCCTGAGGATGTAGCCCCCTCTGCGCAGGATCATCCAGACCAGGAGCCAGTAGAAGGATTCGAGGTCGTCCGACAGCTCTGGCGCGGTCGCGGTGGGGCTCCCAGCGCCTTCTCGCGGAGGCGATTCACGGAGCAGAATACGAATGTTCCCTGTGGGCAAGAATGAGTTGGTCTAGACCGTGAGTCACCTCGTCAACGGACTGACCATTCGGCGCGCGCAATGCGGTGCTGCTTTCCGTCGGAGGGTTGCCTGCGCGGGACGTTTTTGGTTGCGCTACACCTTCACCCGACGCCACGAATTGTTCATAGCTCTCCACGTCGGCTGCCACCCGTGAGACCCCAGGAACTGTTTCCACTCGAAGCCTATGTCGAGGTCGTGTAGGAATCCCTTGAAGCCAGCAGACGGGTGCCGGCAGAGGAGAACGTTTCCCTCGCTCACGTCGCAATGGAGCACGCCGGCATCGAATGCACGCTTGTGGCCTGGGATGGCCGGTGGAGTTAGCAGGCGGTGCGGGCGAGATCGGACGAAGACACGTACCAAGCAAGGCGTCGCGGATGGCCTCGACGAGCTCTTTGGTTGGCCCAAACTTGGCCAAGGGTGTCCCGACCGACTCGACAACGAATCGTTCGTGGCTCTTCTCGTGCTCCCGCCAGTCGTCCTTCCCCAGCAGTCGAGCAGAGACAGTCTGGTGGCCGGTGGCAGGTCCCAGCGACTGGTGATGGAGCGACGACAAGACCGCGATACCTGTCTGCGTCGCTCTGGCCCCGGGCAGTCGGTTGCGCTGCTCGACGCCGCCCAAGTCCTCTCCGCAGAGGAATTGGGCCAGTCCGGGTTGTGGCTGGACGTCGGCGTCGTCGCACGCCTCTTCCTCCTCCAGGCACCACTCGGAGTACGCTTGGATGTCTTCGTAGAAGCGTATCTCCGACGGTCGCGACATCGGGCGCCACAGGTCCTTGACGACGACGCGGTCGCCCGTGCTCATGTCGAGGGCCTTCCACACTGTGACGCCCCGCGAGAACGCGTGGCCGATGAATGTGGAGACCACCCTGTATCCCAGGTACTGCGACGCGTGGCCCTGTCGGCCGGTGACGGAGAACAGCCTGCATGCGTGCTGCTGCTCGATGATCTGGCGCCCTTGTTGTACGTCCGCCTCGTGCTGGCGTGCCAGCAGCGTGGTCCATTTGTACTCAGCGTCGGTGGGCGCCCGTATGGTGGGGTCGCTGCCAATGACGCTGCCACCGCCGTGGGTCGGATTGAGGAATCGCCAGAGGAACTCGTGGAGGATGTCGGGCTGCTTCGCGTACTCGAAGGCCGGAGACACCATGATGCCAGCGCGGTCGAACCTGTAGATGCGGGCGGTGTGGCCGTATACGCCCACCGCGAAGGCGAACAGGCGGCCCTGAGCGACCATGATGCAGTTCACGCTGCGCTCGATGCGGGTGAGCGTGGGGACGTGGTTTCCGCGGAACTCGGTGATTGGGTCGTCTGTGGCCGCGGCGTCGACGTCGACGACGATGGAAATATCCCACCAGGTGGCTCCTGTGGTGACGGGGAGAATGGGATAGCACGGAAGGCACGCGATGATGCTCGGTTCGCCGATGCATTTGTCAGTCGGACTGCACGCCCCTAGGTCCAGGGGCATGGCCTGACGGCGGTTGCTGTTGAAGACGATGCGCTTCTCGCGCGGAAAAGAGCAGACGAGAGTGTCTAATCCGTTGGTCTTGATCCCGGTCAGCTGCGCGTCGCATTTTGCACGACATCTCACTTACTATTGCGTTTGTCAATGCATGCAGAGATCTGTCGCAGTTCTGGTCCGGGACTCTGAAGACACCTCCCCTTGGGCGCGGACACGCAGGCGTCGGACGCTTTGCTCTGGGGACACAATGGTCGAGAAAGCTCTCTGCGTCGGCACCGACCACGGCGAACTTGCCACAGAACTGGCTCGGCCATATCTCAAGAAACCTGGGACTGTTCATGGCGATCTTCTGCGAGTTGTGCAATCTCGACATGATACTTGTATCCAGAGGGCGGTAGATGCTAGTGAGACGGGATATGCAGGACACAAACAGCGAGTGAGATGCAGTGGCGCGAAAGCGCGGGGGCGATCACACCCTGTACCAAACGGGTGCGTGGGTAACAAAGCCACAGTAGGTCCACGGAGCGTGCATCGCCGCGCGTGGTCAATCGATACGCAATAGATCTTCTGCTCGATATGGGCCAGTGCGACGTCCGCACGGACCCGAGCTGTCTCTATACTGCAGAACACAGATGAAAGGGGATGCCCAATGCGGACAGCAGGCAGAGCGCTATGCAACGCCGCAATAGTTAATCGACCCTAACGAGCCCAGGCAGGTCGCAAGGCTACATTCCAATAAATATTCGTAACTCGCTGCAGGAGGAGTCGCCACACGGTAAATTTGCCAAATATCCTGGGCAACGAGACGGCTCGGCTGTGAAAGCAAGGCCTGTCCAAAAGAGACGAACAATGGATGTGATGGATCGGCATCAGCCGCCCGATTTGGCAGTTCGAACTCCGCCTGATCCACGAGCGCGGTTGTGGCGCGGTCCCGTCGTCCTCTCCTCGTCGTCGTTGTGTGCCCATAGCGTGTCCTACGACGCGATTCACGCGTAGTCACCGTAGATAGTTGCTGCCCATACACTGCGGGTGCCCAGTAGCTCTTCAAACAAAGAATCGAGTCAGAGCAGTGTTCGTTTTCGGACGGTAAGCCATATCAACCTCCCATTTGGGCGAGAACCACAGACTGACTCACGAGCGGCCCATCAGATATACTTCTAGGGTACTTCCGCAAAATTTCCTTTCTGGATCACGACCACGGCCATTGGCTTGGATCTCCGACATGCCTTACCAGTCTAAACGGTCGCGGATGTCGCGCTCGCACGGCCCCTCGTGTGGCTCCCGCTGTAGCGATCATATCAACCTCCGCTGGCATCATCCGCAGCCCTCGTCCTCTTCCTCCGACATGGCGCACTACGTCTCCCCCCGCAAGGCGGGTGTACGGAACCATCGACCTGTCACCAAGCACGATACCCAGCAAGGCAGTCGCAAGAATCAGCTTGCATGGAAGAGCGAAATCGCAGGCAAAATCGTGCTCATCACGAATCCTGTAGCAGAGTTCCTCGAGCACTTTGTGCCCGGAGAAAAGCCTCTTAAGTCTGTGACCAAAGCGGCCTTCCAGATGCCGAAGAATGCCAGGTTAGAGAGCGAGATGTACGGTCCCTTGGTGAGCACGCCACTCCGGGTCAATTCCGCGTTGCTCACCCTGCTCCAGTGTGACGGATTCACTTCATTAGTGAGGCGCTTCGATCGCACAAGAAACCTGTATTCGTCAACCACAACCACGACCGCATCGTATTCCCCTACAAGCTGTGCGCATCGGAGCACCACGTCACTCGGCCGGATGTGATCGCCTCGTTTCCCGGCGAGGAGTCGATTGGCCGACATGCCGATTACTGGAGGAACATCTCGTTCGTCGTGGAGGTGAAGCTCGCCGTGAGCGATGATCCGATGAAGTCGTACTCAGATGCCCACGAAGCTACACTGGTCCAGCTGTCGAAGAGTGCGCGTAACCTGCTCGTGTCGCAGAGCCGACTGTTCGTCTTCGTTATCGGTGTCTATGGACCGCTCGCTCGGATCTTTCGCTTCGACCACGCCGGCGCCGTCTGCTCGGACGCATTCGACTACACGACCCTTGACGGCAGCCGACTCCTCCACGAATTTCTGTGGCGATTCACCATCCACCGCCACACTCTGGCTGTCGCGTCGTGGGCGATGACCCTACTGTGCAGCTCGTCCGTGCGGGACAGTGTGCGGAGGTCGTCAAGAAGCTGCGTGATGCAGGGGTGCAGGCGAAGAACACACCCGAGGCGTCGAAGATATATCGCTACGTCACTGTCGGGAGCTCGGAGGGGAAGCGGAAGGGACGAAGTATCTTGTCTACGACCTGCTCTTCATCAATCCGCATCTGTTCTCGCGGGCGACGACGGTGTGGGAGGCTATCGAAGTCGATGGAGACAACAAGCCTGTGAAGACGCCCGTCGTCATCAAGGACTCGTGGCGGCAGATGGTCCGACCACTCGAGACAGACAACTACAGGGAGATTTTCCGCGGCGGCGCAGATGTCCTGGCATTGCGGTTTCGTGTCTGGCGAAGACCTTGGTACAAAGGAGATCCTGTCTTTGCAGCGCGGCGAGCCCGGCGGTCGGGACGTCGGCCATCTCACAGTCACTGCACGACACTCCGTCAAAGGTACGGCGCATGCCCATAACGAGCGAAGCCATGTGCGCTTGGTGCTGGGGACGGTTGGTATCCTCTGTCTCGCTTCGAGTCGACGAAGGAGTTGGTGGAAGCTTTGCGCGATGCAATTATCGGTATGGAATCCGTACCGAATGCTCTGATACGCCTGACTTATTCTCTGTTACCAGGACACCGTGCAGCTTACGAGGCCGGCATCATGCATCGTGACGTTAGCGAAGGCAACGTCATGATATCGCGCAACCCCAATGATACGTTCAAGGGGTACATTCAAGATTTCGACTACGGTCTGAACTGGAAGAAGCTCCTTGATTTTCTCAAGCATGGCACGAAGCTCGAGACTGGGATGCTTTCGTACAGTCCGAAAGTGCGAAGATACTAGAGGCGCTCAAAGACGCCAGTAAGGCCGCTATGGAGGCGCAGCCCGGATCCAGATTGGTATCGGTATGAAGAGGAAGAGGAAGAGGAATACGAGGCGAGTTTGCGCCTGCTGAGGAGGACGAAGAATACTACGATGACGAACTTGTAGAAGAGGAAGGCTATGACGACGAATCTCAGGAGGTTGGAGAAGAGTGACTACCAGCGACGTCAGAGAAGGATCAGTCGAAGAAACTGACGACGGAGTTGTAGGCGATGATTCGGAGATGATGAAGAGAGGACGTCCTAGGGGTGTGGATTTGACCAGCACACAGTGTGCCGGCAAGAGCTGGTACGCCTGAACACGGAAGAGTTGAAACTACGGTGTAAACAACGAACGGTGCGTACTCTAGTCTGAGTAGCAGTGCATCATATGTTATTCTGTTCACGCAGGGTACCTTATTTTTCATGGCCCTGAGATCATCTCAGGCGGAATCGTTCACGAAGCTTGCCACGACCTGGAGTCGTTCTACTGGCTTCTCCTTTGGATTGTCCTGCGGCATACCAGACACAATCACCCTAAGGTGCCAGGGCGTGTGAGGCAGTCTTTGACGGGGACATGACGACACCTGCATCAGTAGAAGAACTCATGGCTCAATTCGCCCCACCCACACATCGCTCCGCGGCTTGTTGTCATCGGTAACATGCCGCTGACCACCCTTCTCGAGACTTCCGTGTGCTGTGTCTTCGCAGTGTGAACCCTTGACGAGACGGAACCGCTGACGTACGAGAAGGTTTGGATATCTTCAACGACGCGCTCAAGAAGGAATGGCCATCGACGATAGGGCGAGACCGTTCGTCCTACCCAACGACACGATAAAGTTCCGCGTCCCGAGGGCTCGGAGCGTCTGAAGAGCGATGTCAATAGCAGCAGGATTCAGTCATCGGGTCAGCGGAGTGGGCAATCGGTGCCTCCTCCTCAAGCCGGGCCTAGTGGCCAATCTCACCAGGCAGGTTCACGGACGCGACAACAAGCGGCGGCGCAAGCAGGCGGAAGTGGAGCGCGCGCAGCGAGCGGCAGTCGCGCTGGCAAGCGATCTTTCGAACGTCGCGACACGTCCGAAGTCGAGCCCGATCGATCGAAGCGGACGAGGACAGCCAGCGACCATGTCCAAGGCCGTTCTGCTCCAGCCAGAAGGAGACGTTCCACGCGGCGATGAAGGGACGTTGGTTTCTCGGCGACAATGCATGACCCTCATGCGTACGTTTGATTGCGCTGGTTCACCGGCCGCTTTTCACCGTTCCCCAGTACCGTCACTGAAAATCCGCTCGCGGTAGATGTGGAGGTATGATGTTGTACTTGGCTATTGCATGGACTGGTAAACTAGGATGGATCGTTTGCTATTACTGTACCACTGACTGCGATTGTGTCATGCGTCTCGATCTCTCGCTATGTCTGAAGGCGTTAGAAAGCTGAGGATTACCGTAGCACTCGTGATGTACTACAGTCGCGAGGTCACTGGTGCCAGTGAAGTTTCATATTTCATATTGGTAAAAGAATGCATGTCCGATTCTCTCTTGAGTGCTCATGAGCTTTGAGCTTTGAACTGACACCCGTGGCAAATTTAATCGCATGCGGCTAGACGCGATCTCCTGAAGTTTGAGTGGGGAGGAACTTGGTTCGAACTCAAGCTGAGGCGCGAGTCCGGCGTCTGGCATCGCTAAGTTCCAAGTTCAGTGGGGAAGACTTGGGAGCAAGCGAGATCGAGTCAATGAATAACGGTGAGCCTAGCGGGGGCGACTTGGAAGTTGGACCCCGGCGGACGGCAGTGAGCGCACGCCAATGTGCCAATGGCAAACACACGGCTCATAACGACAGCCTGAGAGCGCTATGCAACGCCGCGATGGTTAATCGACCCTAACGAGTCCCAGCAGGTCGTCACCCCGGTTGAGTGCAAGGCTATATTCCTTCCAATCATGATATTAGTAGCTCGCTGAAGGGATTCTCGCCACACGGTAAATTTGCCAAATGTCCTGGGCAACGAGAACGGCTCGGCGGCTGTGAAGACAAGACCTGCCCAAAAGAGACGAACAATGGACGTGATGGATCGGTATCAGCCGCGTGGCAGCCCCGATTTGGCAGTTCGAACTCCGCCTGATCCACGAGCGCGGTTGTGGCGCGGTCCCGTCGTCCTCTCCTCCTCGTCGTTCTGTACCCATAGCGTGTCCTGCGACGCGATTCACGCGTGCGCACTGCATATAGTCACTGTTGATACACCGCGGGTGCCCAGTAGCTCCTCAAACAAAGAACCGAGTCAGAGCAGTGTTCGTTTTCGGATGGTAAGCCATATCAACCTCCCCGTTTGGGCGAGAACCACGGACTGACTCATGAGCGGCCCATCAGATAGATTTCTAGGGTCCCTCCGCAAAATTTTCTTTTTGGATTACGATCACGGCCATTGGCTTGGATCTCCGACATGCCTTACCGGTCTAAACGGTCGCGGATGTCGTGCTCGCACGGCCCCTCCTGCAACTCCCACCGTGATCCTATCCCCTGCCCTCGTCCACAATCCATAGCCTCCTCCTCTGACATGGCCCACTGCATCTCCCCTCGCAAGTCGGGCGTCCGTAACCCTCAGCCTCTCAAGAAGCACGACGCCCAACAGGGCAGCCGGAAGAACCGAATTGTGTGGCGGAGCGAGATCGCGGGCAGGATCATCCCCATCACGAATCCTGTCGATGACTTTCTGGGGCATTTTGTCCCTGGGCACAAGCCTCGCAGGCCTGTCATGAAATCGCACTTCGACTTCCCGTCGGACGCCAAAGTCGAGAATGACCTATACGAGCCTTTGGTGAGCCAGGCTTGCGAATATAGCGTTCTGCCACTGACTACCATTTAGTGCGAAGGCTTCACCTCGTTGGTGAGCCGCTTCGACGAGGAAACGAAGCCCACCTTTGTCAACCACAACCACAATCGGATCACGTTTCCGTACGCGCTGGGTGCCTCTGAGCACCACGTCACCCGACCGGATGTCATCGCGTCATTTCCGGGCGAGACTTCTGTCAGCCCTCATGCCGACTACTGGAGAAACATTTCGTTCGTCGTCGAGGTCAAATTGAAGGAGAGCGAAGATCCCATGAAGTCGTATTCGCAGGAACATGAGGAGACGTTGATTCAGTTGGCAAAGAGCGCGCGGAATTTGCTCGTCTCACAGAGTCGTTTGTTTGTCTTTGTCATCGGCATCTACGGGCGACTAGCCCGGATCTTCCGCTTTGACCACGGCGGGGCTGTGTGCTCGCGCGCATTCAACTACACAACCCTTCAAGGCAGCCGTCATCTCCACGAATTCCTTTACCGATTCACTCATCCTCTCCATGATGATTGCCGCATCGTCGGGTCTGATCCGACCGTAGAACTGGTTGGTTCGGAGGAGCGTGCAAATGTGGTCAGTATGCTCCGCAACGCCGGCGTTAACCACGAAGACTCGGACGAAGCCTCCAAGGCCTACCGGTACATCACAGTCAGTCCTTCCAAGGGGCAGCACGTGAAGTATCTTGCCTACGACTTGGTCTTCATCAACCCCCACCTCTTCTCGCGGGCGACAACGGTGTGGGAGGCCATCGAGATCGGCCCGAGCAACGAAGCTACGGGTCATCCTGTCATCGTCAAGGATTCATGGCGACAGTTGGTCCGGCAGCTGGAGAGCGACAATTACAAGGACATCTTTAGCTCTGCCAAAGATGCAACCGACATGTCTGGCGTCGCGAAGTTCTTGGGTGGCGAAGATTTGGGAACAAGCGAAATCGAGTCGATGGACAATGGCGAGCCTGGCGGCGGCGAAATCGGACACCTGACTGTGACCGCACGCCACTGTGTTAATGGCAAACACGCAAATAACGAAAGGAGCCACACGCGCTTGGTGCTTGGGACCGTAGGCATCCCCCTCTCACGCTTCAACTCGACGAGAGAGATGGTGGAAGCGTTGCGAGACGCTATCCAAGGTAGGTTTCGTTGGTGGCTTTTGGCTACTCGTTGCTGATATGCTGTTGAACCTCAGGACATCGCAAACTTTTCGAAGGGGGCGTCGTGCATCGCGACATCAGCGAAGGCAATGTCATGATATCTAGGAATCCCGAGTCACAATGTACCGGGTACATTCAGGACCTGGATTATGGACTCAACTGGATAAGGTTTCTCAAGGAGCTCGGTTGGGGGTCGGAGGAAGCAGAATGGGATGCTTTCGTGAGGGACGAGTCCGCGAAGATTCGCAAAATCCGCAAAGACACGAAGCTAGCGAGGGCCTACACGAAGAGAGACACACCGAAGCCCGTCTTCGAGCAGAAAGCAGGCGCGGACGGCGGAGACATCAGCCAGCAGAACGGGGCCAACGCTCAAACTGATAACCGTAGCGGCAGCTCATTTGGTGCCAAACAGAGCCTTGGAACTCTGGACGGTCTCGGCAAAGACGAAGCCGACGATGCTCCTGGGGGCGTCGAAGTCTCCAGGCGCGACGAGCTGAAACCGACGGAACGCAGAACACCGAGTGCGGAGGATGTGAAGATGCAATGCAAAGTACGAACGGTGCGTAGTCTCTGTAGGGACTATTGCAATTACCTGAATTCAATCGTTCGGGCCAGGGTACACTGTATTTCATGGCGGTGGAGATAATCGAAGGCGGCGTCGTCCACGAAGTCCGTCACGACCTTGAGTCGTTCTTCTGGCTTCTCCTGTGGCTGGTCCTGCGACACACCGACCACGACGCCGGGCCACGAGGTTGCGAGTTGATTTTTGACGGCGACACCGACACCGAATGCAAATTCAAGAAGGCAGCATACCTCGACGAAGAGGTGGGCGTTTTTGTTCACGGGAACGAACCCCTATGCATGCTGCTGGAAGAATTCCGCGACCTCTGCAGCAACAACCACTGGAGGAAGAGCCAACCACCGGTGCCTCTGACTTACGATAGCGTCCTCGACGTCTTCAAAAAGGCCCTCGATATGGAGTGGCCTTCGGACGACAAGGCTCTCCCTTACATCCTTCCGGCTGATGACGAGGAGATCTCTCCTGTTCCATGCCAGTCGCGCAAACGCCACACAAGTAACATCCGCAGTAGCCAGATCCAATCCGAGGGCCAGAGCAGCCATGACCTTCCCAAAACTGATCGTAGTGGCCAATCTCGACTACCTCGGGCTGGTACTCAATCAGCGGCGCAGCGACGCGTAGGCGAAACGAACGGCAGCGCTCGTAAACGATCGCGCGAGCAGCGTGACACGTCGGAGGTTGTTGACCCTCAGCCTGTGCGGTCGAAGCGTACGAGGACGAACAGTGAACGAGGTCAATCTGCTTCAGGGAGAAGGGGACGGTCCGTCGGTAAATGAGAGGGCTCTCGCTCGACCCCGTAATATTTTGTGTACTATCGTCTCTTATTTTTGGACTTGTCGTAGTGCTGCTGTAATATTGATCACTGGAGGTTTTCCCGCTGCTACATACACTTGGATCACTCGTAATAATCTGCTCTTTGTCCCCGAAATTCTGTGCTACATACTAGCAGTGGGTATATTTGATCGCTACGATGCAGGCGCGCTGTTGTGAACGCAGGAAACCCCTCCTCCTCCTCCTCCTCCTCCTCCTCAGACGCCGGCGCCCTACCATGATATTAGCGCTCGTGTGTTCAGGCGCGCACAAAGCGCGCGCTCGAGATGCACTCGGTCGACCACACTTCTTTTCCACCGCCATGCTCATCTGAGGTCGTCCACTTCGCTATGTACGCATACCTGATTGCGCGTGACTGCCAACTCTCCTGAACGACGCTGTTCGTGACGGAAACAACAACTTTAACATGTCGGAGGAGGCAGCGCAAATCGCGAGGTACAGAGGTCGTCCTTCGTCAGACATCAGGTGCTGACGCGTACTAGAGAGGCGAAGGGCCTCCAGCAAGGCCTGAAGGATTCGCTAAAGTCTAAAGATCCGTGGGATAAGGATGTGGAATTCCAGCGCAAAAAGTACGTCCCTGTCGCCACATCTCTGCGCTAACTAGTCTCACCCGTGTAGTCTTCGACGGCAGTACCTACGCCTACTCTTCGTCTACCCTTATGCTGCTGAATCGCGCGATGTGGACACCCACCTCTGGATGTCGACGTCCTACCAGTTCATCTCGAAGTACAAGGAACGCATAGCCAACCTCGACCGTGCCATCAACCGACATCAACAGCAACAGCACCAGCAACAGGGCTCGTCGCGACAGCAGTCGGGACAGCAGCGAGTCGTTGAGCATCGCAAACTCCTTCAACGCTTTTCTCAGTTCCTTGCCGAAGAACATCGGTTCTGGAGGCAACTGGTCGTCCGGATACACCGCGTGTTCATGCTGGAGGACGCGAGTCGTGCGCTTGACGCTCTCCATATCGACACGGATGACGCCCCTGCTCCCGCTGACGGCGCTGCCCCGAGGCGTAATCAGCACCTGTTCCCGCAGGAGGCGGATGTGGCGTCCCCAGAAGCGGCATCATCGACGCCCGGCGAGCGACAAACCATGATCGCGGTGATGAGCAAGGCGCTCGTGTGTCTTGGTGACATCGAGCGGTACAAGGAGCTGTACAACGAGAAGGGCGGTCGGCCGCGCGCAGGGCATGAGGAGGGACCGTCTGCGGCGCCGGCGAGAGGTGGGAGGGGTCGACGCGGGGGCGGGGCAGCCCCAGCCCCAGTGCCACGTATGCGCAACTACGAGAAGGCGCAGCATTGCTACGAGGAGGCAAGGCGGCTGCTCCCGAGCGATGGCAACCCGTCGCACCAGCTCGCCATCCTGGCGACCTACCAAAAGGACACGTTTGGCTCGCTCGTCCAGTACTACCGATCGTTGTGCGTCCGCAACAGGTACGAGCCAGCGTCAGAGAACATGGACACGACGCTCGCGCGCGCATGGGAGCAGTGGAAGGCAAAGGAAGTGCGGCGGAGCAGAGAGGCGGAGACGGACGGCGCGGCGGAGACAGGTCCGATTGCTCCCCGACTGAGAGTTGAGGCGTTGAAGGAAAAAGTGATTGTTATGCATGCAATGTGGCGAGTCTCGACCGAAGAGTGAGTGTGGACGCGACCTCAGTAACACCGTTCTCCCGGCCTAACATCGACTCCTAGTACTACACCCTCGCTGGAGGCTCACTCGCGGAAGATCGTCGATAGCTTCAACGAGCTAGTCTCTGAACGTATCCTGCCGCTCGACATGATCTGGAAGGTAGTCATCCTGGCACAGGGCGCTCTCTGGCGGCATCGCTCCACGCGCCATCCAACACGAAATCTCACTCACGGCAACAAGCTGGCGAGCGCCATAGCGATCGAATCACATATCGCGACGCACATCATTGCCTTGCATCGCGCCCTGCTCGAGGTCGGCATCATGCAGGTGGCCGAGGCCTCGCAGGAGGACGGGGGTAAGCAAGATCTCGCGCAGTGCATAACCGCGGTGTTCCGTAGGGCCCTGCCTGCCCTGCGTCTAGCCAGTAAGTGGCTGCGAGCGAACTTCAAGTACATTCTCGAGCAGTCGCGCACTGACCCTGCCGGCCGTGCTGAGGCCAACGGTTCGGCCGAGGCCTTGGGCAGCGGTGATCGTCGTATGGACAAGCGGCAGGAGAGTCGCAGACGCTCCAACATCCCTAATGTCACGATCAGCGGCACGCAGGAGTTCTGGCATGCGTATGTAGAATTCGCGACGGCGCTGCTACGCACGTTCCCCGTGGAGAGTCTGCCTACTCTGTCTGTGCCTTTGGAAGAGGATGTGGAGACGACAGGGTTCTTGCCTCTCAAGCGCGCGGCCACAGCAGAGGCAGGCTCTACTGGGGCCCATGTCAGCTCACCTGGCGGCGCTCAAGGGGCGCATCCCAATGCCGAGTTTTTGATGAGGATACAGGAACTATTGCTCGACGCTCAAGCACTGGCCCAAGAAGAGGTAAGTAATTTTTTGCCTTTGTCAATTACCGTAGTTTGATATAAGGGACAATAGAACTCTCCTATCTTAGTCGTCGATGATCACTTCGTCGTAAGAGGTTCCATCGCGGTATCTACGGTTCGCCCCGTGAGCAGTGATCTTCCCAATGCATCACGCGTCATCGGTCCTATTGGCGATCCCAGTCATGCTGTCGGTGGTGTCCTCGACCAGGTAGAACAGGCCGATCACGATGACGACGACGATACTCGCACTGAGATTACACGCACCGATGACGATCCTGTTACTCTGGCGTTCCGCGAGGTGCTCAAGACGGATAGCGAGGATGACGAAGAGGAAGACAGAATTGTGTACCCTAGGACCGACTACCCAGATGTAGCTGCGGTAAACCCAGCATTAGGGACGCCGCACATGTACGCGACGCCCCGCAATGCTCCTTTATCGTCTCCGCCCCCATTGTCTCCAAGACTTCCTCGTCCAAAAAGTCCTCTCGTACCCATCTCGAGTCCACGCGGTATGGCGCCCATTTCCCCCCCTCGTGGTATGGCGCCCATCTCTCCCCCTCGTGGTATTGCACCCATCTCTCCCCCTCGTCATGCGCCGAGTAACGGCAATGCGCTGCCGCCACTAGCTGTCACCAAGTTTCAAGGAACGACTGCCCAGGACCTACTGATGGGGCTACGTCGATCCAGCGCGCATTCACGAACACCGTCTGCTCCCCAGCCCCAACTCTTGTTTGGTTCAGGCAATGCGACGTCGATATGGTCTACTGAGCGTGACAGGAACCCGCTAGGCTATCGGGACACTCCGGTCACGACTACTACTGCTTTTCCATCGTATCCACAGCCGTCCCAGCCATCGTTGCCGTCCACACTGTCTCCCGACAGGCCCCAGCGTCAGTACGTGGATAATCCGGCGCTCCCATTCCCAGCGCAGCAGCAGCCTTACTCCCCGTTCCGAGGCCACCAGAGGATCTCTTCGCTCAACCTTGGGTTGTCGCAGGGTCTTCCCAGCCACGGGTCTGGTCCTCATTATACAGTCTCTGGAGGCTATGCGCCATTAGCGGAAGCCCCAAGTGCTCTGTACCAGACGGGTCTGCCGTCTGCCTACGTAGACCCTACGCTGTCTGCGGCCAACCCCTTGCTTCGCCATCCTTATTCGCCCATGACTCAGGTGTCATCTTCACAGCGAATGCTCGACACGAGGGTTGGTCGCCCGCCTCCGGTCCTGCCGCCGTCCTGGAGCGGAGGCTCCCAGATATGGTCTAATCACGGCTGAACGAGGATTCCTCGCAATCCTTTACACTTCGGTGTACGGCTGTGTACACATCGAATGCGACACGTATGGGCTGGCGGCGCTTTGACTGCAGCTCACGTCAAAGGATCGTCGCGCTCTCAAATCGTCTCAGGACCTCGCTCTGCTCGGTAGTCGGCGAGTCATAGAACTCGCACGTTTTCGTGCACACCAGGACAGCGTAACGTGCTTGCACATCGTGAGAACGGCCTCGCTCGGCTCCAGCACATCTGCGCCCATGCCAGTCATGAACTTCAATCGCGGAGGCTGCGTGTTTTGTCTTCCCGACTCGGACCGCGACGCTCGAACAGAAACTCGATACTGTCGTCTTCTTTCGATTCTTTCTATTGCAATCTGTTTCCCTCACGCTTTACTATTTTTGTGATGTCGTATGGCGAGTAGCTGGCACAAATGAATGTATGATATGACAAGCACACCGTTATCGCTGTATACATCGTTGTCTCCTGTTAGATGTATAGTGACAAAGGCCGAATGTATGTGATCGTATATGTACATACGTACGTACTGCAGATATCAAGGATCGCACGGCCCAGGCTCGTTCATCTCCGCTTCCAAGCAGCGGCTCATCTCCCCATAGACCGATGCCTGGAGTCGATCTGGGTGGCGTTGTTGTTTGTGCGCTTCGACCAGTGTCAGATAGGTCGAGGCAAGGTCGAATGATAGTCAACTTGATCCGTCACGCTGTTTACGCGATCGCTTGCGGCTGCAACTACCGCTCGCCGCTGGCTGGCAAGTCACCTCCACTCCCTTGGTTTGGCAGTCGGGCTGAGCCTGTCCGTCGCGATTGACCGCTGTGTCCGGCCAGATAGACGGTCACAGGTTCGAGAGCGTCTGACCGGACTCGCCGGCTGCTATCGAGAGTGCTCGCGTGGCGGGCTGAGCCCGCTGGGAGGGAAACTCCCTCGTCTTGCTTGGGGAAAACATAGGGAGCAGCTTTGGCCCTCGAGGGCCATTTCCTGCTAAGTGCGTCATCGAGAATGCGCAGAACCTTGTTATATGTCAAGGGCTTGACGCGCCCATTCGATGAGTCGTTGTACTTGCAAAGCTTGCGAAACCTCTCCAGCAACCTGTTGAGAGGCTTGTTCCCGTAGACGACAACGGGAGACTGTCCCGTCACCCATCCGCGCTTCACCATCTCGCATGCGCTGTCAGTGTTGGCGCCGAACAGAACCGCATATGCCTGAGTACCTGCGTCATGGTCATGATCACAGTACCGCAGAACGATCCAGACAAGAAGCCAATAAAAGGACTCCAGATCGTGGCGAATCTCGTGGATGATGCCGCCGCTGATGATCTCCACGGCCATGAAGTATAGCGTCCCCTTGAGAATCGACCTCAGCTCAATTTGCCAGTGACACTGAAGATGAGAATGCGATACACACCGTCCGTTGTTTGCACTGCAGCTTCAGCTCCTCCGCGCTTAGGACCTTGACATTCTGTCTTGCTCCATCTTGTTCTGTAAGCGCAACGCCACTGGGACCGGGCTCGAGCTCGTCTTCCTCGTCATCACCGCATGCGGGGTCTCCCTCCTGGGGCGTCTCCCTCGGTTCGAGTCATTGTCCGAGTCGTCGCTAGAGTCCTCCTCGGAGAAGTCGTCTGAACCATCCGAATACGAGCTCGAATCATTGCCTCCTGAAGCCACATGACCTGAGGAATCGTCCTCGGAGTCATCCGAATCATCGTCCGAGGTGGAGGAAGAGGAAGAGAACCGTTGGAGTCGCCATCATTCTGGCGCGCCTGTCTTCCACAGACCTTGGCCTTGTGCTTCTCTTTGAGTGCCACTCGGAAGTTTGCGCACTCATCACGCACGAATGCATCCCAATCGGCCATTTCGATGCCCAATCCAAGTTTCTTGAGAAGCATCTTCCAGTTGAGTCCGCAGTCAAGATCCTGCAGATAGCCAGTAGATTTGTGCTTGACTCTCGAGAACATGACGTTGCCCTCGCTAATATCGCGGTGCATTACACCTGCTCCGAAATGATCCGCAGCGAAGCGATGCATCAGCAATGTTCACAACGTACTCATCAACTGAAGACAGCAGCGTACCACCGATAGCATCACGCAGCGCCTGCACCAACTCCTTTGTCGACTGAAATCTTGACAGAGGCCCGACGCCCACAGTGCAAAGAATCATGCGAGAATGGCTTCTCTCGTTTTTCGCGTGGTTCCCGTACACGCGATGTCGAGCGGTCACCGTAAGGTGTCCAACCCCCTGGCCACCAGGCTTGCCACGCTTTAAAGCCCGGAATCCGGCCGCTCCGAGGTCCTCTCCGCCACAGAACTCGGCGACACCAGGCAACCTGACACTGGCCCAAGCAATGAATTCATAGTTGTCGATCTCCTGTCGGGCCAGCTGTCGCCAGGATACCTTGACGACGACAGGACCGCCCACCGCCCGATCGCCAGCGTCCACCTCGATAGCTTCCCATAGTACCATCGTCGCACGCGAAAACAAGTGGGGCTTGATGAAGATCAGCTCGTACACTAGATACTTTTTCTTCCGACCCCCGGATCCGTTGGTTGTGTAGTGGTATGCCTTGGTAGCCTCGTGCGTGTCTGCGTGGTTCAGACCTGCGTCACGCGGCAATATTGTGACGACCTCCGCACGTTGCGCCGGACGGATTTGAAGCTGCAGGATGGGGTTCACACCGATGATGCCGCAACCAAGCTGCACTGTATGAGTAAAACGCCAGAGAATCTCATGGAAGAGATGGCTATCGCCAACTGATTTGATACGGTGGTAGTTGTGATTGACGAAAGCAAGTCGCTTCGCTTCAGAGACCAACGACGTAAACCCCTCGTGCTATGACAGCGCTCAGTTCATGTGCAGGCAAACGTCCCACTCTGTAGACAGCTTACCAGAGTCCCATATAGGCTATTTGCATGCTTTACATTGGTCGGTATATGGATAGTATGCCGCTTCGCAACAGATCTAGGAGGTTGCTCTCCTGCCGTGAAGTGATGAAGAAACTCCTCGACTGGGTTTGTGATAGGGACAATACTACGAGCAGTATCGCGGCGGCCTTTCCAGGTCCTCTGGATCTCAACTCTGCCCTGGGCCTCAGGCTGCGCCAGTGATTGATCAGCCTGCTCAATGTTGAGAGGCCGTGTATTTCGAGGGCCTTTTCCCCCAGGCAACTCGGAGACATGACGTACCATGCTAGAGGACGACGATTTGGAGTGCAGACGAAGCCAGAGCAGAGATAACAGCGGGAGTTGCACGGAGTATCATGCCAAGTCACGGTCAGACTGGCAAGACAAACGTTGTCGGAGGTTCACATCAGTGGCCACAAAGTGGCCGCCGTCGTAACCAAAAGAGGCAATGGAGTCGCGGAGGAACCATCTGACGTTGATCTGACGGACTGGCACTCATAGTACTACTGAATAGTTATTACTAATAGTCGGTCACCGTCCCTACCGTCCGATAGTTCATTGTCAGACCGTTCATGGGCTGGTGAGCCCTATCTTATTGGTATATACTGAAGTCCAACGTCGCCTGAGGTGTATCAGTAGCGACGAGTACATAACAGAGTCTACGCGCAATTCTCGGAGCCGCTGCCAATGCGGGACCACCGCTGCGTCACAGCATTGATTAGATACATACACCAATCACTCAGTCACTCGTTCATTTCTACCGCGAGTCAATATGTTGACGAAGAAGTGATCGTAGAAGTAAATTAGGGATCAGTCTAATACCAGGGTTGCGCATCCCACTCCACCACAGCCGACAATTCTTCATCGCCGTGCGGAACGTCTCCTTCCGGCTGGAGCAGAACGACCTTGGCCGCGGTCACTGTTCGTCCTCGTCCGCTTGGATCGCTCGGGCCTTGACTCCAGTTCCGACGTGTCGCGATGTTCGAACGATCGCTTCCCACCGCGACTCCCACTTGCTGCGGGAGCATCTCCTCTCCCTTGCGCCACCGCTTCTTGTTGCATCTGTGGGGAGCTAGCCCGCCGGGATCGACCACTAGGCCCGGCTTGAGGGGGCAGTATTGATTGATGGCTTTGCTGACCGGACGACTGGATCTTGCTACTGTTGACATCACTCGTCGGCCGTGTTTTGTCCTTGGGACGCAGAGTTTTGTCGTCATCCCTCGGTAAGACAAAGGCCCTGGCTTTATCGTTCAATGGCCAATCCATGGCAAGGGCCTTCTCGAAGACCGCGAGGACGCTCTCGTACGTCAGAGGTTCCATCTTGATCATAGGACTGTTGCTGCGGAGGCACAGCATACGGAAGTCCTCGAGCAGGGTAGTCAGCGGTTCATTGCCGAAGACGATGAGCGCAGGACCCGTATCCTCGCCCGTATCCTCGTTGACTCTGTTGAGCCATGCGGTCTTCAGACTTTCGCAGGCCGCGTCGCTATCGCCATCGAAGATCACCTCGCACGCCCGAACACCATTTGGGTGGTTGTGCACGGTATGCCGCAGGACAATCCAGAGGAGGAGCCAAAAGAACGATTCCAAGTCGTGACGAGCTTCATGAACGATCCCGCCTCGGATAATCCTCACGGCCATGAAGAATAGGGTACCCTAAGTCACCCAACTAAGCATAACTCAGCAATCATCATACAGACCGGACGACGCACGGTTCGTTGTTTGCATTGTTGTTTCATCTCCTCCGTGTTTTGGGGGGCACTAGCCTCTTGATACACGCTATCGTGCCTGGTCAGATCCACGCCTTCTGGAGCATCCTCGATCTCAACTTCCTCCTGTTCATCGTCGTCCGAGGTCCACTTTTCTACCTGATCACCATCATGATCGGTGTCATCATATTCGTCGCCGCTATGATCGTCGCCAACCTCCTCATCCGGCGCAGCGCTTGCGTGGCTATCGGCGTATTCGTCCTCATCTTCGTCGGCATACCAATCGGGCTCGGGCTGCGTCCTCAAGGCGGCCAGAAGAGCCTCTCTTCGTGCCTCCTTTAGCTTCGCACTCTCTGATTGTACGAAAGCGTCCCAGTCCTCGAGCTTCGTATCATGCTTGAGAAACTCAAGGAGCTTCGCCCAGTTAAGCCCATAGTCAAAATCCTGGATATACCCCTTGAACGTATCATTGGGGTTGCGCGATATCATGACGTTGCCTTCGCTGATGTCACGATGCATGACGCCAGCCTCGTAAGCTGCGCGGTGTCCTGCCAGTAACAGAGGATAAGTCAGGAGAATTCAATAGAGCACTGAGTACGAATGCCATACCAAGGATTGCATCGCGCAAAGCTTCCACCAGCTCGTGAGTCGAGTTGAAGCGAGACAGAGGTATACCCACAGTCCCTAGCACTAACCGCACATGGCTTCGTTCGTTGTAAGCATGCACTGTACCCTGGGTAGTGTTCTTGGCGGAGTGTCGTGCAGTGACTGTGAGGTGACCGACGTCCTGACCGCCAGGCTCGCCGCGCTGCAGTGACAGTATCTCCTTTGTACCAAGATCTTCGCCAGACACGAATGCGGCGACGCCAGGAATGTCGGTGCGGCCGCGGAAGATCTCCCTGTAGTTGTCTGTCTCAAGCTGTCTCACCATCTGCCGCCACGAGTCCTTGATGACGACGGGCGTCTTCACAGGCTTGTTGTCTCCATCGACTTCGATAGCCTCCCACACCGTCGTCGCTCGCGAGAACAGATGCGGGTTGATGAACAGCAGGTCGTAGACAAGATACTTCGTCCCTCTCCGCTTTCCCTCCGAGCTCCCGACAGTGACGTAGCGATATATCTTCGACGCCTCGGGTGTGTTCCTCACCGTTACCCCTGCGTCACGCAGCTTCTTGACGACCTCTGCACACTGTCCCGCACGGACGAGCTGCACAGTAGGGTCATCGCCCACGACGCGACAGCCAGAGTGTGGCGGTGGATGGGTGAATCGCCACAGAAATTCGTGGAGGAGTCGGCTGCCGTCAAGGGTCGTGTAGTCGAATGCGTCCGAGCAGACGGCGCCGGCGTGGTCGAAGCGAAAGATCCGAGCGAGCGGTCCATAGACACCGATAACGAAGACGAACAGTCGGCTCTGCGACACGAGCAGGTTACGCGCACTCTTCGACAGCTGGACCAGTGTAGCTTCGTGGGCATCTGAGTACGACTTCATCGGATCATCGCTCACGGCGAGCTTCACCTCCACAACGAACGAGATGTTCCTCCAGTAATCGGCATGTCGGCCAATCGACTCCTCGCCGGGAAACGAGGCGATCACATCCGGCCGGGTGACGTGGTGCTCCGATGCGCACAGCTTGTAGGGGAATCCGATGCGGTCGTGGTTGTGGTTGACGAATACAGGTTTCTTGGTGCGATCGAAGCGCCTCACAAGCGAAGTGAAGCCCTCACACTGGAGCAGGGTCAGCAACGCAGAAATCACCCGGAGTGGCGTGCTCACCAAGGGACCGTACATCTCGCTCTCTAACCTGGCATTCTTCGGCATCTGGAAGGCCGCTTTGGTCACAGACTTAAGAGGCTTTTCTCCGGGCACAAAGTGCTCGAGGAACTCTGCTACAGGATTCGTGATGAGCACGATTTTGCCTGCGATTTCGCTCTTCCATGCAAGCTGATTCTTGCGACTGCCTTGCTGGGTATCGTGCTTGGTGACAGGTCGATGGTTCCGTACACCCGCCTTGCGGGGGGAGACGTAGTGCGCCATGTCGGAGGAAGAGGACGAGGGCTGCGGATGATGCCAGCGGAGGTTGATATGATCGCTACAGCGGGAGCCACACGAGGGGCCGTGCGAGCGCGACATCCGCGACCGTTTAGACCGGTAAGGCATGTCGGAGATTCAAGCCAATGGCCGTGGTCGTGATCCAAAAGAGAAATTTTGTGGAAGGACCCTAGAAATATATCTGATGGGCCGCTCATGAGTCAGTCTGTGGGCCTCGCCCAAACGGGGAGGTTGATATGGCTTACCGCCCGAAAATGAACTCGACCTTGACTCTCTGCTTTGTCTGTTTTATTTAAGTGATTGACGGTCACCTGAGGTGCACCCACACCGCTGCGCGCAGTGTCTACGCGTAGATCGCGTCGCAAAATACGGAGGAAATTCAGAATGAGGAGGAACAGAGGACGGCGGGACAGCGCCACAACCGCGTTCGTGGATCAGGCGGAGTTCGAAACACACATCAGCTACCATATCGGGGCTACCACGTGGTTGATACCGATCCATCATTTCCATTGTCCGCCTGCTTTGGGAAGGTGATGTCTTCGCGACCTTGTTCTGGCGTTGCTTACTTGAGTCTGCCATTTTCATCCTGGGCGTTGGGCAGCATGCTATGTTTCATTAATGTTTCCGATAAGAACACGAGACTTACGCAGCGAAGAGACGCTCTTCGCAAGCATCGGAAGCTATGGTGTGGGTACCCCATGTTAATAAGAATTACGTCGCGACAGAGAGCTCGGGAGACACCCTGAGGGTCCCACTAGGCATACCTCAGGTGCGCCTACATTTTCACATGCGCAGTAAAATTTAGCACATGCGTGTCTACTATGTAGATCTCTATTTAAGGTGATCTAATAGTCAAAACGATCGCCTCCGCGAGCGAACCTTTCTGTGCAGTGTGGATGCCAGTTCCGGACCCGCCGCATCACAGTCCTCCGCTACAGCAAGCCCTACTAGTATTGACGTACCGTGCGAGGTGGTTGAACATGAGGCCACGTCGTATAGATTGTATCGTCAATTTCTCCCGCTCCCAGCAACTAGCCTCGCGAACCTTTCCCTTCCTTCAGATCCCTTGAATATGCAGTCACTCTCGGTCCACCATACATCACTCCTCATCTGTTCGCTCTTGCGACTCTGTGATGCAACCGTCGGTCGAACGATATTACTCCTTCCGGGCGCAATTACCGCTAGCGACACCGCGAGGCCCACGTATGGACAGAAGAGACATCGAACGTGCCACTGCGGGGTTCATCTTGGCAAGCGCGAGGACGGAATACAGCCACGCGGAGACAGGTACTCTCGCTGTCAGGTACTCGGAGACGAGGGTTGGGGATGATGTGCGAGGTTGGAACGGTCTTTGATTCAAGACAATGTTCTTTTAACAACCTACGATTTGGTTCCGCTTGCTGCTGGCGCCTCCACCCACAGTATCCCTGCTCAGCAGCATGTTCGCAGGAGATTCGCGGGAAACATGTGGTTTAGACGATCTTCTCAACGTGCCGATGGGCGTTAGTAGATAAGTACTTTGACTCCTCCGTCGCATGCCCATATGAGGGTACTTAGATGAGAACCATCCGTGTATTCAGTGAGTGGAGGCTCCAAGAGCAGCAAACGACGTATTCAGTGTTACATATCATCTACTCAGGCAGAAGAAATGAACGGAAACAAATTTGCGGGTTCCACTTGCCTGAACTCTGTCCCGTTCGGAACCGTAGGAATAGATGCCCACGTTGTGTCCCATTCATCGGGCTTTCCGAAGTGCTCCCACACGAGCTTCGAATCCAGCGCAACGTCTCCCTGCCTGCCCAACAAGACGTGCAAAACACCAAAGTAGTTTGCAATATAGTTGGGTCTGTGGGGCACCCATGTTTGGGTCGTCGAAGCGAAGTCGATCAGTATGGCATGATCGATGTTGGTGCCGGGTTTCTGGGTAAGGATGATCTGACCTTGGTGCCAGTCACGTTGACTGACGTCGGCAAGGTCCAGGATGCGGGCTCCATGTCGGCAGCTTCGGATCTAAGGTAAGTAGTGTCAGCCCAAAGCTACCTCGTCATGTTGGTGATTGAGAGTACCGTACCATGTTGATTTGCCTGTCAGCGCTCAGATTCCGCACGAAGTCCGAGTTCAGTGCCCAGCCTTCGATGTACTCCATCAGTAGGCCGTACAGCACTATCCCGCTAGGCAGTGTGAACTGAAACAACTGGTCAGCAACATCTTTCGAGCGCGCTCACAATGTAGGTGCTCACCTGGTGCATGCCATAAAACCAAGGAACGATCGACCCTTGTACAGGCCGAAGCTTTTTATACGCAAAACCCTCGTTAAGAGCGTACGTCTCAGAAGAGCAAAGTCCGTCAAACCACTGAACAATATGCTCGTGGTGTTCGTCGAAGTCCGCGTCACTGTCGTATGGACTCTGCAAAGGCTGGAACCGGTCGTCGAATAGCTTGAGACACAACGTTGGCGACGATACTACTGCTTCGTTGTCGATAGAGGTGAATTGACAGCGGTAGACGGTACATATGCCGTACTTCGTGCCTTCCGATAGAACATCCTGAATCGTCAACGTAACGACTTGCTTCGATCGAAAGCGGCGGCGATCCCGGCGGTCGCGAGCGGTGATTCGCGCTGCACTGACTTGAGATGTGTCGCCGTGTCTGCAGGGATCTCAGCAGTGTCGAGTGGGTATAACGACGGGCCGAAGTCATCGGGAAGAAACAGCCCCGTTTCGTTTGTGACAGCTGTGAGAGCGTCACTACGATGAGCTACAAGCTTGGTGTATTGCCCTTGCACGTGTGTACGCCAACGGAAGAATTGCAGGGCCCTCGCGCGGTCTCGTACCAACGTTGCGATGTCGAAATCGGAGTTGCGATGATAGGTTGCAAAGACTTCTTCGTCCGACAGCAAGGGCTGATTCAGATCCTTTGGCGGCCCTTCCGGAGAATGAGATCGCCGACGTCACTGCTGAAACTGGGCACGTCAAAGTAGCGGCCACGAGGGAGTTCATCGCTAAGATATGCGGCAGAGATGATCCTCAGAGCTAATGAAGGTTGGTCCGTCGATACCCTCTCGAACTTGAAGGCGTACTGTGGACGGAACGAGCTAGGGAGTGGGAAGATGGCGATATCCTTGAAGTTCGTCACAATGATATAGGGAACGGATGGCGCATACTCCACTGCCTTCGAGAGAGCATACTGAACCAGAGGAGTCAGCTCGCCGTGAGCGTTGAACAAGTCGTCAAGCTATGAACAGGGCTTGAGCGGCCATACATGCAAGAGACGACGGTTCATCTGACCAGCGATACAATGATGGGCGCAGTGACTTTCTGAGCCTTGAAATCTTCAGCCGTAAAAGTTGCCCCATATACGACTACTGACAGTGAGTAGGAGAACTTAAAGGAAGGCCAATCAAGCTCACAATCGCCGAGTTCGACGCTGACGACATCCATAGGTGTTTTGAGTACCGCAGCGGAGTGTAGTTGGTTGAAAAAGTCTGCGACAGGCCGAAGGAGCGCCATCAAGTATCCATTCGGTGAAAAACTGTGGCGCATGTTCAATTAGGGTAAGAACATGTGTAGTCTACGAGGCAAAACATGCGTACGAAGACAGCTCTGTTTCATCCGTAGCACAGGTCATCTTTCGCCTATAGACGTAACGAAGATTTCCTGGAGGGTTCTCAGTGCCCAGGTGAGGCTCTTGTCGTCGTCCTTCGATTCCTCCCAGTTCAATTGCGTTGTAGCGGCCGACGCATTGCTAGGTATTGGCATTAATGATTTCGTCCATGGTCGCGGAGGGGCAGAGCGCGTCGAAAGAGTTGGTGAGGGTATATTGAGGACGAGGGACGCACAATTGACATTCTACGTGAAAGGGCTCGGAAACTCTGTGAAGTTGCGTTGCGCTGGAGCTTGAGCATGAGGGTGCATATTGTCATGCCCGGCTTTCCAGTAAAGTAGCCAAGACGCGACCATGACAGCCAGAACCAAGATCCAAATGCAGCAATTCCCGACTCGATCATAGCGCGTGACCGGTCCCTCGGTAGGAGGACTAGCGCTCAAAGTCGCCGTCTTCTTGGCTTTGCCACAACCTGCATCCACTCCCTTCGCTCAGGCTGTGTTCGCACGAACGCTGTTCACACTCTTCTTGAGTGAGCTTCCAGTACCGGGTGACTGCACTTATCCAGCAAGTCGTCATGCAAGACGGCGGGCACCACGGTGGGCAATCCAGTCCAGGGAGGCTTCAGCGGGCACTAACTAGCACGCAGCATCAAGAACCGGGCCCCTGCTGCCATTCAAGTGACCGCGGAGCAGCTGCTTCGTGATGCGCAAGAACGCCAGGAATCCCAGTTTCGAGCTCCCAAGCAGCGTGTAGAGGACTTCGAGGAGTTGCATGAGTACGAGGCAGAAAGCGGGAGGAGTTCGAGAAGCGGATCAGGCAGACGCGATCAAACATGTACGCAGACATTCAGTCCTCGCAATAACGAGCCCTTCTCACACTGTCATAGAAAAGAATGGCTCCAGTATGCCAACTGGGAGGCAAGCCAGGGCGAGTATGCGCGCTCGCGCTCGGTCTTTGAGCGCGCGTTGGACGTGGACCCTCGCAGTGTGCAGCTTGGCTCAGCTATACCGAAATGGAGCTCAAGGGGCGAAACGTGCAACACGCCCGCAATTTGTTCGATCGCGCGGTCACTCTCCTTCCCCGGGTGGACCAACTCTGGTACAAGTATGTTTACCTCGAAGAGCTGCTGCAGAACGTCCCCGGAGCCCGCCAAGTGTTCGAGCGGTGGATGCAATGGGAGCCGGATGACAAGGCGTGGCAGGCGTACATCAAGATGGAGACGCGGTACGGCGAGTTGGATCGGGCGAGCACGATATACGAGAGGTGGATTGCCGTGCGTCCAGAGCCACGCAATTGGGTGAAATGGGCAAAATTTGAAGAGGACCGGACGAAGCTCGACAAGGCGCGCGAAGTGTTTCAGACCGCGCTCGAGTTCTTCGGGGATGGCGAAGAAGAGGTGGAGAAGGCGCAGGCCGTGTTCAGCGCTTTCGCGAAGATGGAGACGAGGCTGAAGGAATACGAGCGCGCCCGGGTGATCTACAAGTTCGCATTGTCCCGCGTTCCCCGCACAAAGTCAGCCGCGCTCTATGCGCGTATACGAAGTTTGAAAACAGCATGGAACGCGATCGACGCTCGAGACCACCGTCCTGGCAAGCGACGTATCCAGTACGAAGACGAGCTCGCCCAAGAAGGCCACAATTACGACGCTTGGTTCGATACTCGCGTTGGAGGAGGGCGCATTCCGCGACGCGGGGATGAAGGTGCGACTCTAGAAGAATCGAGGCTGCCGTCGGCCGTGTCAGGGAGGTGTATGAACGTGCTGTAGCACATGTCCCGCCAGGGGGCAAAAACGACATTGGCGGCGGTATATATTCCTCTGGTTAAATTATGCGCTATTTGAAGAGATCGAAACAAAGGTATGCCTATCTCTTTGCCAATGAATGACAGACCTCTCACAAATATTCGAAGGACATGCACGCGCGCGACAGGTGTACACGACAGCAATACGAGTCGTGCCACACAAACAGTTTACTTTCGCTAAACTCTGGTTGATGTTCGCAAACTTCGAGGTGCGTCAGCTGGACTTGCCCGCTGCCCGCAAGATCCTTGGTGCGGCAATCGGCATGTGTCCCAAGGAGGCGCTCTTCAAGGGCTATATCCAGCTGGAGCTCGACGTAAGTGTTCGACTGCTACCCTGTCCATTCAGGGATACTGATGTGATCTCAGTTGCGCGAGTTCGACCGTGTCAGGACGCTGTACGAGAAGTACATCGAGTTCGATCCAAGTAACTCATCAGCTTGGGTGAAATACGCTGAACTCGAGTCTCAGCTCGAAGACTTTTCGCGCACACGCGCTATCTTCGAGCTCGGCGTCACACAACAGCCGCTTGCCATGCCAGAAGTGCTCTGGAAGGCGTATATTGACTTCGAGGTCGAAGAGGGCAATCGGGAGGGCGCGCGCGCGCTGTACGAACGACTCGTCGCCATCAGTGGACATTGGAAGGTATGGATCGCATACGCGGAGTTCGAGGCCGCGCCCATACCTGTCGCGCGGGAACTCCGGGAGGAGCGGGAAGAGGAAGAAGAGGAGGAAGAAACAGAGATGGCCCCTGGTGACGTCGAGCGTGCGAGGCGCGTGTTCGAGAGGGGTTATGCGGACTTGAGGAAGCAGGGTCTGAAGGACGAGCGCGCTGCGCTCCTGGAGGTGTGGAAGACGTTCGAGGAGAAGAACGGGACGCCAGAAGACGTCCAGCAGGTTCAGTCCAAGATCCCCATCGTCAGTGCGCGCCGTGTCAAGGCCAACGATGGTCAGGAAGGTACGACGTGCGATTTATTGTTCATGGTACTGGCTCCTGATAGAGTGTGCAGAACTGGTCTGGGATATGGTGTTCCCAGACGACGAGAGGGAATCAAACCCCACATCCTTCCAATTCCTGCAGATGGCTCATCAATGGAAGAAGAAGCAAGCAGAAAAGGCGAAGACCAGCCAACCCGAGGGAGCATTACAGAGCCCTGGTGCTCCTTCGGCGCCGTCTTTCACGCGGGCAAGCGCCGCTACCACGCAAGAGCAAGACACGGACATGCGGGATGCGTCCAGTGACGTTGCAAGCTCGCACGGTGGTGATTAGCATTCCACGAAAGGGGATTGGGGGTTGCTTATGGTGGTCATTCGGCTTTGTACCAGTATGCATTGAGTGCGTGCTTCAGTGTAACTTCGTGCTCAACAAATCTTGCGACCAGCATGGCTTATACAGTGTAAAGCGTAAGGATACATTCCGTAACAGTTCCGAGTATACAACAGCAATGGTGTCCGCTAACACACCGACGTACATATCGACTTGGGACAGCAATGTCCTTGTTATGGCTACATTATGACGCCTTTACGGCCGCCGCCCCTCCCCCTCTCCCCGCTCGCTCAAGACTTCCATCCACGAGTTCGTGTGCAGGCCGGTACCGACACCGGCAGACGCCGTCATCCACAAGACAATGCAGACCCGGCACCCCGCTCACGACCTCCAGCCGCCCGCGTCGGCAAGGCGTCGATGCCCCGGCCATTGATCGCTGTAGACGTGATGCTGCTGTGGGCGAAATCCCTCCCGGCATTGTGATAGCATGCATTCTGGGGTCTCCCTGGATCATCTCGAGCACGTCCGGGAGCGGATCACACCCGGTCCCGTCCGCGATGCATTGCTTCAATGGGTCGGTCGGATGACCTCGAAGCGGCGGGTAGCGTATCGACACGTCTGAAGAGCAGCAGCCCGCAGGAGTGGCGGATGCATGGGGTGGGTGTTATCGGGTCGCTCGGTGCGGGAGACGAGATACTCGTGGGCCTTGGAAGGGTGTACAGAGCACTGCCGCACACGGGCTGATGAGCAGCGCGGGTTGCGAAGGTGTTGTAGTCGAGCCGAGGGAGGTGTACCTGCGAGGAGACTTCATGTACTCGTCTGGAGTCCGGAAGAGGTGATAGACGTACCCTTCGTCGTACAGACTGCAATACGGCACCTTGAACCATCGCAGATAGTCCCACACTGCACCGTAGGACCAGTTGATGATGGGTTCACGCGCTCGAAAGCGGCCACCCAGGATCAGTCGGGTTGCGGAACGTCAGCGTGGCTAGATTGTGTCAGTGGTCGGACTCTGAGACGTCTCTGAGTGACGAGCCGGCTATCGCGCTCATGCACAGAGCTGCGGATCGTGCTCACCTCCATGGGGGTCCGACCTCCTCGTCCCAATCAATATCGCCCGATGTGTGGGAACTCGTCTCTGTACGCCTCCAACGCACGCTTCATCCCTTCCCCTCCCTTCGCCTTCAGCTTCGCGCCCGTCCCAGAGATGACACCGTTTGTCGCTCCGGGCGTCGCAGGCCCAGCGACAGTCTCGACCGGAAGCTCCGGCTCGTCAATCGGGCACTGGAAAGGTCGAGGTTGTACTGCCGTGCGGTTTCGTGGATGAAAGCTTCGAGCTGCGGGAAGGGCGAGGGCACCGGGATGCAGACAGCAGGGATCGGTCGGGATGCCAGGCTGCCTCGTCGGCCGAGGGACGCTACGAGGAGATGGAGAAGGACTGTACCTAGATACCACACTCAGCCTCTGCTCAACGCTGTACATTGATCGAAGAGGACGTACAGTCCTTCCCGCCGTTGAAGCTGAGGATACATGGTCCGGACTGGCCCTGCGTCAGATAGGATGAACTCCTCTGTCCACAGAAGCTCACCCAAATGAATCGAGCGCATCGTCTATGCAGCGAGGCCTCTGTGACAAGCTGCGAGAGCGAGTCCGACTGAGCCGCAAGGGCGTACACCTCTTTTGAAATCTGCCCGAAGTCGACCATGTTCGTCTCTCCAGCTTCGAAATCAACACAGCGATGCCGCAGTCGATTACGGCTGGCACAGAAAGGCGTCGAGTATTCGTAGCCCCAAGTAGAGGAGAGCTGGAGGAGAGAACAAGGAGAGAGTGCGTAAGTTCTGCGCCGAGCCGTAACGCCGAACCGTGATCAATCTCCGTTTACGATTAGATCTCCCCACAACGTACATTCACCGCTCGAGCAAATTCTCACAGAGGAGTCAAATGTAGACTGAGAGCTCGATGTGACATGCATACGTCATACGGAACTCGTGGAGGAAGATGTGGCCTGAGTAGAACCGGTATGCGTGAGATTCGCGTGAAGATTACTTTCGCTTTACGATATCGACAACGAGGAACGAGGATGAAGAATGGTTGGGATAATCACCGCAAGGAGAGCACGAGGACACGGGAACAAAACGCGATACATCAGTGGGAGAGCAAGGTCCTTCCCTCTTCCTCCTTCTCAAGCTCTGTCTTCGCCACGGTCGGCGGCGACCCTAGATCCGCCCCGACCGCACCATCGCCGGCCAGCCCTTCCTCTTGCGAACCCGCAGACTTCCCGAACGGGTGTGAGTCTGCATCCAATTCGTCATGAAATCGTCCTTCCCCTGTTTTCAATCTTGTCCGAGTGGGTAGGGATTCGGCAGAGTGGAATCGCGAAGGCAGCAGCTGCGTCCTGCTCTGGTGTGCCCACTCCTTGATCCCGGCGCGCGGACCAGCATCGTACGTGAGCAGGGCAAGGCGGACGAAAAGGTAGATGCCGATAATCGACGCCGTCAGCAATATTGAGACACCGACGAGCAGGAATAGCGTCCCCAGGAGTAGAGTGCCTGGGATATCATCAGCGTCAAGCTTCACATGGGATCACGAATGCGTACCGAATATTGCCACAACCGCAGTGGCCGCCACAAGTGCTGCGGCGAGAGCTGTGCATATGAAGGAGGTGAATATGAAGAAGGAGAAGCCGCTGTCGACATGAGAACAGTAGTATTTGAGTATCACAAGGCAACCTGAAGGCTAGAGTGAGAGCGCACATGAAGGATAGTGCTGGTAGCAAGCTCAGAGCAGTCAAAATGGCCAAATATGTCTTCAAGCAGGTGAGCTTCACAGCAACATTGAATGATATGGGACACTCACAGAGCGTATCGGATGCTGGCGAAACGCATCAAGCGCGTATTGGATCAAAGGACGCGTAAAATTATTCTCAAGCCTGCAAATGATATCCATGGTGAACGCTGCGGACGTACTCCCGAAAACATGGTTACCTCTGCATCAGCTCCCGGACTGTAGTGGCGCTCTTGTCGAAGTAGGACGTCAGATCATCCTGGTCTGGGGGTGGGGTGAACACTGAGTCCATGTCTTGTATGCGCTATGCTAAAATGTCAATCTGTTGCGTGGCTACTTGCTAGTAGCTCGAATATGCAGACCGGTTTGTGATAGAACTTGATATGGGCGTGCTGGACACTCGTCGCCAATGCAGAATAGTTTATAAGGGATTCGGTGAGTTCCAACTTCTAGGAACGCTGGCGCCAGAGCCTGAAGCTTATAGTACGACCTATGAAAGAAGTTCAACATACTTCAGCCATCGTAAGCACTAGCAAAGCACTACTTACGAATTTGAAGCGAATGACGAGGAGAGTAGCAAGAATGCCTAACCTTAAATTGAATATTCTGAACAGCTCAGAGTTTGTGTTGAATAAGTGTTGGAGGAGCGCTGCGCTGAGCAGCTTGTAATCCTCCTCCTCAGGTCAGCGGCCGCCGTCACTTGTGCCACAGGCGCGTCACGATCCTCCCTTGCCTAAATAAGAAATGCATCGCGAGCACGTGATCACCACGCGTAGAAGTACTAGACGCGCGCCACCGCCGACATGTTGAACTTGACTTGAACTTGAACCGCGACCTCCTCAAGGCCTCGATTCTTACCCTACACATAGAACGCCCGTTGATCAATAGCTCTGCTGTGTTGGAAGTATGGAAGCTTAGTAAGTATTGTACATCCTTTTGTATATCTTTCGTTTCGGTTGCCACGCCGTGTCTCGAAGCCGTCGCGGTATGGTGGTTGAAAGTAGAGTGTTGCGAGACGCCAATAAAGTGTCGCAGATGGTATGTAGCAGGAGTAACTTGTGACGATGTGTGGAGGACGTGGACAGGATGACGCTTGCCAGCTCGACGCAGACGCGACATACTCAACTTGCGGTCAGGGGTGGGCCTCTGATGATGTGTGGTGGCACTAATGACACAGAGTTCCCATCGTGGCAGATGCGAGAGAAGAGCTGCACTGTGCTCGTTGATGATAGCACTCTATCTCTATTCCAACTCAAATCTGGTGCGAGACAAAGACTGATTCATACGCCACCGCAGCCGTCGAAGGCTAATGGAACAAGCCACGCAGGACGGGTCAATATATCCCGATGTCACAAGGTCGCGCGAGGGAGGAAAACCCTCATTTGCGGCGGCTCCATGCGAAAGCCGACAACGTGATAGTGAGATAGTCGCTAGCGAACCTCAGAATGTTGCTTACATGCAGTTATAGAGCATCGAGTCGGATAGTGGCGAAGATGTGGCGCCCGCCAAGGAGATCCGAGGACGCCTCCAGAAGTTATCGAGCTTTCTGATTCAGAGGACGAGCTCCAGGAAAGTGTACGTTGGCGAGGCACCCTTATGATATGGCCTTCTCATGATATTGCAGTTCGGAGCCACTTCGTGCGCAACCGATGAACACGGCGAAGGCGCAGCAACAGCAGTTCCTCCCGCAAAGCCTCCGCTCAAGTCGCGTACCTGTCCATATCCCGAGCAATCGAGACATTCCACGGGCGGTGCATGTCAACACGGCGAGGTATTCGACATGCAAGTGGCAGACAACTTGTACGATGTACCAATGACTGCTGCCGATACCGAGAAGGCGATCCAGGATCTCGTGTCCGGCGCGTTCGGTGAGACGGAGGTCGATGCTTCGGTCGAAGACCTCAAGGTCCCAGGGCTGGACCCAAAGTTTACGTTGCTGCTGCACCAAGTCGCGGGCAGGAAATGGATGGCGGACCGTGAGACCGGCAAGGCGAACGGCGGTATTCTCGCGGACGACATGGGGTGAGTGCTGATATTCTCTGCTATTATAGCTTTCCTGAGTGGTGTTGTTGCAGGCTGGGGAAGACCATACAGACTATCGTTCGCATTGTCGAGGGACGGGCGAAGAAGCAAGATCAGAAGGAGGCTGGTCACCGGCGACTTTGTAGGCATATAGTTCACTGACACCTAAAGCTGGTAACTGATAGGATGGTGTTTGTGGCAGGGTCGTCTGTCCGGTGGCGGTGGTGTCACAGTGGGCAAGTGAGGTTAAACGGATGGCGCCCGGCTTGATCGTCGTCGAGCACCACGGACCGAAACGCACAAGTGGTGAGTATTTTCGCGGAGTAGGTGTACTTTCGGCTGATAAGCACCAGACCCGAAGCAGCTAGAACGTGCCACGTAGTAGTACATCGTACACAACCGTCACCTCCGAGTATGGGAATACTCTGGTGCGAGCGCTAGCAAGGGCCCCAAGAAGAAACAGTCGCACAGGCGTCGAGTGACTCGGACTCGGACAGCAGCAGCGTAGGTAGCTCGCTGCGTACGAAGAAAGCACGAGGAAACACTTCGAACGCAAAGAAGGATGCACTGTTCCGTGTGCAGTGGTGGCGTGCCGTGCTCGGTGAGTATCGGCCACTTCCATTGTTGACGAAGTCTAATTCTGGCTCGTGCGTCAGATGAGGCCCACAAATAAAGAATCGTAACACGAAGGCGGCGACGGCCTGCTGTGCGCTCGAGAGCAAGTATCGCTGGTGCCTGACGGGTACACCGATGTGAGTGGTTGATCGACTGCATTGAGAGGTACTGATTCAAGACCTCGGTCCCGGATACATAGGCAAAACAGTGTGAAGAGCTGTATTCGCTGTTCAAGTTCCTGCGCATCAAGCCCTGAACGACTGGCCGACGTTCAACTCGCAGATCGCCAAGCCAGTAAAGGCGAACCGTACTACACGGGCCATGAAGCGTCTGCATGTGAGTGATCTGACTGCCTTCACCGCTTACTCCGTCCGTGCGGTCACTCAGACGCTACTGCTGTCAGGTTGTGCTGAGCGCAGTGATGCTCAGACGGACCAAGACCACGATCGTGAATGGAAAACCGATATTGGAATTCCTGAGCGGGTGGTTGAGATCGTTGACTGCGAGTTTGACGCTGTCGAACGAGCGTTCTACGACAAGGTCAATGAGCTGGTGCAGAACAGGCTTGAGAAGCTAGAGCGACAAGGCGGGCTGCCAGCAACTATACGTCCATGCTCGTGTTGCTCCTTCGGTTGCGACAAGGTATGTGATATTACATGTTCGGCGCGTTTATGAGTATGAGATGCTGATTGATATCACGTAGCATGTAACCACCCGTCCCTTGTATCGGAAGATTACAAAAGGACAGGGAGGCGGTTGAACCGAAGGGTAGCAAGAGTCAAGATGGCGACGACAAAGACGATGCGGATGACCTGGCGGACCAACTCGAAGGAATGGGTCTTTCGGGCGTAAAGCGCTGCCAGCTGTGCCAGACTGAGTGAGCCCTGCGACATACACAATTGGAGAAGCTAGTGAAGCTGACTGTTACAGGTTGTGTCATCGAACACCGGGGAGGATGGAGCCTGCACTGACTGTGCAGTGTGGTGGCCAAGGCGAAGCGTAGAGTCGACCACGATTTGCCGCCAGACTCGTCCAAGACTCGCCAAATTATGGACATCCTGCGAGAGATCGACGAGCGCTCCGATGGGAGGAGAGAACTATCATCTTTTCGCAGTTCACCTCAATGCTGGACATCATAGAGCCCTTCCTCAAGGCAGAGGGCATCGTATATGTGCGCTGTAAGTACCGCCCTCGGGAATCCGGCGAGCGTAAGTTGACAACGGTACCAGACGATGGTTCCATGAATAAGGCTCAGCGCGAGTACGCGCTTGAAGCGATCAAGAAGGAGGATGGCCGTACCCGAGTTATCCTGATCTCATTCAAGGCCGGATCGACTGGTGAGCTTTCATGTCCCCGTTCCGGCTACCCTGACTGACCGTGATATTGAGGTTTGAACTTGACGTGCTGCAACAACGTGATCTTGGTAGATCTGTGGTGGAACCCGGCACTGGAGGTCAGCGCTTCAGCCTTGTCGTTTGTGTATGTTCAGCGAAGGCTAACGCAGGTTGTGCAGGACCAAGCGTTCGACCGAGCTCATCGCTTTGGTCAGAAGAGGATGTACGGATCCGGAAGCTGTGCGTTCCGACACTGTCGAGCAGCGAATCTTAGAAGTTTGTATCTTGCCTATCACTTTCGATTAGTAACTGACGGTCGTGCATTCAGCTACAAGACAAGAAGCGCGAGTTAGCCAAGGCGGCGCTGTCTGGAGACAAGATGAAGAACATGCGTCTCGGCGCGGACGAGCTAGCCGCGCTTTTCCGTCCGGGTGGGCACGACGAGGATTCCGACTCAGACTAGGGATCCCCACCGGACGGTCGTACTGAACGACTGTGCTTGTCGGCCTTGGCTTCTTTGTTTGCTGTCGTATTCGTCCTTGCGGATTTGACTTCTTGGTTCCGTATGCTGCTAAGTTAGGATAGACTAGGATTAGGATCATACGGTGATACTCGTGCCGTGCACTTGAACTACGGACCTATTCGATCATCATTGATCCATCATGCCGCTCAAGACTGCACTCTTCTCTGCCGTTGACATCCGCAAGATGGTGTACCGCAAGTGTACATCGCAGGCGCCGATAGTGTGTGAGGATACTGTACTGAGCTGCCGACTGGAACCTGGAAAGAGATGGGTAGACATGCCGCCGACAGGCTTCCCGCGTTGTCGACAATTGCATACTGAGGTGATTTTGCCGTCTATTGCATGAGGAAAAAGTAACACAGGAGGAACAGCTGACATCATCGACGAGGATTTCGCGTGCGGGAGTTCGAAGACCAAGAGAATAATACCGCTAGCTACAGGGTGCAATGTTCTGCATTCTTCGAATGGGTGTCAGTACAGGCCGCCCAGGCGGAGAAATGGAAATGATCGGGGGACGTGGAAACCCCGATATGGTAGCTGATGTGTGTTTGGAACTCCGCCCGATCCACGAACGCGGTTGTGGCGTTGTCCCGCCGTCCTCTGTTCCTCCTCATTCTGAATTTCCACGGCTCTCAACAAGCCCATTACTTTGCAGGGCAGTCTCGAACATTAGCAATCCTGGAAGGGTGAGATCGCGGGAAACATCGTTTCTATCACGAACCCAGTCGATCAGTTTCTTGAACACTTCGTTCCGGGAGACAAACCTCTTAGATCTGTGGCAAGAGAGCACTTTGATATGCCATCAAACGCAACTCTTGAGAGTCAACTTTACGAACCGCTAGTGAGCACTGTCTGCAAACACGCGTGCGCCCCGGCTGACCGTTCTGCTAGCGCGAAGGGTTGATGTCTTTAGTGAGCCAGCTCTCTGAGGCGAAGAGACCTGTGTTCGTCAATCACGATCATAATCGTATCAAGTTTCCGTACGAGTCAGCCGCGTCCGAGCACCACATCACCCTGCCAGATATCATTGCGTCATTCCCCGGCGAGACATCCATCGCCGATTATTGGACGAACATCTCGTTCGTTGTCGAAGTCAAATTGACGAAAGGCGAAGACCCGATGAGTTCATGCACAGACGAGCACGAGAAGACGTTGGTCCAGCTGGCCAAGAGCGCGCGTAACCTTCTTGTGTCCCAAAGCAGTCTGTTCGTATTCGTCGTCGGTATTCACGGGACGCTGGCTCGAATCTTCCGCTTCGATCACGGTGGCGCCGTGTGCTCAAGGCCGTTAGACTATACAACGGTCGCGGCTGTCGTCTCTTCCACGACTTCCTCTGGTGCTTCACCCACTCAAAGCATTCGGCTGCCGCGTCGTCGGAGCTGACCCCACGTGCAGCTTATCGGTCCGGCGCAACGTGCGGTGGTTGTCAAAATACTGCGCGATGCAGGTCTGAACCCGCAGACACGCGCGAGGCTGCCAAGGCGTACCGCTACAACACGGCCAGGGGATACGGGGGTCGGAAGATAAAGTACCTAGCGTACGAGCTGATCTTATCAAGCCCCACTTGTTTTCGCGTGCGACGATGGTATGGGAAGCTATCGAGGTGGACACTGGCGATCGGGCGGTGGGCGGCCTGTCGTCGTCAAGCTTACGGTGACCCTCGACATCGCGTGAACAGGAACCATGCGAAAACGAGAGAAGCCATTCTCGCATATTTGGCACTGTGGCGTCCTCTGTCAAGATTCAGTCGACAAGGAGTTGGTGTAGGCGCTGCGCGATGCTATCGGTGGTACGCTGCTGCCTTCAGTTGATGAGTACGTGTGATGATTGCTGATGCATCGCTTCGCTGCAGATCATTTTGGAGCAGGTGTAATGCACCGCGATTTAGCGAGGGCAACGCCATGATATCTCAAGAATCAAGCACAATCCACTGGCGATCTACGGACTCGACTGCGGACTGAACTGGAAGATGCTTCTCAAAAATTGGATTGGACAGTGAAATGGCCGATTGGGATGCATTCGTGCGAGACGAGTGCGCGAAAATGCGAGCGGCGCTCAAAGCGAAGTACAAGGCCAAGGTCCGTGGAAGACAGGCGCGCCAGAATGATGGCGACTCCAACAATTTCTCCTCCTCTTCCTCCACTCGGACGATGATTCGGATGACTCTGAGGACGTTTCCTCAGCCATGCGGCTTCAGGAGGTAACGATTCGAGCTCGATTCGGATGGTTCGGACGACTCCTCCGATGAGGACTCTAGCGACGATGACTCGGACGACGACTCGAACCGAGGGAGACGCTCCAGGAGGGGACTCTCGCATGCGGTGATGACGAGGAAGACGAGCTCGAGCACGGTCCCAGTGGGTTGCACTTACAGATCAAAATGGAGCAAGACCGAATGTCAAGCTTTTCGCCGCGGAGGAGTTGAAGCTGCAGTGCAAACAACAGACGGTGTGTATCGCATTCTGTTCCTCAGCGTCACTGGCAAATTGAACTGAGGTCGGTTCTCAAGGGGACGCTATACTTCGTGGCCGTGGAAATCATCGGCGGCGGCGTTATCCACGAAGTTCGCCACGATCTGGAATCCTTTTACTGGCTTCTCGTCTGGGTCGTTCTCCGGCACTGCGACCACAATGATAACGAGGGTTCCCGAGCGTGCGACGCGCTTTTCGACGCCGAGAATGACTCTAGACGCGCGAGGCAGAAGCGCGGATGGCTGATAGAAGATTCTCCCATTGTCCACAATAACAAGCCCCTCAGCCAGTTGCTGGAGAGACTTCGTAAATTTTGCGCACGCAACGACTCGCAGCACAAACCCTTCAAGCCCTTCACATATAGGAGGGTTCTGCGTATTTTTGACGACACTCTTAGCAAGAAGTGGCCCTCGAAGGACAAGGCCATACCTTTCGTTGTCCACAAGCAGGATGAGGACATTACCCTTCCTGTGGGCTCAGCCCGCCATGTGAGCACCATCGAAAATAGCCAAATCCGATCGGACGCTCTTGAGCCCGTGGCTGTCCATCTGGCTGGACACAGCGGCCAATCGCGACGGACAGGCTCAGCCCGACCAACAAAGCGAGGGACGGTACAAGGGAGCGGGAATCACTCGCCAACGGCGAACGGTAGTCGTAGCCGCAAGCGGTCGCGCGAGCAGCGTGACGCATGGGAGGTGAATCCTTTACCTGCGCAGCCCAAGCGTACGAGGACCAACAGTGAGCGCCAACCTGAATCTATTTCAGGAGGGAGGAACCGATCCACTGGAACACGAGCGGCTGCTGGAAAGCGGAGATGAAAGGGCTGGTATGTGTGGCACGTACCGGAGTTCACACCTCTCTGTAGCACTCATATACATCGGGAATGGTTCTTTTGTACTGGAATTCTACTACCATCGCTCAGACCAACTGTTTGCCAACTGTACCAAATTTCTTACTCCTGCATTATTCGACATAGAGTACATCGTTAGCCACCCTATGATAGTCTGTGGTTCATTGGCGTTCGCGCTTGAATCTCGGACCAAGCTTCGCGTAGCGACGTACCACTTACCAGATATGATATCGATGACCGAGTAACATGGCCAATAGACAAGGTCTTGTGGCGGGACATGCAAGGGACCACGAGGGAGGAGGATACGATCACATACATTCAATGATTTTTGTCACTATGCATCTAACAGGGAGCCTGCGCTCCTACCTGCAATTTTTCGAAGGAGGCAGCTTCGCCAATGCCCGCCAATACCAGCCTGAGATTGCGAAAACAGTAGTACCTCTCTCGAGAACGCCGACGCGTCTAGATGTCGTGACTCAATGTAATACTAGTACCCTCCTCCTCCTCCTCCTCCTCCTTTGTCTCGTACCCATCCGCGCAAGGTCGCACCCCACCACCGCACCGATAACACTGCGGTGGTGGGGTGCGACCTTGCGCGGATGGGTACGAGACAACTCCTCCTCCTCTCAGAACAAACATGGGAGTCAGCATGTTTTGAACTCCGCCTGATCCACGAGCGCGGTTGTGGCGCTGTCCCGCCACGCCGCTCTCTTCCTCCTCATTCCGCGCCTCCAGAGTACGCTGCGAAGCGATTACCGCGTATCTACTGCGAGCGTCGCTGAGATCGGACCGCATACGGCTCATAGCAGTTATCGCGAAGCGGAGGGTCCGTATATTGTGCGACTATTGAGTGGTGAGCCACACCAACCTCCCCGTTTGGGCGAGAACCATAGACTGACTCTTGTGCGGTCCATCAGACCTAATTTGAGGATCCGTCTGTGCAGTTGTTTCTTTTGAACACGACTCTGCGATTGGCTTCGACTTCTAGCCGTATATATGAACTGGCTGGAGCAACCGCAAGAGGAGCGGACCGAGCTGTCGAAGAAACATTCCCTCGACTCTACCAGCAAACCAGGAGAGGGAGGCACTCCGACGAAGCGCGGAACTGAGGATATGGCTACATTGGTTAGAGCAGAACGTGATCGGACAGAGAGCAAGGAACGTACTGTAAGTCCGCACTCTCATCGAATCCCCTAAGCTTTGACCAAGTTGATTTCTCGGATAGGTTACATGTTACTTCATGGCCATTGCCGTGCTCCAGGGTTGCGTCATTCATCAAGTCCGGCACGACCTGGAGTCATTCTATTGGTTCCTCGTCTGGCTAGTCTTGCGGCACACCAAGCACACTCGTCCATCGAAGGAGACGGCGTTGTCGGATTTGTTCGACCAAGTCACAGTAAACGCCTGCCGGATCATGAAGGTGGGCTGGCTCTCCGTGGAGCCGCTCGGTGTCGAAGATAACAAACCCCTCACGAACCTCCTTTCTCGATTCACCGAAGTCTGCAAGATGAACAATGCCGGGCAGTCTTCGGTGCCGCTGACGTACGAACGTGTGCTGGACATCTTTGATGAAGCGCTCGCACGCGAGGACTGGCCGACAGACGACAAGGCGATACCATTTCCCCCCGCTGGCGACGCGAAACCACCGCGTCAAGCACGTCCCAAGGGCAGCCTGTCGAATGCTCAGACTAGTGCAGATGCTCGGCGTGGCCAAGCACGGGCTTTCGCGTCTCAAGCCAATAGGTCAAGGATGCCCCTTTATCAAGCTATCGCTCATGCGCCAGGCCTGCGAGGAGCTGTGAGCAAGACTGCAGTCCTCGTCCTCCAGCCGCATTTCCCAAGACAGCATTCAAGTACAATTACAAGGGCACTGATGTTGGCATCTGGTGAAGGTGATGACCATGCTGGCGTACCTGCTTATGAAGAACATCAAGAAGGTTCAAGCCATATTTCCATACAATACCTGGCCCATGGAGTATCCAATGTCGTTATGCCACATGCCGCGTCCGAGGCTGTAGTGGAACCTGGCTCGCTCTCGGTCCTACAGCGGTCAAGGGCGAGCCCGCGCGTCCTAACGCCTGAGCCATGGGGCACGCCTCTTCCTCTGGTGACGAGTCAATTCCGGGCGGCCTTACTTGAACCAGATAGCCTACCTCTTGCTCACGGTGAGGCCTCGTCACACGCTCGTCCCTCTTCCTCAGAGACCATGGATGTTCCAACCCGAGGATCTGATACTGGACGGAAAAGGTCGCACGAGGACCTAGGGAAGAATGAAGAGGAACCTGGGCCTTCTAAGCGTTCGAGGACTCATGGCCAAAAATAATCTCGCCGTTAAGCTACTCGCAGGCGGTCACGCACGTCTTAGGTGAGTACTACTCAGCAGCTACTTGATAGTATGAGATGGACTAATGGATCCAACATAGCACTAGACGTCCGGGAACTATATAACTACAATGCCGGCAGTAGCCGTTGGTCAATAAAGCATGCTCGCGTATACCCCACCTGTATCTATCCGTCTATCAACTGCGAGCCTGAGTACAATTTCCTCTTCTCAGCAATGACCCAAATACGCGCGCATCGTCTTTTATCTCGTCTGTATTGCTGCGATATCTTCTGTTTTGAGAGCGTAAATACTCTGGTTTTAGTTGAGATTCGTTCTGAGTACTCAGTAGTGTCGCCATGACTCGGTGTAACGGCTATTCAGTCTACCGTTCTTCCACGGTTAACTGACTACAAAACATCCGAACAGTCGACATGTAGAACGAAGCATCAATTAACATGATGTGACCAGTCACCGCGATCGGTCTACTGTAAAAGAAAGAGGCAGCTTCGCCACTGTCCGCCACTGGCAAGCCACTCGGAAGTACTACTACCAGGTCGCGAGGACAGCACCTTCCTAAGATAGACGGACAATGGGATGAATTGGATCGGCATCAGCCGTGTGGCAGTCCCGATCTGGCAGCTCTTGTATGTTTTGAACTCCGCCTGATCCACGAGCGCGGTTGTGGCGCTGTCCCGCCACGCTCTCTTCCTCCTCATTCCGCGCTCCAGAGTACGCTGCGACGCGAATACCGCGTATCTACTGCGAACCATAGCTGTGAGTGCACTGCATACATCTAATAGCATTTCTTGCGGGGCAGAAGGTCCAAAGACTGCGCGACATATTGGGTGGTGAGCCATACCAACCTCCCCGTTTGGGCGAGACCACAGACTGACTCATGCACAGCTCATCAGACTGAGTTCGAGGGTCCATCCGTACAGCTGCCTTTTTTGAACACAACGATAGCCACTGGACCTCCGACATGCCTCACCGATTTAAAGGAGCGCGGGTGTCGCGCTCGCACCGCCGCTCGTGCAGCTTCCGCTGTAGTAATCCCCCTCCTCTTCATTCCCCTCGATCAACAACCGCACCTTTGCGACCTCCAATGGCGCACTCCACTCCTCGCACGGCGAAGCAGATCGTGTATCACTTTGATATGCGGAATATCAGGCAGGCGAACGAGCAAGACATGGCGGCTTGGCGGAGCGAGGTAGACGGCAAGATCGTGGACATGACCTCGTCGATAGATGAGTTCTTGTGCGTGTTCGTACCTAGCAATGCCGCGCTGCCATCGTTGAAAGCTCGGCGTCCCTTCAACGTCCCTGTTGGTGTGGCCGAGTCGCGTATGTATGAGCCTCTGGTAAGTAGTCGAGAGACCACTCAGGTGAACCTTCTGCTGACTCTTTGTAGTGTAACGGGCTCAAGAAGCTAGTTGTGGACTTTCCCCCGGAGAAGCAACCATGCTTTCACAACAACGCACACGAACTCATCAAGTTTCCGTTCGAGAAGTACGAGCACGATTACCACGCGACTAAGCCGGATGTCGTCGCATCGCTTCCTGGCCAGACATTTGTAGGGAAATTCCCTGATCGTTGGAGAACATATCCGTCGTATTCGAGGCGAAGAACACCGAGAAAGCTGATCCGATGGGATATTCCTCGAAGGAGAATAACGAGGCGTTGGTACAGTTGGCCAAAAGCGCGCGCAATATCCTGGTTTCCCAGAGCAGATTGTTTACCTTCGCAGTCGGCATCTATGGCGACAAAGCGCGCATCTATCGTTTCGACCACGCTGGCGCAGTCTGTTCGCCTCTATTCCCGTACACGTCGAAGGGTGGCGCAGTCTTACACGAGTTCCTGTGGCGTCTTGTCAACCCTATGCACGAAGGATGTGACATCGTCGGGGCTGACCCGACTGTGCGGCTTCCAACGCAGGATGATCGAGAGCAGCTGGAGGCAGAACTACGCCTAGGAGGCGTTGATTACGACGATAACACGTGGAGTATGTGTCGCTGGGTCACCGTCAAGGGCGCCGCCGAGGGGAGGTACATCAAGTATCTCTTGTACGACCTAGTGTTCATCAACCCTGGTCTGTTTTCCCGCGCGACGACAGTATGGTCGGCATTGCAGGCAGATGACGCGGACCGACCTGTTGGGAATACATGGTCGATCTCGAGCAAATCGCAGGAAAGCATGTCATCATCAAGGATTCGTGGCAACAGCTGGCGCGGAGACCAGAGACCGAGCATTACGAGCAGATCAACGCTTATATTGGGTCGCGACTGATACAGGACTACCTTGAGGCCGACGACGACATGACAGAGGCAGAGGCGTTCCTGAGCGCATGGGACCAAGAATGGACTGGATTGGCACAATTTGTAGCAGGCGACGATCTCGGGGAAGAAGAGTTGAGCATGGCCGACCGAGAGCGCGTCGGACAGCATACGTCCTCCGCGAAATATCAAAACGAGCTCTTGCACCAGTTCCTCGAACGCAGTCACACGCGAACTGTGTCGAGATCAGTTGGTACGCCCCTCTCGCGTTTCCGCGAAACCCGGGAGATGGCGCAGGCACTTCGCGATGCAATTTACGGTAAGCGCGTCTTCTCAGTACAGATTTGTCTGCGAACTCACAGTGTCTTTCGTTTCACACATAGGACACCGCACTGCATTCGAGGCTGGGATTTTGCATCGCGACATCAGCGAAGGCAATGTTTTGATCGCTAACGGGCGAGGCTTCCTGCACGATCTTGACTATGCGTCAAACTGGAAGGCGTTCCTGTATGTCCGAAGATACGAGCATACGATCGAAAGCTGGGATAAATATGTGAAGACGGGCGCGGGCATTCCGAGGGAGGGCGCGGGCGCCGCAGAATGCGCTACAGCTGAGAAGGCGCCACCCGTGGGTGGCATCGACAGTGGCACGAACAAGCGCTCGCCTCCTGCCCCGATCGTCAACAGGAAAGGCGAAAAAGAGTATTACGTCGATGCCGTCATCGCGGAACGGAGGGAGGGGCGAACGCGCAAGTACAAGGTGAAGTGGGAAGGCGTTGACGAGGACCAGGCCACATGGGAGCCTGCAGCTAACGTACGGGGCTGCGCGGCGTTTCTGGATTGGATGAAGCGTCCTGAAGACGAGCGAAGAGAGTTGTCGAAGAAGCACCTGCCTAAGGACACCAGTGGCACAGGGGAGGAGGCTGTTTCAGCCACGAGCAAGAACGAAACCGGCGCTGCACCAGTGAGAGCAGAGCGTAATCGCACAGAGTGCAAGGAACGCACCGTAAGTCCACATCAAACAGTGGACCGAATTCAACTGACGTCAGAATGCGATCAGGGCACGTTCTACTTCATGGCCATCGAAGTGCTGCGGGGTCCAGTCATTCATCAAGTCAAACATGACCTGGAGTCTTTCTTCTGGCTACTCATCTGGCTCGTTCTGCGACATACCGCGCATACTCATTCAGATACGGCCCTGACGCTGAAGACGCTGTTCGACCAACCTACCGATGGGCAATGCTCGTTTTCAAAGGCGGGCTGGCTCTTGACTGGCGACTCAATTGGCGTCGAGGGCAACGCACCTCTCACATACATCCTCGAGAAGTTTACGAAGCTTTGCAGAGTATCCCACTACAAAGACATCTTCATGCCATTGACGTACGACAGCGTGCTCAAGATCTTCGACGACGCTCTCGATCGCGAGGACTGGCCCGTCGACGACGCAGCGATACCCTTCGTTCCTGCCCGTAACCCTGATCTGCGGCATCAAGCACGTCCCCAAGGCAGCATACCAGGCGGTCAACTAAGCGGACAGGGTCAAAATCACACGTCTGCTAGAGCCGGTAGCTCTAAGCTGCCTCTGCCCTTGGGTATCGTCAACTTGCAGCGCGATCAAGATGTCGCGAGTGGGGGTACTCGTAGCATTGACGGTGCTATGAATCTCCTTCGGAGCCGGATGGGATCCAGCTCAGGAACCTTTGAAGATGCCGTTCGAACAGCTTCAGGTAGTGTGCCTGTTAGTGGGCGCGGTCTGTCGTATGTTGAAGGCCCCCCGCGGAGGTCGAGACATTCGTCTTTGCGAGACACCGATATCGTCATGCCACCGCCACTCCCTGACTCGCCCACGCCATCTATGCCGCGACGATCCACAGCCAGCTCGATCAGCGAGATACCCTCGTCACCTGCGGTGCAGGAACAACCAGAATCGCCGGAACCTTGGGATACGCACTCAGGCTCCCCTTCAATAGCGAGCCGACTTCAAGCAGCCTTGGAAGAACCCGACAGTGGGCCAGATAGCCCCCCGCACATTGGTCACGGCCTCGATTCATCGCACACTCGCGAGTATGAACGCGTGAGCAGTCCGAGCGGAGTATCCCACAATGGGCGGAAACGATCGTACGAGGACCTGGGAAGAAACGAGGAAGAACTTGGGCCTTCAAAGCGCTCGCGGACTCGCAGCCAGCAGTCTCGTCGTCAGTTGTTCCGGTCACGCCCATCTTAGGTGAGTATCTAGCAGCCAGTTTAGAACGCGAATGGACTAAGTGATTCCACAGTGTTTGGACGCTCGAATCTCTGCGTCTACAATGCTTGAGTAGGCGTCGGGTACATAAGTCCTGTCATCAATACCACATCTGTATAATTAACTGCGTACTCTACACGCACACTTTCCTCTCATCATATTTAATGCGCACGGGTCCGAGCTGTTTCTTGTCCTATTCTACTCAGCGTTGTATGACTGTTAATAGAGGCCACGAGCCCTGCGTTGGCTACCTGTAACTGTTTGCACGTTGTTCATCCATTGTACACCTGGGTCTCCAATCAAGTCATTGTGCTTGCGCGGTCAATCAGCTACAAGTCTTCCGAACGACGGTGAGTGTAGGGTATGAAACAAAGCAGACGAAGGCATCTCTTGGCAGGAAACAACGAGTCACAGCGATGGCCTCGACACAATACAATACATCAGCGGATGGGATCCCATGGCGCAGCCGACACCTCAATCGCTGTCCAATTCAACCTAGGAGTACCAAGAACATCTATGAGCAATTCGCATGATCACGCATAGTAACTTACCACATCAGCCATCTTCTTGGTAGCTCGAGTTGCTGCGGCGCGTGTCGAAGATCTCCCAGAGGGGCCGAAGGCGAGGGTGGACTGTTTCGCTGTACTCTTTTTAGTCGGGGCTTTCTTTGCGTGGATGGTTGACTGCCGAACGCGAATAAGCATGCGTAGAATGGCAGTAGCAGCTGAACGCACCTGAGGACCGCGGCACGATTCGTACGCTTCGTCGTTTTGGGAGGCGGCTCTTCGTCTTCAATTTCATCCTCGTCATCGTCAGACACAGCCTATATATATCATTACCTGTCAGCAGCCAAGAGACTGAGGACGTCTGACACGCACCGCTTTCTTTCCACGACCCTTCGCAGGTGCTTTCTTAGCAGGTGCCGCCTTCTTTGCCGGTGCCCTAGTCTTTTTCTTTGGCTGTTCAACCTCGGACGGCTGCTCGAAGTCAGAGCCGCCCGCATCGACATCCATCAGCATGGAGTCAACTGAAGCGTCTGAGTCGTCCGCGGCTCTGCCTTTGCCCTGTGGCGAGATCAGTCGGGTATATAGCTTTCATTATCATGACGGTTTACCTTTGACTTGGCAGGTTGTTCTTCACCACGTCGCTCCAAGTACTCCTGGTTCTGCTTCTCCCGCACCTTGTCGACCTGAGAATGGAACACGACTGAGTGCGCAGATGCTCGCGACGACAGTGCCCGCCACGTACGATTTCATCGAGGCCATCGTCAGAGAGGTCCTCCTTCCCGTTTGCCTGCACGCCTTTCATCAATGACTTCAACGCAGTCTGCACGTGTCTGCAGCGACATCAGACCCTGACACGCGTACTGAAGCACCGACTCCACTCACGTCTGAATAGCGTGTATATCGTCCTTGTCCACGAATGTCTCGATCGCATCCGACATCCCCACCTCGCCGAGCAGCTGGAGCTCCTGCGCCGCCAGGTACTCCCGCACGAGCGTCTGCACGCGCACTTCGAGAGCTTCTCCGAATGCTCAGGTCGGGGTCGTCGATGCTGAGCTCGGGCTGGTCCGCAGTGACCTTGGGTCCGCGACGCGCGGCCGCCTTAGCACGGTGGAAGACGAGCACGTCCCGCGGGTTCGCGAGTTGCCCCTGGAACTCCTGTCCGAAGCGTACGGGGTTCGAGAGCTCGGAAACACCTGTGGTATCGACCTATGACGTGCGGCTGAGACTAGATGATGGGATGTTAGGGAAGGAGGGGGGTACCTTTAGTCGGACGATAGGGAGCATCCGAGGGAGTTCGTCCTCCCCTTCGGCGACGGCGCGCTCGTTCCGCTCGTCCCATAGCGAGTTGGCCTTCTCGATGAGTTCAGTGACCTAGACAGTGATCAGCAATGCACCATCCAGTCAGTATGCACCGACGCACTCGTCGTTTGAGGTATTTAGTAATCGCCATGCGGTCCGCGAGGTCGATATCCTCCTCCTCCGCGATCTCGCTGAGGACAACTTCGTCTAGGACGAACGGACGCACGGTCCGCAGTGGTATAGGCGTGAGCTCGAACTCCTTGCCTTGAATCTTGAGCAGCGCAACGTGCCTAGCAGGCATACAGTCAGCGGTGATTACAGCAATGGAGACAGTGCGACGCACTTCTCTATCGACTCCCCGTCCGCGAGCGAGGTGGCAACAGACGATCCGGGCTGTGATACGTAGTACTTCTTACCGGCCACAGACTCGGGTACGATACGGCAGTCGTGTTCGTGACCCCAGACGACCAGGTCAACGGTGTCATCAAACATACCCTCTGGTACTGATTGTTGTGGCCCGTGGGCAACCCTGCATCCCGATCAGTCACTTAGCCCCGTGCTCCAACATGCGCCCACGCACCGGTTCTGGTGCAGGATCAAGATATTGAACCAGTCGTCCTTGTCCTTCGGCATGAACATCCGCACGCGGTTACTCCGGAGCTCATAGTGCATCCGCTGGTCCTTGATGTTTCCGACGCCGTACATGCCGAGGCGCGTGTTACCCTTTCGCAGGAGGACAGGTTTGATCGCGATGCCGCTCTGCTGCGCCTCGGCCGCGTTGAGCGGAAGGTCGACCTTGCCCATGTAGTTGATGAGACCGCTGATGGAAAGCATGTCAAGTGCGGCCAGGGCGCCTTGCTGTATGCGCTTTGAATGTGCTGTGCGATGAAGCGAGCGCAGAAGACCTACCGGGCCAGCACCTTGTGGGTCGTCGTGGTTCCCATGGATGGAGAAGACTGGGATCGCAATATTGAGGTTTGGGTCTTCGTAGTTAACGGCCGGGAATCTTTCTCCGGGAATCAGCGTCACGTCGGGGCTGAAAAAACAGTGTCATACGAGAAACCAGGTGCTCTGCCTTCGTCCGGGTCGCTCAACAGCTCGACTTGAATTGGCCTGTCCCCGAGCGTGTACTCGCGCAAAAGGGCCATCACTTGATATAGACAATCGCGGGATGGTCGATTGTCGTGAAACAGATCTCCGCCAAGTAATATGAAGTCGACCTGAGTGAGGACACATTGGGTCAAGAAATGCCATAGCCACAGCGACGAGCAGTCCACAGTGCGGAATAGGTGAGCACACGCATATGTATGTCCGACGGACAATCTAACAGTCGATGCGCATCGACGCACATTCGCTCATAACTATTTGCATGACGTTAGACACCCCTCGTTTGTTATAAATATGGCCGGGGCTCCAATCGCCCCCAGGTTTGCGATGTCGCGCCGCCAATGACTGCGACGGAGGCTGGCGCTTTCTCTCAAACGAAGCGTCTTTTGGGGAGTCCGTCTGCATGTACAACACGCCGGGGGTATCTATCATTATGCAAATAGCTGCCTTACGCAACACATTTATAAAGACAGACTTACATCGTTTTTGACGGCTAGTTGTAGGATCTCTCGAACGTATTGATGGAGTCTTGTCCTCGAACGGGGTCCCTCTCTAGGTATCCTATGTGGTTGTCGGTCGCTAGCAAAATTTTGATCGTGTCATCCGCATCTACGCCACAGCGGGGACTTTTAACTCAATCTGAATCGACGAGCGAGATAGAGTGACACACAGGCATTCTAATGGTCGGTGGTGGTGGTGCGGATCCACGTTCGTCGTCAGATGCCATTAACAACTTGTGGACCTGCGATTGTTGGCGGCTTCAGGAGTATCGAGCTTGGCGTCTACACTGCAGACTGAGCTTGCAAAGCAGTAGGTTTTGATAGTATGAGTAGTCTTTGCAAAAGATATAACGCGTCGATGATTTGATGGAGCGAGTAGTTGAGCGAAGTAACGTCCTCAGCGCCAGCAGTCGGTTAGCGCAATGGGAAACACGACGCGACGCGTCGCGTCGCGTCTCTGCGCAGCCACCGAGTCGGCGTATTCCGTTAATCACGTGATAAATACGTGATGGCGGGAATTAACCGCTTCAGTCACCAAATCAAGTAATTCCCGCTATCCCCGCACGTGTCCTGTGTGCTTTTGGCGGTGCCTGCCAGCTTTAGCTCCTACCAACACGTCCTCCTCCCTATCATCCCGCGAGCTGCCCATTTCCTTGTCGTCGCGAGCGCTCTTCGCGTGGTCTCGGTGGTTTGCAAACGGTCGCACGCTGGTCACTCTACGAGGAAGCCGCAGCCGTCACGGCGCTCTCACGACTCGAGCTGTCTCCCCCACATTAGATTCTCTACAGCCTTATAGAACCTATACAACGTCACTGCTTGGACTGGTCTCATGTCTTCCGCTCGCCATGGACACGACAACGCACCACCGAGCAGGGCCCTCGTCGTAAGTCGTAGCGTGCTTAGCGTCCGGGATCATGTATGAGATGTCCAATAGGCCGGTACGGTGACTTTTTACCTCGTCGCAGCACTGTCGGTACGTCGAGAACTTATCTGGTGGCGTTGCAAGTACTGACAGAGGCGACTAGATGGTTATGGCGTATGTGGTCACCGTGTAATCTTTGCGACACAGCTGACAGAGTTCTCTAGCAACAAGTGGGTCCTCAACACCACGGATGTTCCGCTATTCTTCCTGGACATGCAGCTCATCATTGCTGTTGTGCTCTTCCTCTTCGCGCACATGTTCGGGATGATCCAACTGCCATTACGTTGGGACTGGCAGATCATCAAGGGCCTCATACCGACAGTGTCGCTCAGTTTAATTGGATTGAGGTGCGCACACGACGTCAAGTTACAACTAACTAATCGCTCAGTCCTCTCCAGTCTCAGCAACTACACCCTGAAGTACGTCGACGCGTCCTTCTACCAGGTCGCGCGTGGCATGGTGCTCCCTTTCACCGTCGGCACGTCCTTCTTCCTCCTGCACGCCCGACCCTCCCTGCGCATTTTGATGGCCTGCTCCATCGTCACCTCGGCTTCTTCGTTGGTGTCTTCATGGACGGCACCCACGTCTCCGCGATCGGCATCACGTTTGGTGTGGTCAGCTCTATGATTACCGCGCTGCACTCTGTCGTGATCAAGAAGTCCCTTGACGTCGTACACGGGAGCGCGCTCCACCTCTCGTGGTACACGAACTTGCTGAGCGTGATTGCGCTGACTCCGGTCGTCGTGCTCGGCGGCGAGCTCCCCGGCGTGATGAAGCTGTTATTCGGTCCGGAGTCCACGCCGGGCCAGCTTTACACATTCATGCTGGGCTCTCTGATTACGGTAAGCCATGTCCTGCTCTCCTATGTCGAACGTGGCCAACTCATCCTCTCAGGGCCTCTTCGGCTTCTCATGAGCATCGCCAGTCTGCTCTCCATCAAGGTCACCTCTCCTATCACTCACATGGTCTCGTCCGCGGTGCGCGGCGTCGCTGCCTCCCTTCTCGGCATGTGGCTCTTCCACGATATCATCACAACGTGAGCGTCCGTTTCTCCACTCCCTCGTCAGTCGCTCACGTCGCATTTCCAGTGGCCGCGCATCATCCATCGCGATCATTCTCCTCGGCTCGCTCTACTACACCTGGGTCAAGCACAGCGAGTCGCAACTAGCGCAGCAGAAGCCGTCGAATGGTGTGTACGACCGCGTGCCCCTCGAGGACATCGAGGCGGGAAAGCAGGGCAAGCCCGAGTAGGTGCCCGCTCCCGCGCCCTGGCGGCGAAAAGTAGTGCGTCAATGACGATCATATTGTTATGTGCTCTCGACGTGTTATGCGCGCTCGTTCCGGCTTAGTTATATAGACGGTGTCTGTAATGAACTTCTGGGGGCGGACGGCGTTGTGGTGTGCGTGTTCAGTGAGTTCTCTGACAGGGCGGAGTCATGGCGGATGTGGGCTGGCTCTGTGGGTTGTCGGCGTCGCGGCTGTGTTCATGGGTGCATGCGAAGTCGCTCCTCTGCCACTGAGTGCGGGTCCTGCGCAGAGGGTCGGACGCGTTGTCGATGCGATCGATACTCGCGTCCGGCCGCGCGATGGCACAGTAGTATCGCAGGCACGAACGCTCTGAAGGCTGTCCGGATTCCATATCACCTACTACTTCGACTTACTCTCGAGGACCTCGAGGACTAACGGTGAGCACCTTGTTAGCCAAACACCGTTGTGCCATACGACTGCCAGACATTGTTCGGTACACTTGTGACATTCTCGCGACTGCATGTCTCAACGCCCATAGTGAACGAGGTTGGACGTGCAGTTCACGCAGAATATTCGCCACGGATATGTCGATGCGTGGTTCTAGACAAGCAAATACGCAGGAGTGACTTAGAGCGCGCCACCGTGACCGTGGTACTCATACGAGGGCAGTAGAGCTCAACGCGCACTCGGGAAGGAGCTATGTATCACGAATGTAGAGGATCGCCGGTGTGACTGACTCCAGTGGGCGTGGAGGATACAGTGGTCTTATATTGACGGGCACGATACATGTACAGAGACGAAGTGCAGGTTACTGGACCGGGGAAGTTCTCGACATCTGACCTCACCTAAGACGGACGAGATCACCTGCGAGCAGTTTGACGACGAGGCCGCTGCTGACTATACGGGTCCTTAAACGCTTCGAATGTCCAAGCTCATCTTCGTGGCTATCCGATTCCTCGTGCGACCGTTTCCGTCTCGTACGATGGTCACCATTTGCCGGACCCTCGCCGTGATCAGTATTTGAGAGACTATCGGGAGCTGCCTGAGCCAGGCTCCGGACGGAAGGCAGTGGTAGTGATCCAGCAGAAAATGTCCGAGGATGGGGCTGCACTCGTCCCGGAGCGTCGTCTGAAGAGGGACTGGGGGACTTCGAAGTGGATCTCGCTCGTGCCGACGCAGTAGGTAGATCTCGTAACTCCGGAACCGGTCCTCGTATAGCCATGGGCGCTGGACCAGATCCTCGTGCCAGAGGACGTTTGACGGTTGGAGCATTCGGCATTCGCAGCAGTCCAACTATATTGTCGCCGGCCCAAGTTTTCAAGTGCTGAGCGCGAGGTCTTGACGCGAGTGGAGGTTGGGCACCTGAGAATGCACCGCGCTCGATCCCGGGAACGACATCTTCGTTCGTAGGCTGCTGTCGCTCGATCTGTGGAATGTCTTCGGCGCTCAAAGTCCACTTCTCCTTTCGCATCGGCTGCCTACGGAGTATGGCAGTCATGATCTCCCGAGACATAGGCAAGTTGATCGGTCCCAAGTCACAGCGAGCCTGCGAGTTGACCTGGCTGCTCAGAATGGCGCCCTCAGGTCGCGCTAGATGAGGTCGATTGGGATCGGCAAGGGTGACAAACGGGATTGCCTTGTCACCAGATGGCCAGTCTTGCCGCGCAAGTGCCTCGTCGAACACCTCCAATACGCTGCCATATGTCAACGATTTGAAACCAGACGGATTATCCTCGTCGAACATGTTCAGCTTGCACAGCCTCTTGAACTTGGTGATGAGGTCCGTAAGCGGTTTGTTATCTTTCACGCTCATTGGAGGCGACAGAAGCCAGCCCCTCTTCTTATCCGCCAAGGCTCCATAGGTAGGTTGGTCGAACAACGAACGCAGCGCATCGAGTCCGTCGCGATGCGCATAGGCGGTGTGCCTCAGCACGAGCCAAATCAGGAGCCAAAAGAACGACTCCAGGTCGTGACGGACATCGTGGATGACATCACCTTCGAGAACCTCCATGGCCATGAAATACAACGTACCCTGTTGGAGATCGATGTCAGTCTGAGGACTCTTTCGCCCTCGTGACATATGAAGACTCACAGTACGCTCTTTACATTCCATTCTCTTTGCCTCTTCCGAGATTCCAGCGGCGCCTCGACCTCCACTTGTTGCCTCATAGGGCTCGAGCGACGCAACGTGATGTCCCCGCATATATGGCTCTGACAACGTGATCCGCTCTTCTGGTGGCCGCTCAAGCCAATTCACCAATGCGGCGCAGTTCCGTACGTTCGCTGATGGTTCCCACGAGCTGTTTTTTCCGTCGTATCCTTCCCACTTCACGTAGTACCATTGCTGCCCTCCACAACCTTCTCGGCAAGTATAACGTCGACACGATACTCCCTCTGGGCATTCCTGCTGACAATTGGCGCAGGCACACGACGACGACTACCTTGGTTGTTGTTGCAAGAGGGTAACGCGCACTCTGGATGGGCTGCGCTAGCAGGCTTTAGGTCGCCACCGCCGCTTCCCGGGATCCCCTCCGCTTTCTTAACGTATTGCTCCCAGCTCTCGACCGTATGTTCGTAGCCTTGATCGAACAGATGTGCCATCCAATTGAAGGCATGGTCGAGATCGTGGAGGAAGCCTCGCCCATTGCGATCAAGATGTTGCCCTCGCTGATGTCGCGGTGTAGGATTCCAGCCTCGAATGCTGTTTTGTGCCCTAAAAGCGACACAATATCAGCTAGGTGTTGCGTAGTGTAATTTCAAACATGATACATACCATAAATTGCGTCACGTAGTGCTTGCACCATCTCCCTCGTTCTCTGGAAGCCCGATAGCGGCGTACCAACCGATTTTGAGACGATTCTCGTGTGGCTTCGCTCGAATAATTGGTGAGATCCTTTCACTTGCTGTTCACCGGAGCACGTCTGCTGACCGACTCGCTCCTCGGCAGCCAGTTGGAGGTCCTCTGTGCCAAGGTCATTGCCGACAATAATTTCCGCCAGCACATGCCACGCTCCGCCCCAAGCCTTCATGACCACCTCCTCAAGAATGTCGTCGGATGCGTCCATCATGAGGTCGGACTGCATAAGCCGCGACGCCATGTGTCCATAAATCTGTCTGTAGTATTCTAGCTCAGGCTTGCGCGCCAGCTGCCGCCAGGAATCCTTGATGATGACCTGCACTCCACATGGCCGACCCTCCGCATCAGTCTCCACGTTCGTCGGCCAGCCCTTCTTGTCGACCTCCAACGCCTTCCATACTGTCGTGGCGCGGGAGAAGAGACGCGTATTCGCAAAGACCACTTCGTAGAGGAGATACCTCTTGTCCTCTTGCCCCTTCGATCCCTTGACGGTGATCCAACGACATGCCTTTAACGTCTCGTTGTCATGGGTGACGCCCCCTGCACGCAACTGCTCCTCTCCTCGGTGCGATCCAGCGTCGTGACAAGGCGAACAGTTGGATCGGCTCCGACGACGTCGCATCCTTTAGGGATTGGATTGACGAATCGCCACAGAAACTCGTGGAGAACGCCCCATGTGCAGCCGCGTAATCGAATGCTTCTGAGCAAACGGCTCCGGCGTGGTCGAACCGATAGATGCGCGCCTTAGTGCCATAGATGCCGATGGCAAAGACGAACAGCCTACTCTGTGCGAACAGGACATTGCGTGCACTCTTGGACAGTTGTACCAGTGATTCGTTGTTCGCCTTCGAGTGGTATCGCATGGGATCAACTCTCTCTGTGCTCTTCGCCTCGAGAACAAGAGATATGTTTCGCCAGCGATCAGGGAATTTCCCCGAGAATGTCTGGCCAGGGAGGGAGCGATAACGTCGGGCCTGGTGGAGTGGAGTTCCCGTTCGTATTCGCCGTACGGAGACTTGTTATGTGGTGCGCGTTGTTATGGAAGCAAAGGCGTCGTTCAGGCGCAAAGTCTGTGACCAGGCTCTTGAGGCCAGTACTCTGGACAAGCATCGGAAGACTGTCTAGACCCGCACTCCCCGACGACTTACCAGAGGCTCATACATGCGTGGTTCCGGCACACCCACAGGAACGTCAAAAGGATGTCGAGTTTTAGGAGAGGTCAGCTCAATGCGGCTGGGCACATATCGACGCAGGAACTCGTCGACGGGAACGGGCATAACCGCAATTATCCCATCTACTTCGTTCATCCACATGACCATGTTCCTCTCGCTGGTCTGCTTGATATCCATAACAGTGAACTGGGGCGATGATGCCGCAGTTTGTGGGGAGGCCAGCGAAACTTGCAGGAAGGATTACAGCCGGAACCGCACGAGGGCCGTGCAAGCGCAACATCCGCGGTCCTTTAAATTGATGGGGCACGTCTGAGATCCAAGCTTAGGCCAATGATTAAAGTTGTGTTAAAAAGGCAACTACCTCAAAATCGGTCTGATGTATGACGGTCGTTATCACGGAAAATTACTTACTGATAAGTCGTACAGGAAATCGTACTTTTCGTCTGTAGTCGGCGCTTAACTTCGTACACTTCGTACTTAGATGTGCCGACTGTCGTACGCATTGCCCTAGCTGAGGTAGAGTATAATTCTGCACTGCTCGGTCATAATCTGATATTCGACTCCCTACAGTGAATATGTAAACTTGTCCTTTAGAGATATACATTGGTACTTCAAACATGGAGCTTTGGTCAGCCTATTCGTATGTGCGACCACATTTCCAGTGTTCGCCAATAGTGAATCCCTACTCGTGAATCTCGGTCTGTACGGATTCCCTGGACTACGCGAGGTGGGTCGCTTCTTTGGTTGGAGCTTCAGTCGACCTACTCCGAGTCGTGGCTGATTGTATTTCCGACCTTTGCCAGGAGTCGCAAATCTTTCTCCTCGGTAATCTCAGTCTTTGCGTGTTTCAGGGACTGCACGATGCTGAAGTTTCTGTTCTCCTTAGAATCCTCGCATCGATTCCAGTGATCGAAGCCGAAGACCACTGTAGGCGAGGTCGGTACGAGGTGTGTGCTTATTTGTTCGTGATGCCTCGTGGGCTTACCTGCTGCCCCTATTACTAGAGGTCGCTGTCGTCGTCAGCCAACGAGTCGACTTAGGCTGCCTGCCTTCCCCTGCAACACTCGGATCGTCACACCTGGCCTAGTGTCCCCTCAGTCGTCGAGTTCCTCTCCATCTTACTCCCCTCTGAGCTCGTCCGAGTTGACAGCTTGTCGCCTCTCAAACAACCCTATCGGTGAGCTCTGCCCTCTCACGATGGATTAGCTGTCGAGTTCCTGACACCGAAGTGCCTCCAGTCGCCCACTGTTAATACTTGCCAAACCTCGTGAGTGCCTCGAACTTGTGTATCGTTTCCATACATGCCCCTGACCTCGGACTCTCTCAAGATTCATTGCTCGCAATATTCACTGTTGCATACTATTCTCTCCATAATATCGGTGAGTGCCTTGCCAATCGTTCTGGATGCTTTGCTCATATCCTTAAAGGTCGTCTGGCCTCTTCATCGACTTGTGGGTTTTTCTCATTCTTTGCTACCATCCGAGCTGACCCATCGCTTTACTAGAGTTCACTGTATACTTCAAGCTCCGAGTCTGGTTCTTCGTCGCTGCCCTGCAGCTATAGTTCATTTACGACACTTCAGATTCACAGTGAGTATCCATGCTCTCCCAATAGTCCTTCCTGTTGACGATACCTCTTAGCCTGCCATGGATAATCGCCCCCTTTCGCAATCCTCGCTCGACCCAGGCCTACTAGCTGGTTTCACGCCTGCCCAGCTTGCACAGCTTCGCCGGGCTCTCGACTCGACTCCGACAGCATCGTCGCCAGGCCCTCAGGGTCCCACCATGTCGTCGTCAGCTCCAAACACTGGACAGCCTGATGCATCGCCTGCTGCTGCGAGTGCTGCACCTCCGATCGCGCCATATCACAGCCATCGGAGCCACCTGTCGTCGTCGTCGCTGGCCCCACCTGAACCTCCGCAACTCGCATTTTCGGCTGCCCCTGCCCCCCTGTTTCCTACTTATGGGTCTCAGCCAGCACCTTCGCTCGGCTTCCCAGGTGTTATGCAGGCTGCGATGCCACTTGCTGCCCCCTCGCCGACCCAGCCATTCGTCGGGTTCAATGCGACACAAGCACCAGGCACCTCGCAGCGAGTCAACATCGAGAGGCGAACATCAGCTGCTCGTAATGCAGCTGGTCCAAGTCGGCAGCCTCGTGGGGCGAGCTCGGCTCCCCGAGCGACCCGATCGCGACGCAGCCAGGCTCCGGTCGTCCCCCGGGGCATACACAAGGAGATAGGCCCATGCCTGACTGAAGCTGGTCAATTGCGGCTCGTCGCTCATGTATACCCTCCTTCTGTAAGCCTTTCAGTTGATCAATCGTGGCTTACTTTGCTGAATCGCTTGCTGTAGCTCGCTCCAGATGCCGAATCGATGGGTTACAAGTTCCCCCTTTTCCAGTTTCGCTACTCCACCATGCGAGACTACCTCAACTCCTTCGGCCTTGCGCGCACGTATGAGCGCCCTTTCGAAACATCCATCGTCACTTTTGTTGAGGATATTATCGCCGATCTCAGGGCGTCACCGCTCGGCTACGATTTGCCCAGGTACTCAATTTCTCGCAGCATCGCCACGAACAGCTCGAGCTTCAGCTTCTGTCGCTGCATAACAAGGGTACTCCCACCCAAGATGGACAGGCATGGCTCCATCGCTACCCTGTTGCACCAGACATGACCATCGCCACCCTCGCGTCGACTATGTTTGTCTTGTACTTCTGTAAGCCTCGTCTCTGTATCCGGGATGGTGCACTTCATGTCTACTTCGGTATGTGTCCATTCGTCTTGCTCATTCGCTGCAGGCACATGTTTACTCCAACTTCATTAGTCATTGCCAATGCCCCAGTCTCGCTTCGCCTTCCCTCTGCCCTCCCCGAAGCCCGCCTCTTCCGCATACCTGCATTTCGGACGGATTCTATAATGGGCTGCCCGCGATGGGACGTCTGGATCGGGGCATGCTCACGATAGCGATGTGCTCTGTGATTCGACGTGCCTAGCCAGAGACTCGGAGTTACTAGTAGCGACACCGATGACGAGGTTGAAGAAGCCCTTGGCCTAGTTGGCCCTACTAGTCCTGGGTTGGAGTCCTCAGCCTCGACGATGGACCTGCTGGTCCAACTGCTCCTGCGGCAGTGTCCAATGCTCCGAGCCACCCCCGACGAGTATCGGCGCGGCCGCGCAGAGCTGGGCAGCACAAGTAAGTGTCGTGCCTGTTATTCAGTCATCGCTGCTTAACACCTATGCAGCTATCATCGATCCCTGCTCTGCAGCGAACGCGACTATACCATGTTTGTGCTGGACTTGATCCCTCCTCGACTGGGATGGTCGACTCCATATCGTCCGGCGTCTGGGTCCTACCACCCTGCTGTACGATGCGAGGCTCTCGCAGAGCTCAGGAATGCAGTTTTTGAGGCTGCATCTGATGGCCAGAGGCCTTCTTGTCGCCTCCGCATCGACGGTTCTGACGTGCCACATATGGCAGTCATCTTCAAGGACATGCTTGGCCAGGCTGCAGTCAACGGCGACTTCACCCACATCCTTGCCATGAATCGATCGTTCCGCGCGTAAGTCTCTAGTTCCCCATGTGTTCCTCCTCGTGGTAATGCTCGTCGTTCTCAGCATCCGCACCACGAAGTTGGCGACCTGCCTCTTGTTGCGTCGTTCGGCGATGGGCTTGAACGGCAGACAATGATGGTACTGCTCGCAGAATTCTCTCGCTGCTTACCATCGTACTTCATGACGAGGCTTGGCGAGAACTCCAACGTCCTTGCTTGCCCTCCGCGAGCCTTGAGTCCTGCGCAGAAGGAAGAGCTTGGGGCCCTCGGTGCCATCGTCGGCCTCTGCTTGGTGAATGGTATGGCAATCCCGAAGATCGCAGGGGAATGGTTGATCTATCTTCTCAATGGCTGCAACTTTGAGGCGATCACGCGCGAGGTCACACAGGCCTTCCATCCTCGTCTCGCAGCGGAGATCATCCAGCTTGACAGCATTGGGCCGACTGGCGATCTCACACCTTTCGAAGAAGACTTTGTCATTTACCTTGGGAAGCATGTAAGTCGCCGCACATGATCTGCTTTGTAGATGACGAGACGAGATTTTGCAGACTGCATTGTACACGATTCGTGACGAAGAAACACATGCTGCTTTTGCCCCAATGCTCCTGTACAAGGCTCTGCTAGGCGACGACACTGTTGCAGAGCATACCGATACTCGTGCTTTCCGCGCAGGCTTCGAGTTGCCGTGTCACAACGGGTTCACATTGTCGAAGGTTCGTTAATGCAGCACTATCAGCCGAGGGACTACCTTTCTTACAGTCTTCTTCAGGCTGCTCAAGCATTCGCCGGTGGACCAGCTGCACTCGTGATGGCAGCCTGTTCGACACGAATTGGCAGCTACGAAAGCCTCAAGCCTTACCTCGATATTATCGTCAAGCACACCGTCCCTCTTCCCCTGAAGACGATAGCCTTCGACGATGGGCGCGCCAGTCTAGGGGATGTGGTCAGGGGCTTCCTCCAGCGCACAGGCATTCCCTGCGCTGCGTCGTTCGAGAGGAAGCGAGCTGCCGGGACGTTCACCTCTGACCTCGTTTCACTTGAAGAGATCGACTCTCCGAGCTTCCGCCCTCGCATGCTCGCCATCGCTGCCACTGGCTCCGACTCGATTGTGGGTAGCGAGAAAATCAAGGTTCGTACTCGCAGCAGGTCTGCATCGTTAGTATGCATATGGATCCTGAGTCGGTTTTCCAGATCACTTTCGTCGGCAATAGTGACGAGGCGTATGCCTGCCCTGTCGCAAGCCGCGCATTCTGCGAAAAGGAAGGCATCGTCAGCTGGCAGACATGCTTCAAGGAAGGTGTCGTTCCGACTGCCTACCTCGCACAGCTCGTCCACGAGGTATACGATCCGAATTCGGTGGACAAGCCGACGTCCCTCCTCAATGCAATCGACAGCTGGCTTCTTGAGGAATTGCTTTCTGCGATCGCCAGTCCCCATGGTGGTATCCTTTGATGTTCTCATTCAGTTTGCAGGTGGAGGCGACTCGGGCCTGCTTTACGATCGTAGCGACGCCCGAGTCCTCCCTGCCTTTTCCGCGTGGTCTTCGCGCTATTCTACCTTGCTTACCATTTGCACTTCATTCACTCATATAATACTCGTCGTATGTTCTATCTCCTCGCCGCTCGCTCGCAGTATGCACTCGTAGTCGTACAGATTCACCCCTGGCAGTTTTCGGGCTGCGCTGTACCGGTATGGCTTAGGAACAGAACATCTATGAAATTTATGTTGGCTCTGAACTATCGTGCTGATTCTTGCTCTACAGTTCGCGTCCACCACCGTTCCACCAGTCCTCGTTGCCGGCGCCGCCGTCGCCAATGGAGGGGGCGCGAAGTCGAACTTCGGCGCGGCACTCAAGGTGGCGAAGCGCATGAAGAGGCGGGTGGTAGCGGTGCAACCTCGGGGTGCGCAGAGTTGCGCGTGCACCAGAAAGGCTCGAAATCGAGCAACCCGGTCCCGGCGCGAGCGCGCGGCCCGGTTCTCAATAAGCTGCTGGGCGCCGGGGGCGGGTGCCGCAGGCGCGGCAATGGGGATACCGGCGAGTAAGGGCACCAGGAAGTTGGCCAAGCCGCCGCGGGGGCAGCAGGCACGAGGAAGATCTCGGCGCTGGCGAAGCCGCCGGTAGCGGGCGGGCAGAAAGTCCCGAGTTGCGGGATTCTTTCGCAGGTGAGCGGGGCCGGCGCGGGGCGGCTGGAGAGCGCATTGGGTCCAGCGGAAAAGGCGGCGGGCACTGCCTCCCAGGACCTGGAGGGTGGGCGCCTGCGCACGCGCAGCCAATGCTTAGCCAAGCCGGCGCAGGCAGCGCGCGGCGCGCAGGCGGCGGCGGCCACCAACCTGGGTGCTCTGCGGCAATGGCCAGCGGGCGGGCACAAGCTGGTCGATTGGCGCTCGGGCGGGCGCGGCCAGGCTGCAGCCGGCGCGAACTGAAGGCGCGCGCCCGAACTCGCTCCGCCGGCGGCTGCGGAGAGGGGACCAGAGACTGCAACCGAATCCTCCTTTGGCGACCCTGCAGATGCGACCACCCGGGCCTTACCCCAACGCGAACATCGATGCAGGATCGCCGCCAGAAGAGCTGCGGCTGAGCATTGGCCAGTACCTCAAGATCCGCAAGCGCGCGGCCGCGGCGGTTGAACTCGGGGCGCGCGCCGCTGCCACCTGAACGCGGCCTCCAGAAGGCATCCTTCATGCGCGCGCAGCGGCCCCCGGCAACCTCGTGAGTGTGGGCGCAGCGTGGCTCTGCCCACGCACCGCGCGGGACTAGGTGCGGGTTGCGGGGCACCCGGGGACTGGCCGAGGGAAGCCTGCGCTATTGCAGCGCTGCGGGGCCCGGGAAGCCCCTGGAGGATGGTGGCTTCATCGTGAACCTGATCCAGTCGAGGCGGACGAACAGGATGATGCCCTGCAGGCGCGCAGGTAAGACAATGTAGAGGGCCACGACAAGATAATCGAAGGCGTACCCAGACCCAGGCAACACCCACCCAAGTGGGATTCCGCGGGTGGTAGCGAACCTCAGATTGGCGTACACAGCGATGATCGTCGACACGAGCTGTACGACGCAGCACGCCGTGAACAGGGCGCGGATGAACCCATGCCAGCGCGCCACGAAGTTGAGAGCCTGCGAGATGACGGTGACGTGGAAGTAGACAATTGAGCGAAGGACATGGCCATTGTTGTTCGTCGCCTGCGTGGGCCCTTTCTCCAACGTTACGCAGAATCTGTTGTAAAAGATTCGTCTTGATGCAGATAAAGAGCGACGAGGGCAGTCGTGGACAGTGAGGTGGATACCGAAGGCGACGGCATACGAGAAAGTCTCGGCCAAGTCCCAATTGTCCGGGCTGTTCGAGGGCAGGACACGGTCGGCAGAGGGTCATGATGTCGCTAAGCTAGAGTCTGCTAGACGCACTGATGAGGTCGTGCGCGACGCGCGCGGCGAGTCCGCGTGAAAGTTTGAACGTTTGAACGGCGAGCGGACCGTGCGTTTTTTTTTAGCATGCTTGACGACTCGGGCAGCCACCACGACCGCCGGAGTCAAGTCGGAACGCGCCGGCGGTCAGGCGAGCTCGAACTGACGCCCGACTAGCTGAACCATCAAGATCGCCCGAGTCTACCCTCTCCGATCTCCCTCTCCCGCTCTCCCGCTCGCGCTCCTGACCCAGCGGGTCCCTCCTTTCGAATCTGGGAACCTCCACTCGACATCCGTGGTTCTGGTGACAAGCAACCTAGCCACGTGAACCAGGTCTTGCGCAACGCGCGCGCAAGTCCAGCCTCGAGCGACAAGACTGTCCAGAACGCGATGAGCGCAGAGCGGGGATGATATGAGGAGGATAGAAAAGGATAGTAGGGGCACGGGCGCGGGGAGCAGGGAAAGCGAGCAGGAAGCTTGCTCGACAATCGACGGTACGCCTTCACCGGGCGTGCCCACCCAGTCACTGCCGCCCCTCTCTTCGCCGCCGAACATCGCGCATTGGGTACGCCGAGCCTATCGCTCCGACGTACGTGCTCCAGACGAACACCCGCAAGCCACAGACGAACACCTTATTCTTCCCTCCTCTGCCCGCCTCACTCTCACCATGTCGGACTCGCCGCAGCCATCACCCCCGGCTGCGCCCCGCCGCCGGCGCCACCCACAGCTCTTGCAGGTAGAGCAGCTCTGCAGCCAGTATCCGCATGCACACTGACCCACCGTGACTGCGCTCTCAGTGTACCAAAACGAGCCGACCAAATGCCCGCTCTCCAGGCTCTTCTTCCACTCCCTGACCGACGAGCTGGCCGCCAAGATGCAGCACATCCGGACGCGCATCCGCGAGGTCGTGCACCTGGGCAACTCCGCCGTGCCTGTCATGTCATTTCCGCCATCTCCACCATCTCCATCGCCTGCCCACGCGGGATCGGCGCGGCCGCCTCATGAGTTCCGCACAACGTCGGGCGAGACTGCCCACCTGGGCTCCACGGCGCACCTGCCGCCATCGCCACCGTGTTCTGCCCACTTTCTCCCCATCCTCTCCTTCGTTCTACTCGGCATCTACCCCTCTACCAGCGCAGCGCACGAGCCAGGAGTTTGCGCGAGTCTATATAGCACAGCAAGATGCTCGTTCCACCCGCAATCCTCACGCCCGGCGACCTCCAGTAAGCGCACTCTGACTCCAACCTCCAAGATCATCGCACTCATCGTACCCCTCTACTCGCCCGCCTACCCTCGCTTGTACGCATCTTCGGTCGCCTGCACGACTGAAGGACCCCGAGCGAGTCTGCCTAATACCCGAGGCCACTCCGCCAGTGGCTCAACCAGTCGCTCCTAAAGACGGGCAGCCCATCTGCGCTCATCTCACCACATCCAAAGGGTGCGCCTCTCATCCTCTATTCGATCGAGAGATGGGGGAGATTCACTCCGATGCAGTCCCCCCGCCGCCGACGGACATCGAGGCGTCCAAGCGCCTCTGCGTGGACGGCCGTGGACCGGCTTTGTGAAGCCGCATGACAAGGTGCGTCGTGCCCGTCTGTAGGCCTCCTGGTCTCTGACGAGGGCAGGTCATTGGCATTGGCTCTGGCATTGCCCTACGTGGTCGAACGTATAGTCGCGCAAGGAGCGGCTCGCAACAAGGACCGCGTGTTCATCCAGGCGAGCTTCCAGTCCAAGGAGCTCATCGTGAGCGCGCAGCTGTTGCCCGGCGGCATCGACCAGTACCCTGTCATTGACGTCACGATAGGCGGCGCGGATTCGTGCGTGGACAGTCCGTGCCCATGCAGGCGAGAGCTGATCGCGCCGCGCAGGGTCGACAAGACGTTGAACCGCATCAAGGGCGGCGGAGCGTGCCATCTGCGTGAAAAGGTGCTCGCGGCGGCTGCAGACAACTTCATCGTTGCGGCGGACTACCGCAAGGACACTGCCGTGCTTGGAAAGAACGTGCGTGTCTCCCTTCCCACTGCTGCCCAGCGCCCCATCGACCGGACTTGCAGTTCCAGCAAGGCGTCCCGATCGAGGTCGCACAGTTCACCTACGCGAAAGTGCTGCAGAACGTCCATCTCGTCGGGTCGCCGAACGCCACACTTCACATGACCAAGTCGAAGGCGGGCCCCGTCGACGGCCATGCGCGACCAAACGACCACGCTGCACACGGAGAAGGGCGAGACACTGAAGATCGAGGAGCAGGTTCCCCATCATGCCGCCTCAGTCGCAGGCACCCCCAGAGGCGCCACGAATCGGGAAGATCCGGACGCTAGAAGACATGCTTGCAGAGCAAGACATCATCAAGCGCGAAGTGAGCACGATGCGCGAGCTCATGGAAGAACGTCCGCGCGAGATGGAGATGCTTCGAAGCCTCAGCGTGTGGAATGGTGCCATGACCAATCGTGCGAAGAACACTGCATGTCCGCTGACGATGGCGCTCGAAGCACCAATATGCGACGACGTAGTGTGGAGGCGACGGAGGGATGAACTCAGCCGACCGGGGACGCCAGAGCCGACGGGTATGGGTATCGACGAGGACGAGGACGAGGAGCAAGAGCAGCGCAATCGTCAAAGGAAACATAGAGAGAGTTCGCATTTGCCGCCGCCATCCTCTCTCCCGACTCCCGCTTTCTCTTCCTCGATGCCTGTGTGGCACTTCCCCTTCTTTCCCACCCATGTTGCAGGTCTCTGGACGAGTACGCTACCGCTCTCGCTTATCTTCGCAGCCATAGCTGCATCGTCATTGGTGCAGGTGAGTTGCGTGGCTCGTGATAGCTGTTTCGCGCTTACGTCGTTGGCGTGGCAGTCCCGGTGGTTACGTCGTGGCTATCAACTTGAAGGCTGCACAACTCGGTCTGAAGGTGAGCGGCGGCGCGCTCGTTCTCGAGCTCAACTGCTGCTCAGGTGGCCGCGGACGTCAAGCTCGTCTCCGTTGGCCGTGTCCCTGACTGCCAGCCTCGGACTGGACAAGATCGGCGTGGAGGTTGACCCCCGTGGCTGCATCGCGATCGACGACCAGTATAACTCCGGTGTGAAGTGCATCCAGGACGTCACCTTGAGGCTGATGCTCGCGCACAAGGCCGAGGAGGAGGGCATATCGGCGGTGGAGAGCATCGTGGTGGAGTACATCAAGGCATACGCGCACCCAGGGGTGGCGGGGTGCAGTACAAGGTCGGCAAGTTCCCGTTCCAGGCGAACTCGCCCGAAGACGAACCTGGACACGGAGGGCTAAGAGGCGGAGACGGACCGCATCCTCGGCGCGCACATCGTGGGCCCGAACGCGGGCGAGATGATCGCGGGAGGCGATGCTCGCACTCGAGTGTGGCGCGAGCTCGGAGGGCGTCGCGAGGACGTGCCATCCGCACCCGACCCTCAGCGAGGCGTTCAAGGAGGTGGCGATGCCTGCGTCCTCGAAGCCGATCCACTTGGGACAAGTTAGAGGCGATGGTTTGGGTTGAGTGCCGTGTTTGTTGTGCTCTCTAATACATTGACTCTAATACATCGACAGCATGTTTGCTGTTAAACACGCGCTTGAGTGCATTTTGCGCCGCGCGCGCGTGAGAGGAGTGGGAGGTGCGAATGCGTGGTCTCGAGGCCGGGTTCGCCGAGTCTGCAGAGCCTGCCAGCAGAGGCGATCATGAAAGAAATGGACGAGTGCGCCGCGTTGGGCGTACGCGATTGCGTTCGAGGTCGACCGCCATAATTAGCTACTCGGGTCGCCGGGGTGAACGGTGGTCGCCAATAGTGTGCATGCGAGCATACAGTGCGCCGTTCACTTCCGCGTGCAACCACGTCCACCGAGTCGCCGCGGCGCGGCGCGGCGCACGCGAGGAGTGAGTGTTCCGCGCCACCCTCCCCGACCATATATCCCTGCACGCGAGGGACGAGCATGCCCGCCGGCCACGTCCATATCTGGACGTGACCATATCCGGCCATATTCAGCGCCTTCGACCCGTCCACCACCCGCATTCCCCGCTGTCCAGTCCACCGTCGTACAGGTCGCCCGTCACCCAAGCCGCCCGCATGACACAAGCCCCACGTAGACACACCAAAACGCTGTTAAAAAGGCGTCGCTCAGGCCTGCCACGGCTTAGTTGCGTCCGCAGCGGGCAGGCGTGGCTTGAGCAGGGTGTGGAAGCTTGGTTCGCTCACAGAACCTCTCGCACGAGTCCCTCGAAACCTCTCGGGCGAGTCCTTCGAGTTCAGCAATGGCGAGCACAAGCTACCGGGTGTCAAGTATGCCATCGGCGGTCTCGGCAACCAGGCAAAACCCCATCGCGAAGAGCGTCAATGGGCTCTTGGGGGCGAGGGTGATGACGACAAGAGCATGGAGGACACCTGCTCTTCCTCGACGCTTGCGTCGCACTTCCCCCTTCTTTCCCAACCATGTTGCAGGTCTCTAGACGAGTACCCTGCTCTCGCGTACCTTCGCACGACCGCTCACAAAACTACGTGCAATCTAGGGTAACTCGTGTACCTCGGAGCGTATCCGTGCTCCAGATCGGTCGCTGGAATCATTCGCGAGGCCTTGCAACACCGGCGGAGCACGCGGCAAAGAGAGTCGAGGAAGACAACAAGAAGATGGACGTCTATGACGAGGATACCCCGCCGCCGCCCGGCAAGGCCGGCCGGAAGCTCGACGCCATGAGCATACTGCGAGCCCGGAGACTTCATCCCCGGGAAGACGTCGCCGCGAGCCCCCGCCCTACCATGTACTGCGAGCAGCAGGCGGTGTTGGATGGGGCGGCAAGTGCATGTACTCTGTCCAGTCGCCACTCCGACCACCCACGCTCCCGCCGCCCTCCTCACGCCCTCCTCACGCGGAATCGCCGCGCGCTCGGTAACCTTACCGCCCCCACTGCCTACGAGTTCGAGGTCGAGCGACCGCGCGACGTCAAACCCATCGCGCAGAGCACGCCTGCGCACTTAGCCAAGCACCCAGAGGACGAACCGACGCTTGGGTGGATGGCCGCGAAGGGACGACTGGCGCAGACGGAGGAGAACTGGAACGACTCCCGTGAGTACCGAAGTCACTCGCCCTCAACCTCCCTCTCCTCTGCGCCGGCGTTCCGCATATCCTTCCTCACTCGACCCGCCTCCACGTCCGCCATCTGTTCACGTCCGTACTCTGCACGTCAACCTCGAGCTACGCGCCCCCGTCCTCGTCCGACTCGCATCTGCCCTTTCAGCACGCGCCGGACGCCGGACTCTCCGCTCGGCGCGCCTGCGACCTCGCAGTGTCTCACCCAGTCGGCGACCCACCAACATGATCGCGCCGGCGCGCCCAGTAGTCCGTCCATGTCTCCCCGAGTGCGCCGTGCTGGGCGCATGCGATTGCGTTCGATGTGGACGGGGGCGGCCACGATCAGCTACTGAGGTTCACGCAGGGACCCCAAGCTGAGTGAGCAACAACCGCACAGGTTGTACCGCTCGCCTGCCACTCCAGCCGCATCCCTGCAGAGCTCGGCAGCACAATTCAGCCGCAAGCATCCATTGTAACTCAGTTCGTCAGTTTACTCTTCTCTGCGGCTCGCTCGTTCTTGATACTATTGACAAGGCGCACCCCAGGCTCGCCGCACTCGATGCGTCCACACTGCGCCTGCGCTTCGCCTGGTCGCGACTTCCCCGGCCTCGCCTTAAACCAAATGAGTTCCACATCGGACTTCAACTTCCGCGATAAGCACTGACTCCCGACTCTCGGTGCGCCTGCGAGGTCATCTCCGTCATTTCGTCATCTCCATCGCCTGCCGACGTCGTCTGCGGTGGTCGCTGCTAGTCATTCATCTTCGTCGACGATCCGCGGACATGCTCATGAGATCACTCAGCAAGTGCCTCGCAAGCGGCAGCAGCAGCCCAGTGAGCAGGTACCGGCGGGCAGGAACTGGCACATCGAGCGCGATGCCGTGACTAATGCGAAGCGAAGCGGACGAGACGGGGTGTGTGTCGAGGCAGAGGCACGCCGCCGCGAGCGAAACTCCGCGTAAGCCTCTCCGTTCGGCGCTGCGATACTCGCTCTGACCGTCCCATACGGGCTGACTAGGCGAGGGCACAGATGGCGTGAACGTGGGTGTGCGGACGTGCCGTACATGGTGGCTGACCGGTGAGTGGCCAGGTGAGCAGTGAAGTCTGCATTTCCGGGGCAACGCGCCTGGCGGGCGCGTGCAGTCCAAACGGTCGAGTGCCGGACCGTTTGCTTTTCGGCATGCCAGTGTCGGAACGATGACGTGCGGGGACGGTTCAGCGGTACGCGACCTCTGTGCCGCGCTTGGTTTGGTCACTGACCTATGTGCAGTACGCGTCACCTCGCCCAACCGGGAGGATGTTCGCTGCGCTCGACCGGGGCCGAATACACATGTCGGACCGAGTCGGAGCGCATCAACCTTGCGCGGAGACACCGACTCACGCGCAGAAGACGCGCAGAGTTGAGGGTGAGCACGAAGAGAGCCAGGAAGTCGGCAAGGGACACGATGAGCGGCCACGCAAGACTGCTCGGTAGGGAACGCATACAATGTGCGAGACGAAGGCCGAGAACAGATCGAGGAGAGAACGGGAGTGAGTGTCGACGCTGACCAGTGCATGTGGAGGCGCCGCTAACGTCGGTGGGCAGACCGGGATCGCAGCGGGCGAATACCAGCCCGTGAGCATCCCGTTTCGTGCCCTCTGACCGGCGCAAATGGGCTGGAGATTCGACCGGGCGAAGGCAGACGCGGCGTGAGCTCGTGCCGCGCAGCGATCATCGAGGGAGGAACTGGTGATCGGCAGCAAGTGTGCCCGACGCGTTGCGGTCACGCGTGCAGCTTGGCCGGGGCAGGTCGCAACTTGGCATATTTTGCAGGAGATATTGTACAGGTTCATGGTTGGTACGGAGCACTGCACGCTGTGAGTTGGCGGTGCGTGTACTTGGCAGTAGTTGGCCGGGACACCCATGCTCGGCATCCGCTAACCAAGACTGCTAGCTTTTCTGCTCAGAACTAGATCGGAAACGGACGAACATACCCTATGAGATATGGCTGGACACCCGAGTGCGTCTCGTCGTTGACTGACGTGCGTGGATATACCGCTGATGTCGGTGACCAGACCGGGATGATACTGCGACGAACGTGTATCCGCGCATGAGTGCTGAGTCGACCGGGGGTAGGCGGATATGACGTGAGCTTCGGTAGTGCAGCGATCGTTGAGGGTGAATGACCAGTAAGTCATCCGGTAAGCGGCACGATCTGCGCGTCCAGGCCGCGCGCCCTGACGGGTGCGCGAGTGTTGCGCGCGCAGGCTGTTCAGGGCAGCCCAAGTCGGAACCAAGATCGACGTGGAGGTGGACCCCCGCGGCCGCATCGTGATCGACGACGAGTACACCACGTCCATCTCTGCCGTGAGGTGCATGGGCGACGTGACCTTCGGGCCCATGCTCGCGCACAAGGCCGAGAAGGAGAGCATCGCGGCGGCAGAGTGCATCAAGGCGGGGCACGGGCACATGAACTACCGCGTGATCCCGGGCGTCGTGTACGTGCACCCGGAGGCGGCGTGGGTAGGGAAGACGGAGCAGGAGCTGAAGAAGGCGGCGGTGCAGTACACCGTCGGTAGGTTCCCGTTCCAGGCGAACTCGCGCGCGAACGCGGGCGTGGGCGCGGGCGGGCGGGCGAGTTCCTCGTGGAGAAGGAGGACTGACTGCATCCTGGGGCTCGTGCTCGAGTGCGGCGTGTGCGCGGAGGACGTCGCGAGGACGCGCCACGCGTACCCGACCTCAGCGAGGTGTTCAGGGAGGCAGTGATGCCTGTGTCCTCGAAGCCGAACCACTTGAGGAGCACAGGGGTCAGTGGAATGTGGAGGGCGTGCTTGCTGCGAAGATCGAGAGTGCGAGGCAGGTAGTCCCTAGCTACTTACCCCATCCTTGTTGGCACGAGCATCTAGGGTTTTGCTGAAGCTGCAATAATGTCTACTCTGTGTAAATTGAGAATATTGCTAGCTATGAAGACGAGTGATGAGTTACGACTAAATGCAAATTGGGCAGGGATTGACACTGCAGTTGTAACCGTCATCGAGGCAGAGGGTGCATAGTTCATCGCCACAGCTGCTCTCGACGTCATCCTCCATACTCTCCACCCATTCCTTCTCCGCAGTCGCAAAATCCTCACCCTCAACATACTTCTGCCAGGTGGAGGCAAGGCGGGTACTCGTAACGAAGGCGATGCCAGCCTGCGCGAAAGGTGGAACATCTTCCTTCCGATCCGAGCTGTAATCGAGCAGACTCGTGCCATGGTCGTGCTCAGGCATCCACGCGATCATCGTGTTGGGAGCCTGGCATACCTTGATGCCATAGACTGCCTCGTAGAAACTCCCTCCTGTCATACCCTTGCGGCGAGAAGTCGTCCACGAGAACGCCCATTTCTGGGGCTGCTTCTCTCGATGAATGGCACTACAAGATATGCATCAGGACCGATCCAAGGAAATGCTGTAAGAGCACTTACCGCGCATAGTTACAACCAGCCACACCTGCAGGCGGTGCGAGTTCGGCATCATTGAACTCGACGTACTCGTCTCCGCACTCCACCATATAGATGCCTTTCGACTCCCGCGACTTCGAATTGGCGTCCATGCGACCCATCGAATTCTCGGAAAGGTACAACTCGAACGGAGCGAGGACCTCCTCAGGAAGGTGTGACTGGATCAGGTTCCAGAAGAGAGCAAATACTGATGATACACGGAAGTCGTGCTCCCGTATGAATTCTGCGGTGTGTTTGGAGGAGCGGAGGTTCCGAGCCCAGTCGTACAGAGGGTGGCTGCGAGAACCAGCAGTGTAGCCGAGAAGCACAAGCTTCCCCGGGTCCTCGAGCTGGTGCACAAGTGTCAATAACGAGCACAAATGAGACTCAAATATTGCCTGCTCACCCTGACTGATCTTCTCATATCAGCCGACTGCTCTGTCTCGCCATTTGCGTATGCCAGAACCTTCTTGTCCTTACAGAAGTCCCGGATTATGATCATGACGACCTTGCCTGTTTTCCTGTCCCGAAAAACTACACTCTCCTCCTCGTGCACAATGTGTGCGAGCTTCGAGGGGTCCTCCACGGCAATAGGGTGCCGCGTGTGGCGCCTGTCCGCCTGCTTGCCCTCCTCGATTCGAGGTCTCCACTGCTCGGCTGTCTCGGGCGACTCAGCAACCCACCAATGGTAGTCGGGGTATGGCTTGGTGAGAGGGTCAACAAAAACCTCCGTCGTGTTCTTGTCGAGCCAGGCTGCCTTGCCGGCCTCATCTAGCCTCCGCAGGCGCAGGCGCGCAGCGAGTTCCCTGCACATCTCCTCCCGCACTTGGGTGTTCTGCATACGCAGGACAAGGGCCTTCTCGAGTTGATCCGGAAGTTGCCGGGCCCGGGTATGAGCACACCATCCCAAGAAACCAGCAAAGAGGTCGCCTGCGGGGGAAGGAATGCCAAGGGAGGCGAGTCGAAGGTGTAGTAAATCTGTGAGTTGTAGGCGGGGATAGGGATTGCTCGAACGAGCAAGTAACTCGAGAGCAGCCGCATCGCCACTGATGTCTTCGATGAGAGCGGAGTATGCTGCTTTCCGAGCCTCTTTCTTTTCTTTCCGCGAAGGCATCGTGAGCCCTGAATGCAGATGAATGAGCTCTGCGCGAGTGGAGTCAGTGGACGCGCCGCGCGGCCTGCATCGTCACATGACCGATTTGGCGGTGCCACGCTCGCCGCTGGGCGGCTCCTCGTTTTCCTCCGGCGTAGTCGCAAACAACCACGCATACCAAGCTGCAGATCTTTTGGCGGCGGTCATGCGTCGATGTTCGCGTTGGGGTAAGGCCCGGGTGGTCGCATCCGCATGATCGTCAAAGGAAGGCTCGGCTTCGCAAGATTTTGGTTGCTCTTGCCCAACTCGCAGCAAAGCCGCGGGAGCTGCAGGTTCAAATGGTCAAAGGCTGAGGTATGTTCTTGCTCGGGGAAATTGTGATGCGCGATGCTAACGAATGAGCATCCTCGCAGCCTGCTTCCACTTTCAGCAATCGTTGGGTCCTCCGCATGCAGAGCCCGCCTGCCTCGCAGCCGCCTCGGCGACCCCGCTCTCAAATAGCGTCAAGCAGCCTACTCGCTAATCGGCCACTTGCTAGCCCGCCTCATTCAGCCCTGGAGAGCCGGGGAAGAAGCTCGAGGGCACCGCGAACGCGCAGCTGCAGGTTACCCGCTGCAGCGGCCGGAACGCGCTCGCCACCGCGGGCCCGCGCAGCCTCGCCGCCCCTGCACGCTGGCGCGCCCGCTTTTCGCGGCGCCTGGATGCGCTAGTCTTTGGTGGGCAGGGTGCAGGGGCACCGCTGAGTTGGCGTCGCGCAGGCAGTGAGGAGGGAGGAGGAGCGGCGGAGCAAGAAGTTCGCACTTAGTCCCGTCAAGACAAGGTGTGCGTTCCCTGCACTGCCATCCGCACTTCGCGCATTGCTGACCTTCCTGCAGCCGCGACAAAATCCGCCTCGGTGCGCCGCTCTCGTGCCTCCGCAAGCCGCCAAATGTGCTGGCTGGTCTCGCGCCCACTCCCGCCAAGGCTGGTTTCGTCGGCGCCGCCCTGGAGGCTGGATGCCGCGCCGAGCTTGCTGGCGGTGGCCACACCAACGCTGCCGCACCCCGGGCGAAGGTGGCTGAGATCCAGAGCAAGTCAAGAGCCGCCTCGTCACACCGTTGTGTTTGGATGGTGCACCATGCCACCTTGCGGGGATGGAGTTTCAAAGGCTCGTGGATTGACTTGAATGCGGTCCCTATGGGTCCGACCGTGGCCTCCCCGTATACTCAGGCTGCCGGCGCGCCGTGATTCCGGCTTCGAGGAATGTCTCCCGCAGGACAAATCCAGCCTAGGTAGCCTTCCGAGCCTCTCGGAAGGGTCTGGCGGCGGATCCACGAAGATCGAGCTGGCGCTTTCTGGGCGCTACGCTCCCCGCTCAGCGTGCATCTAGAGCTGCTGCATTGCAAGATTCTGCACGACCCTTCATGAACACCGGCGGTGATCCTCCACCACTGGACTCGCCACGACCCCCGTTGGCTTTACTTCTGCCGAGGCGGCGACTCCGATAGCTCGTTCTGCGACACTGCAACATCACCTGAAGGCGACCCTCGGTCCACATTGCTATCCTCCGCCGCATACTCGGACCTTCGGAATTCATACAAATGACCCCTTGTGCGTTACCCCTATTCCACGTCCGCCTCGTCAGCTACTCGCATCTCCCAGTGCGGATGCACCGACTGAATGCCCACCTTCGCCCTCTTCACCAACCCTTCCACTCGATCCCTTACCGGACGACTCCTCGCAACGATCATCAGAGATCCTCTCCGCCGCCAGACGGCGACGACCTCCAGTTCCTCGACATCCAGCTGGGCCCAGCGTCAACCAACCTCGAAGTTGACGAGTTCCTCCAGCTGCGCGCCGTCCGCCGCCGTGCGCTGTCTGCTGAACGCGCCGCCCGGAGCGCAGAAGCCAAGCTGGCTGAGCTCGTGCGTACCGCAGCCAAGGCCCTCCTGCCCCCTCGCGCGGCGATAGGGGTATGGATATGGACACTTCAGACGATCCTTCGGCCGCGGCGCGAAGCGTATGCACAAGCACGACTTGCCCATCGTGACGGCTATGCGCGCGGCCGAGTTCAAGCATCATCCGGCGCCTGAGGCTGCCGACGCGCAGTGCAGGTGAGCGCCAGAAGACAAATGCGCTCGGAAGCGCAGTTCCAGCGGCTCGTCGCATCATTCTGCGAGCTACCTTCGCCACACCGAGTGCAGCGTCCGCCGCCAGATCAGGGCAGGTATCCCGAGGAGGCAGGCACTGAGGAACCTCGCAGGCCGGATACGCCGAGCGGCGACAGTGAACTAGAGGAAGCAGCGCCGTCCTTGTTCGTGGATCCTATTGACACCCGCTGCGAGTGTGATGGGGAGGGGGGGACATGAGCATGCTGGATAGTCCAGCGATGGATGTCGATGCGTAGTTCCATCACTTTGTTGTCTCCCTGATCCTTGGACTGACACTGGAGTGAGACAGCCATCATCTGCGGTCGGCTCTCCCGCTGCATCCTCACGGCGGTATACTCCACCTCCAACGCCAAGTGCCATTAGGACGAGCAAGCGGAAGAGGCGCTGCGCCTAAGAGTTTGCTCTATCATTCATAACTGGTGTTACGTTCAGCGGATGATCGATACGACCCGTACCCGACTACCAACAAGCGACGTGCGGTCTCCATCCATCAGCTTCGCTCGGGACAACCAGCCATCGTCGTTCACCCCGGTACTCCTCGACGCCGAGCAGCAATGGGATACATTCAACATCCACAGTGCAAGGTTGTGCCAGGTCTCGTTGCTCGTCCTCTGCCGTCAATGTAAACGCGTCGCACCCGAGCAGCTTGCTCGCGCCTTGCGCCCGCTGTTTGCAGGAGAGGTGCAGCAATCTCCCCGCTTCACGCAACGGACCACTTCGAAGCATGCTTTCACGATGCACGTCATGGAAAATACTCTTCCAGCTGACACCGGTGCCACACTCATTGACAGTCTCACGATTCTGTCCGCCGTCCTCGGCTACGCGATCAAGGGCTCCTTCACCCCTTCAACAGTCGCATCCTCGCAGCCTCAACAGGCGACGCCCACATTCGCCTTCCCACCGGTCAGCGTGTCCATCAACCATCCAACCCCACAACTGAGTCTGAACCCGGCGGCATCGGGACTCGTTCGGTCGTCTCTGAAGGATTTCGCCGTGGCCGTGCTCCCTGCGCCACTTGTTGCTTCCACCTCGAGCAGTCAGCCGGCGGCCACGCCATCTTCCCACCAGGCGGACCCCGTCACCTCCGTAGATGCGCCGTCCGAATGCGCCTGCGGCTGCGAATTGATCACCTGGCCAGGCAAGTCCAAGGGTACCGCGGACTTGACGCTCCGTTCGGCGCCCGCGACGTCAGCTGCACACGACAACGGCAAGTCTAGTCTGGCGATGGTCTCCTCGCATGCGCGTTACGCTGCGGGCGGCGGGAAGGGCAAGGCTGCTGCGTGCGGAGGCGGCACGATGTTTGCGCTGAGCGCCTGGTGCGGCACGGGCTCGCTCGCGGAGATTCTCGGCCTCGGATACACCGCCGTGGCGCGTGCGGTCGCGCAAGATGTGCTCGTGCGCGGGCGATGGAACTGAGGCAGATGGGTGGATGGTCGTTCGAGTTGGTGCAGGAGAAGGTGAGGGCGAGGGTGAACAGGGCGAGGGAGACTGTGCGGGCGTCGAAGGACGAGATATTAACGATGCCAGATGCGTGGCCGGCCCGCGGGAGGCAGATGGTAGAATCCATGGCGGCGCGCAGGCTCGCGCAGGGCAGGTGAGTGCGGGGCGGACGAGCGTGGGGCCAGGGTGGCTATACGCACACAGGAGGGCGGTTCGGGGGCCGGGGCGCTGGACAAGAGTGCGAAACATGCGACACTCCGTGAGGTCGGAGAGGCGGCAGTCGGCGGGTTTGGCGGTGCAGGATGCGTTAGCGAGGTGAACGAGAGGCAGGCGGGCGCCGGCGCGGCGGGTCCCGCACAAGGCCAAGTGCGCATGCTCAGAGCGAGTGAAGTAGAGCGGGTGCGGTGTGCGAGAGGGCGCGCGTGGAGAAGACGAGACCGGGCGGGCGTGCAGATGCAGAATTTCGGCTGTGCGCAGAGGAAAGGGAGAATGGGCAGTGGTAGACAGAATGGGTGCTGCCGGGTGCACGGCATGTTTCGGTGAGAGCGAAGGCGCATGTCGGAGGACCAGCAAAGGTGAAGTTAGGCAGCAGGTAGAGTGCCGTGAACACGGCATGATAACACGGCATGATAGATCACAGAGGAGATGCAAGTCGGGTGTGCCATGACACGGATGAGGGCGAGAGTGTGAAGGAGGGAGATACAGGGACAGGGAGCGTGTTTGCGCGCACCAGTCTATGTTAGCATCGTACTTGTCTCGTCTTCGTAGTGGCATGGTTTTGCCTTTCCATTGGCCTCTTAGCCTGCATTCTGTATGGTAGTTGTTTTCAATTCGTCATAACATCACCAAAGTAAGTACACATGAGTACGAGAGAAGCTGTCCATAATCCAGTCAGGGACTCATCGTCTGCACGGCCTTGCACTGCATACTGCAGGCCCTGCAAACCCTGAATCAGCTCCTCTGGCCAGTTCGTGTCGCCAGTCTCAACTGTGATGGTGTTAAGGCGCTCGGCAGGTGGTATGCGGCCTAGAAATGATGAGACACCTTCGTCTTCTGAGTTGTTCGCCTCGCGAGAGCCCAATAGGGCATCCTCTCCGAGACCCTCGAAGTCGACCCCATAATACTCGAGTTCTTCGTCTGTCAACAGCTGCTGATGTGGAGGAAGTTGGCCACCACGGATACCGTGGACATACATGTCCCAACCGAACATATCGGAAGGTGTACGATTTACACCAGAAATAGTGTGGTGGTTCCAGCCTGAGACGAAATACAGCAGTTCTGTGTTGATCAGGGGTAGGAAGAGATAGTGCAGGAGGTGAATGTGGTCGATGTTGTTGATGTTCAGCCCATGGCGGAGCTCGAGGTCCGTGAAGAAGTCGGCCCATTTTGATGTTACTTGCGCTGTGACATCGACCCATAGGCGCTCGATTCGAACATTGTGGATGCTCCTGTATGCAAGCGACGAGAATCAGTACAGTGTGTAGTAGAGGCACATGAATAGGCCCACCGCCCCCAGATGTACGAGCCTCTTCCAGCCCCTACATGATCGTCCATCCAGCATGCTGTCTCGATGTTCTCCGTGCCATGGTCTCCACGAAGACGAGACGGTACTCCAAAAACTCGGCAGGCGTTGAGAAAGACATCAAGAACGGTCGAGCCTCGGTTGTTGTTGCTCGCGCGCAGACCCACAATAAGCCTTGAGTAGCCATCAATGAATCCATGTATGACGATGCGCCAGCGAATAAGACCTGCACCGCGTACGTCAGAAGGCAATCGCTGCGACCTACACCGAAACAGACATACCATGTTGGCCGTCATGGTGCCAGAGAGCGTTCGGACCAGCTACCTGGTACTTGCGGCGTTCAATGCGGATGCGATCGAACACGCGCCGCACAGGGTCGATTCGAAGCAGGGATTGCCTCACCCGCGCTTTCGAGACATGGATGCCCAGAGTCCCCCGCAAAAAGCCAACCATCATGGTAGCCCCGGCGCGGCGGTAATGTACCCGGAGCTCCCGGACAGCGGTGTCAAGGTCGTCGTCACTGATGTCGGTGAGAGGTCGGGTATAGGAGGTGACCCGGGAGCTAGTATCTGCAGCCAGATTGTCTGCCTCGGAAACCCTGAAGGAAGTCGTGATTCCTCTGTATCTCTCGGCAAAGACTTGCATACCTGGTCTCGGAGTCCTGGTTATGCTCATCCGAAGATTCGGAAGCATATCCATCATGTGTGCCATCGCCTGGGTTGTTCTCCACCTCTTCCATACTGCTCCTGCCATCGTCGTAGCTCGGTTCACCTTCGCGTCCAGCGAATGGATCAGACCGGCACTCGCTGATGCCATACTCAATGAGAGCAGCTCGTACAGTAGATCGGTGTATGTTTAAAAAACGCGCTATATCCGCGATAGACTTGTGGCCATATGCCCAGCGGAGCCACGTCGGGTCGATGACAAGCCTTGGTCGGCCACGCCCACCACCATGGACCTGGGTGAGGATGACAGGCCTGCCATGATGAGATTGATCGAGGCTGTCACTGTGGAGGAGGTGGACATCATGACGAAGGAGTCCAAGACTATCCCGCATGATCGTAAGCTCCGAAGCATCGAATACACTGGCATTCTGGAGAAAGATCAAGGTAATCGTCAGCTTGCAGTATGTTAGGTATAAGAAGGCTTACCTGTTCAACAAGCTGGCTGAATTGCATAATGTCATCGCCAAGACGAGCAATGACAGTAGGGTCGGACGAAGTCACCGTGATATCTTCAACATTCCGCACATACTGATGATACCGCAGACGAAACTCGTTCAAGAGCTGCTGGTCCCGAGAAGAATCGATTCCGCGGGTGTTGCGATCCATACTGGTCGGCAAAACGGAAGGGCAAGCCTGAAGGACTCGGAGGATGCTGGGGTTCGTTGTCTGCCAGTGAAAGCTGCAGCACCATCAGAGATCGGATTAACAGTGGGCAAGCACCTGTCGGATGCACCCTATGATGCAGCCGCTGGCAAGTCGACTGTAAGTGTACGATCAATGCGTAATTCAGCAAGGTGTAAGTGTATCAACTCGGAGTAAGTCAGTAGTGCTAAGTGTATGATCGCCGCGGCTCGAGTAAGCCAGCTACAGTAAGTGTATGATTGCTACGAATAAGTCTCACTACGAGTAAGTCAGCTACCGAGTACAGACTACGCCGGGTAAAGTGAGTTAACTGGGTATATACTGTACGAGTAAGGCGGCGTAGTGTACGAGTAAGTCAACACAGTGCATGAGTAAGTCGGTGTAATGCACGAGTAAGTCGGTATACTGCATGAGTAAGTCGGTGTAATGCACAAGTAAGTCGGTGTAATGCACAAGTAAGTCGGTGTAATGCACAAGTAAGTCGGCGTAGCGTACGAGTAAGTTGGTATAGTGCACGAGTAAGTCGGTGTAGCGCACGAGTAAGTTGGCGCAGTGCACGAGTAAGTCGGTATGCGCACGAGTAAGTCGTCGTAGTGCATGAGTAAGTCGTCACAGTGTACGAGTACAGTGGAACACGCAAAGTGCGACCAGCAGCGACGCACATCGCGCGCGAATGTAAGTCGCATCACTATAACTAAGTACACAAGAGTACGACCTACCTAGTAAGTAATTTTTCACGAAAACGCCACTCATACTGATGAGCGGTGCATGAGTTAGTCTGTGGTTCTAACCCAAACTTCGGGGAGGTTCAACTTGGTATCATATGGCTCACCGCTCAATGCTCGCGCGGCTTACAGAGCCTCCGTCCAACAAGAGATGCACTTAGCCAACTGTAGTGCGCCCGTCGTAGTAGACACGCGGTAATCGCGTCGCAGCGTACTTAGGAGGCGCAGAATGAGGAGGAAGACTGGAGGAAGAGGGCGTGGCGGGGCAGCGCCACAACCGCGCTCGGGCGGAGTTCAAAATATCGCTGCCAAATCGAGGCTTCCACGCGGCTGATGCCGACCTGTGCCAATCCATCAGTTCCCGTGGTTCGCCTGTTTTAGGAAAGTGCTGTCCTCGCGACTGGTACTTTCGTTGCCTGGCAAGCATTGGCGAAGCCACCGGTCCCTCGAAAAAAGTCGGTTCATCCTTAGAGCACATTTTCATTCATAATTCCATATATTATATGGGAACACCAGACTTGCGTGGGTTGTCCTGGGTTGTCCCGTACGTCTCAGCATAACTCACTGTCTACAGCATCGGTAACGCCCGCCGGGCCGACTCTCTCACCGCACACTCATGTCGCTACTCGGTCTTCCGTCTGAGCTCTGCATAGACATATTATCGTATGCGCTCTATGAACACCCAAATCCTTCGGATGTTCTCTGTATCACGCCAGTGTTCTTCACACTTGGCACGCGAATACTGCACACCAATCTCCGCTTCCGCGCTGTGCGCCAGCTCGCGCTCTTCGGCGCCGCACAGGAAGTCAGCGGCACTTACAAGTTAGCATGCGCCCCCAGGACACTCAGTGTAATCTTGCCTGGAGGGACTGCTAGCTCTGACGTGTTCTTGTGTCTTGCGGGTGCACTGCGCCGCTGCCGTGCGGCTTTGGACAATCGCAATGAGGGAAAGAGCTCGGGAGATAGGGTCCCGCTAGACACGCTTCAGTTGTGCCTACATTCGCACATGCGCACCAACGTTCAGCACATATATGACGCTTTGGTCCTTGCAGAGTACTGTGCATGTCTATTATCCCGCTATTTCAGTACTGATGAACTCCGTAGCCCGCGAACGTTCATTTGGATGGGTCCGGACCCGCCGCACCACTTCTCTACTGCAGTAAGCTCTCCTGATGGCGTATTACCACACGAGATGATCTAAACTCATGTCAAAACCGCGTAGATTGTACCGGCAGCGACACACCAGCTGTTGCTCGCGATCAGCACCTGGCCTAACATCGCCCATCTCAAACTTGCGAACCTCTCCTTCCCCTCAGATCCCCTTAGCACTGGCTCGCGCACTCTCGGTCCACCACTGGCATCCACCACTCCTCTTCTTCCCGCCCTTCCTACTCTGCGATCACTGACCCTTGGCCAAGCAACGCTGCTCCCACCGGGCGCGATTGCTGCCATGCTCTGCCCATATATCCCCGGGCAAGAAGGCATGGATGCTCTCGAAGAGGTCCGTCTTATCGACGCGTACAGTGAGAGTATCTGGGGCCCGCGGATACGAAGGAGCGACATCGAGCGTGCTATCGTGGGACTCGTTCGGGGCTCAACCTCAGCGAGGATGCAACTGTACGCGCGGAGAAGGAGGGGCTCTCACGGGTGAAGAGGATTGTCAGGTGCGAGGCACTGACCGAGAGACTCATGGGCGGGGACCGAGTCGAGGATTCCACGCTCTTAGATTGACGGGCGCGATGCAGAGACAGCTTTGGTTCGTCTGCAGAACGTGTTATGTTTCGCTTGTAGACGTAGGTGGGGTTTCGCTGGCTTGATCGACCAACCTTACTTCCTTCCACGACAACTGTCATGTAGCACTTGCCCTAATGGCCTTCACACGAGCGCCAAGCGGAGGGTGTGAACGGGACGAACGAGGTCGACTTGGTAGCTCCTAGGTGAGAGGAGAACAAGACACGGTTGACCAGAAGTACCGCAAATCCGCCTGATCGACGACCATGCCTGTGTGCACCATCTTCGGTCCCGGGCCACCTGTTCTGTAGACGGGCTTATGGGCGAAGAGCGTGCAGTCCGAACAAGTCTTCGTAGACGAGGAGATGAGGAAAGCAGGTCGCGAAGACGGCGCGCACGGACGCAGAGCGAAGGCAGGTGAACAACCTTATACCTGGTCAGACTGGGTCTCCTGAGCTCGATCGCTGCACCGAGGGCGATCATGCGCCCGAGAGCCCTCTGCCTCGGACACGTCCTTACCTTCGACGATCGCGAGGATCTCTTTCTCGACATAGAATCGCATATCAGGAACTGGTGATGTGCATGCTGCACAGCCAGGACAAATCCGAGTCTGTCGAAGATGGATATGCTGACTTGGTGGCTCGCGGTTATCGTCTCCAGTGACTTGTTGCACTTTTCAGTGTGCTCTGCCTATCGTTCTTTCTGCTGCTGGTCTCGTGGAAGTGTCGTCGATATTTCCGCTACTGCGTACATTCTTGTCCTGCGACCACTCAGTCGTCAATACTTCAGTACGAGCGCGCATATTACGACACGGCTCGTCCGTGGTGTATGTATATGCACGCTAAGAGCGTGCAATCAATCTTCCTGTTCTACTGTCTGGTTTCCCAAGGCTTCTTGAGCACACTAGCAGTCGATTGGCTAGGTGGCGCTTGCTGTTCGTTCGAAGGAACTGGTGTTAGGAAAGGGATGAGGCAGGAGAAGGTTACGTACGTTGAGTTCGTCGGGTATTTGCCGATTATTTGGTATCTGGTCTGTCTTGCCTTGCTCGATGAGTGCTTTGAGCTCGGCGAAGCTGAGAGTGCGCGGTTCATCCTCGGGCGCAAGCGACTGCTGTGATGGCTCCGCGGCGAGATCGGTGGGAGGCGCATTGCCATTGACAACGTTCGTCGTAGGACGGCGCTGCCGTTCGCGCTGGACTACATCGTCCACCGTGATAGACGAGCCAGCAGCGCTGTGAACGCAATCAGCCTGTTCATCCTTGGCTCACGGAATGGTAGGCTGCGGACCGATTGAAGTAGAAAACCTGCGAGCTGCGCACGAGCATGGCCCTCTCTTCCTCCAATTTCCCCTCAAATGCCCCCGAAGCCACTATGCTCTCTACACCTTGCTTGCGGGTACAGCGTGATCAGAAAACACCACTCTCATAACATCGCTCGCATCCTACCTGGTACACCGCATCCTCCGAGAACGAGTACGCCAAGAACAGGTCTACAGGGTCGAGCGCCTCAGACGTCATATAGCCGGTCTCGCTGCCAGGATTCCGCGAAGTGTCTGCGACATCTGAAGCCATGCTGATGCTGCCTAGAAGAGTTACAGACGATGAAGTCAATTTGAAGGAGGTGAGATGGTGGTATGTAAGAGCGAGAGCGCGCGTCGCGACTCGACCTCTGCTACCACTCTTCCAGTCACTTCCATCATACTTACTCGTACATAGACAACCACCAGCTTGCATCTCGCCCTCTTGCATTCTATCGGACATAGGACTGACCCAGCGTATGCCAAGGCAGACTCAAGATATTGATAGAAAGATATGAACAAGATCTCCGCCGAGCGCAACCAACGCACCCTCTTGGAGCTCGCGAGTGTACCGGGAAATGGTATGTGCACTGCGCAGATCACTAGCGACATCGACAAACATCCTTCTACCAGATGCCTGTGCAGACTGTAGGACACGCAATCCTCGATGGGCGTCGCATAGTCTCGGGATTTCATATGGTGCGTGACGTCGCGGGTCGTGCTCGCCACCGACAGCTGATCGACGCATTTGCGTTCGCAGCATGAACTGTGCGAGCATCCACAGGAAAATGGGGACGCATATCTCTAAAGTGTGCGTGGCTCGCTTTCGGTTGTGCCAGAGAAGATGTTGAGTGATCTGACCCCAGAAAGAGCCTCACCATGGATACTTGGACGAAGGAACAGGTCGAGGTGTGTAGCGTGTTGGGATGGATCACCCCAGTCGCTGAAGCTGTACCTCTCGTGTCATGCAGTTTATGAAGAGCAACGGGAATGTGAAGTCCAACGCCTACTACAATCCAGACGAGACAAGGCATCCACCGCCTACCAATATGGTAGACTCGGAACGTGATAGCGATCTGGAGAAATTCATCCGATGTATGTGCTTCACCTCATCCCTTATGTCTTCCGTAGTGCTCACTACGCCGTAGCAAAGTACGAGTTCAAGTCTTACATCAACCGGGGTGCTGCAGCAGCGGCGCTCCTAGGACCGTCCAAGTCTCACAATCGAGTGTCACCCGGTCCACCGGCCCGATCGCAGACAGTTCCTGCTCCCGCTCCCCCCGCGGCATCCTCGGCCCCTCCCGTTCCTCCGAAGACACCTCTAATAAACACCGCACCAGCGCCGTCCACCGCAACAACAACCTCACCAATGGCCCAGCCTTCGACGACTGCACCTAGCGCGTTCTCTTCTCCTCAATTCCGTTCCGTATCTCAGCCAGTGTCGAGCTCGCCGACATCATTTACACCGCACACCGCCCTTCCATCCGGCATGCAGGCACAACAGCCACCCGTGCAGCAGTCTTCGACGTGGACTGCCCTCGCCTCGTTGCAAACTCCATCCAGCTCTGCCCAATCCACCTTCACTCCATCCCGACCACTCCAGATGTCCCAGGGACAGCAAGCAAACTCTTCACAATTCTCCGCGTCTCCCCAGCCGAACATATACTCAGGCCTCTCTGCCTCCCCTAGCTCACCGTTCCCGTCTTCTGTCTCATCCTTTGCAACCGGCGCAGGTCAGGGAGGTGTCCCGCGCAGCATGAGTCTCGGCACTGGTCTTGCGCTCAACGTCAATGTCGGCTCCCCAATGATTTCGAGCCTCACACCTGGCGGGGCGTCACCTTACCAGACAACGTCACCATACCAGACATCGACGGCCTTGGGCGCGTCAGCGCCGTTCCAACCCAGTCCTTCGCCGTTCCAACCTAGTTCTTCGCCGTACCAACCCAGTTCTGCGCCGTACCAACCCAGTCCTTCACCGTATCAACCCAGTCCTTCGCCGTTTCAGCAGCAACCTACCAGCGCGTCGCCGTTCCAGCCACAAGGAAACCATGGGCTCGGACTGTCCGCGCCCAGCGCGAATCCGTATGCAGGTCTGTCGGCGAGCCCCATGGGCGGCGGGGCGTTCCCGGTGCAACAGACGGGGTCGTTCCAGCCGCAGTCGTCGCCGTACATGCAGGCGAGCTCGCAGCAGGCCCAGCCGACCTCGCAGCAGCAGTTCTTCCAGCAGCAGTCGCTAGGTCAGATGCCCATGCAGCCCGCTTTTGGCAGCGGCGCGAACCCGTTCTTCCAGAATCAGTCGCCGGCCCAGCCCCAGCTCAGCCGCAGCCGCAGGCGTTCCCGCCCTCGCCGTTTGGCCAGCCGCAGATGCAGCAGCCGGCGTACAATGCGGCAACCCGTACAATGGCTGGCAGGGCCAGCAGCAGTACGCGGGGCAGCAGTGGACCGGCATGTGAGTGCATCCGTGTGGACGATCGGTGATATACATAGACGGACCGGAGCGTAACGTACATCGCTTGCAAGCGTAATCGTGTTGATACTGAGCGGATTCACCGCCTAATCAGATGTTTACAATTCAGTGCAGCGCGTCCGCGCGATGCGTTTAGTCTTCTGGCACAGGGCATTGAACTTTCCCGGCTTCACGCCGATACCAGGCAGTACTGTGGATCTTATGGTGAATGAGCGACACTCGTCACTATCAGGGTCCAATACCGTATGATATCGAGCTCGCGTATCTTCACTCGTTAGGAGACAGATTGACCAGTCAAGCGTAGGTCAAGCGTAGGTACTATGCGGCTCCATTGGTCCGAATACCTCGACATAAGTCATACCGTCACAAGGGATACACTATGTATGGCCGGATTGCACAATCTCAGACGACGGGCATTTATTCCGATGTAATGAGGGCGGACAAGGCATTGCCGTGGATGTCGCTGTAAATGTTGTATGCTGTATGGTGCCGCCTGAGGAAAAGTCAGTGAGATATCCTCGCCCAAGTCACTATTGGTTGCGCCTCTACTCTTACTTTGCACAGCCCGCGGCGACTTCTTCCCTCACGTCGCTAATGCTGATATACAGAAGGCAACGATGACTTCACAAATTAACAGATGCACGTAAGACTGATAGTCGCACGTCATCATAGCTTAGAATGTCACGCACTAGCTACGACGATGCTTTTGCTTGACCGCGCGCGTTGGGAGCTTGATGTAGTGCTGCTGGCATTCGCAGCCTTAAAAGATAGTATATATGCCCGCCGTCATGCCAATGAATTAAATAAAGAGTTCAAGCAGAGGCACTACCCACCGTAGACGAGACGCCTAGCATACGGTCAGAAACGCTTTCCGGGTTTCACGTCCCGGCACTCACCATTATCCGCGAAGCCGATGGTCTGGTTCTGCACGCTGAAGATCGCGTAGTAGTGCTTTAGCAAACTTCCGCCGACGAGGTTCAGGCCGTCGATGGAGTTGATGAACGTCTGGCACGTCTCCGTCTGACCGGGGAACGGTCCAACGTTCAGCTCGCTGCTGGGGATCGTCAGGTTGAACGGCTCGCCGGCGGTGTTCGTGAACGTGAGCGTGAGCTCGGACGCGAGCGAGTCGATCTCGGAGCAGGGAATCCCGTATGCGGTCCCGTACTCGGTCGTCTCGGGCGCGTACGACTTGATATTGGGCGAGATCTTGGAGTAGATTTCCTGGTTATGAGATGTGAGTGGCCCGCATCTGCGCGTATGCTACTACCAAATTTACCTCCGTGATGTCGGGATCAAAGTATACGTTACTTGTGCCGCTGTCGAAGATGATCGTGCGGGAGGTGGAGAGCAGTGAGGTCGTCTGGTCGTTTATATAGATTGCAGACGAGCTCAACAACCATGTGTCGTCGTTGTCCGATGGGAGCGACGCAGTCTGAATCTCGCCTGTGCACCAGCATCAGCAACATGGTGATCTCATGCACTCTCAGTGAAGCAAGCATACCGTGAATATGCGATTCGTCGACGCCACCGAACGTGATCTCAGCGTTTCCGACAGAGTTTGGAGTCACGTATAAACCGAACAGCGCTAGCACGATGTCAGAAGTCTCGTCAAAACCTCTCCGTCCAGAGCTCTTACCTGGCAGCCCATTGTTCGTCAGGCCAAGGAAAAATCCCTCAGCCACGGGTCCGAGACCTTGACACATTCAGACGCCTTCGATACAGTGCGAACGAGAGAACTGACCTGTGATTCCGCTGTAGGGATTTGGTTCAAACGCAGCTGTCTGGTTGACAACGAGATTCAGCTCCACATTCGCTGTCTCGACCCCATCCACGGTCACAGTATCGTTTCCAGGCTGTAGCCACAGAACGTATTCATCATCGGAGGTAATAGGGTTCACGCCGCCACCAGTCTCGAAAGCAATGTCCTGCACCTCGCCGGTTCTCACAAATGTCGAACTGGCAGAAGCGTTGAATTGGACCTGGTTCGCGCATGGCTCGCCGCATTCGGTACCTAATAAGCATCACACAAACTTAGCAGCCGTGCGACCCTGTCACGCCGAAGGCTGGAATACGTACTGCAAACTCTAGCGTGTAGCTGCCTGTATCGAACACGACTGGGATCTCTTGTGGTGGCGTGCCGACCGAGATATTTCCGTACCACCTGTGGGCATGGTGAGTAAGCGAACGCGTCATGCACAGAGCAAGCTATGTCAGGCATACTGCAAATCGGTGCCGTTGAACTGGTCAACGAGGGGGATGCTGAAGGTATCCAGACCGCGCTTCATAACACTGCGTTTCCGCATCGCGCTCATGTGGCCACTAGGCACTTCCTGGCTGTCAACTGGACCTTGGACGGTGCGACGGAGGCCGCTACGCCTAGCCCAAACAGGGCTGTAGCCGTAGCACTGGCAAATAACATGTTAAGGAAGGAAGGAGAAGAGGTGGAGACGAAAGAAACAGTAGAGGTCGGTGAATGAGGAGTTGGACGGCAACACTCGGTTTAAATAGGTTTCTATGTTGATGACGCTCATGTGGACTGTATTCCTGGCTGTGGGAAAGGATGCGGTTCAGCGCGGTTCTGTCACCATTCGCTTCGGAGTCTTCTGTGTGGGTTCTTATCGTTGGGTGATCAGCGACTTCGCACTGATGAGACCCTGAGATCTGCGGATCTTCGCTGCTACCGGCCGCTGACCAGGCTGTGTGCACCGCTGCGGCATTATTGACAGGTGCGCCCATATACATAGGGTATCATATGCCAAGCTTTAAAGAGCCAGCCTCAGCATGAAGGAGACGAATCGAATGACAGGTTATGCCAGTGGCGCCGGTTATATTGAAGTTCGTAGGAGGGCATAGTACTCCTGAGCGTGTCGAGTTCAAGTCGTCAGGCTACTTGCTAGTGCTAGTAGTATTCACCGTATCGTGTTTTAGGAATAGGATGTTGTGGCACAGCGAGTCACAGCCACAGCACAAGCAAGGATCAGTACTGGTACTTGTATGGGCGGGTGATTATGTAACCCACGCCTCTACCATGCATCCACGTACTTAGTGACTGTCATGTCACCGTCTCGGTCCGTCCGGCCTCCCGACCTCATGCGTTTCAAGAGCCAAGACACCAAATTGTATCCCCGTCCTGCTCATTATCCCAACATAACTTGTCGCACTAGCCTGTCTCGAGTAGTACAGCCGGCGGCGCATTCTAAGGCAACGGCGTAGTGTCACATCCGGGTTGACACTCGGTTTTGGTCAGTGTCGCCCATCTGAAGCGCTTTTTTACTATGATTTCATTTCCTTTAGTCGGTCGCGCGTGCGCAGAGGCAGAGATGGTGCTTGCGGAGCTGGTGACGAGCCAATGTGGGGATGCAGGGCTCATCAGTCTCCTCGCAGTTGAGTTACATAGGGACTGGCAGTGGTCACTGACTGGCAAATGCGGAGACAGAACTTCGGCTAGGCCCAGGCGCATGAACACAGTGCCACTGCTAGGCCTGTCGCTGGGCTATCGCAGAGGGCGATTGGACTCAATGTAAGTTGCATACGTAGATCCTCAGGTCTCAGCACTGAGCAGAGGGTGCCTCAGGCTATGCTTCAGTGTACATTGCGGTTATCCACAGGGTATCCAGGCGTTGTCAGTCCGCGATCTTGGGTGCTCGCAGCTGGGCACTACTATCCGAGTCCACTACTACTTTAGCGTCAGACACGTCGCGGGCCCTGGCGCTCCATGCTTCTCGGAGCCATTGGGACAGGTTGGGATCTGTGATAGCCAACGAACAAGTTGAACCCGGTGTTCTCTGCTCGACCCGATCCGGAGCCCCCCTTGGACCCAACAGGACTGACCTCGAGATTGGCAGGCTCATCATGATCGACACCTTACAATGCCTTTACATAGTAAGTTGACCTCGAGCTCCTGTCAAGCATGCTGACACTCGTGTTGCAGTATTGCTCAATCGAACTGAGGCGCGCCGGGAACGGGCATCGCCATCCAGCGACAAGCGTGCCCCACTGCATCATTGCATCAACAGTATCGCAAGTCCGCGTACGTGGACGTGTAACAGATCACTGCTGTGCTATGTACCCCATCCGGTCCAGGGACTAGGGTCGCGTGCGTAGTTGCAGTTCAACGTACGTGGCGAAGTTCGCGGCTCGCCTGTGGCAAGGTCCAAGCCTCAAGAAAGAGGTAACACTGCGCGTGTGCCCAAGCATGTGCAGTACTTCATTCAGATTGATCTTGTACCAGACGTGTCCGGGACATTGACCAGACATTGACGATCAATCACCAGTCAATCACCAAAGGCTGTTTGAGTGCGTGCCGGTGGGGCCGCGCGAATCCGATGTTCTGATTCGCGCCATCACCGAGGATGATAGGCTAGCAGCTAGCGCTCAACTAGGCTTCGCCTCGTTGCTTAATAGCACGACCCACATGACAACTTGAAGCAGGCCTGTCGCGGTCTCCTTCTGTTCTTGTTCCCTGGGCTGCTCTCGATACACTCTCCGTCATGGTGGCCCAACTCAGCCTAATCGCAGTCAACCTTGCGACAGTTGCTCTTGAGAGCTGGCTCTACGGCATATTCTGTGTCATTTTTGGTGCATCGACCTATCTGCTCATCCGTCGTGGCCGAGAGCGCATCCAGGGTAGCGGGCCCGTGCAGACCACCCGGTCATTGTGGCGGACGCCTATGTTCGTGGCATCGTGTTTGATCGCCTTGTCATGCACTGCAGTGAGCTCTTGGCGCTCGTTGCTTCGTCAATTAACCCGTCTCACGCAGTACTTTTCCAGCACTGGATATTGACTGTATACCGCTTGTTCGATGCCTTCATCACCTTCATGGGCGGCGGCGAACCTATCATCGCCTATGCAGACCTCTCCAGGAAATCAGAGGTCGCTAAGACCGCCTTCCTCATCATTACAGTGCTCATCTCCGATGCGATGATAGTCAGTTGCTCCCGAACGTCGTAAGCTATTGCGATTCAAACTGACGAGTTCTAGATACACCGTTTATATATTGTATGGAGCTACAACAAGGCAATAATCGTCTTTCCTATCTTGACATGGGGTGCATTGGTCGGTGAGTCTCCAATTGTTCTTTGCGGCATTGATTCGCTCGTTTGACGGCAAACACGTTTACAGCGTGCGGCATTGGCATCTGCTGGCAGTTCGCGCATTACACCCTGGGGGAGAATGTCTTCGAGACTGCAGCAGGACGCTGGATAACGAGCGACTGTGTGTTTAGCTTTGTGTACGTTCTTGCTGCCCGCTTGTCGGTTTTTTGGCCATCTGACAGGACGCTAATGCTTTGCTTAACACGCAGCACGAACGTTTACTGCTCTCGTACGCACTGGATCTACGCTCCACCGGTGGCGCCATTCTGACCATCTGCCACCACCTCCGACAGTGCTGATTGCATGGCGCGTATGGCGCACAACCGTCTCCGCGCCTGCCTACGGCGGTCCTAACATCATGGGCGCGCTCGCCATTATCATTGAGTCAGCCGCCATACAGTCGTTCGTACCGCCGGTTCTCATCGGATCCCACGCACATTCTGACCTTGGCTCCTTGTCTTCCAGGGTGTGGAACCTTTTCTTCTTCATTACCTACCAAGCCAAGAGCAACCTGCAATTCACCACCATCGACATGTGGGTGCCCATATGCGGCATATCGCTCACGCTCATCAACCTGCGTGTCTCGCTCGGCTGGGCGCACCAGGCGCACATCTCGGGGTCATCTGGGGGGCCGCGCATGACCACGCAGGTGCGCTCATTCGAGTCGATGAACCAGAGCTACGGCATGCGCTCGCTGGCGGTAAATATCACGCAAGAGGTCGACGCGGAAGATCATCGTTTCCCGGGAGAGAAGCCAATTAACTACAGGCGCACAAGCAAGGACAGTAACGTATCTGTATGAGCAAGATCATCCCCTTGGATTATTGAGACTTTATTGTACCAGGATGTCATGAGTCATGGCGTTCGTAATGAACCCGTTATACCACACCATAAGTCCCTCTATATATGGAGGCTCACACCCACGACTCTGTATTCTATCTGCGAAACACGATTCGGGTACGGACAATCAAAGACTAGTAGGCTGTGCCAAGGAACAATGATTGGGATGGATTTCGAGATGGCACGCATCTTCAGGCTTTCCGATGTCTCATCCAAGTCTCATCTCATGGCCCCTAGCAAGTTCATCAGCGGACCCCGTATTCGCGATCACGTGGTAAGTATCAACGCG